TGGGAAGCCGAAAGCAGTCAAATGGATTTTGTGGCTAAATTTCTGGGGTTTTTAAAAATCATCCCTCGAGTTTAGAACCAGATTTCTCAGGGGCCCTTGGGAGCAGTGGTGGCCGAGTGGTAGTCGGCTAGAATACAAAGCAAGCCCTCTCGGGTTCGACTCCCGGCTTGAGCTTTTTCTTGTTTTTTTTCTGAAATTGTTATACAGGTTTGTAATAAACGAAAACTGATAGAGCCGTGGAGAAAATGGAGCTATGAAGCTGATGGAGAAAACGTAGAGAAAAAGCAATCTTTAGGGTACGGTAGCCAATATATGATAAAACAAGTGTAATTTGACGTTCAGTAGTTAGAGAAAGATGTTCAGAGAGCCAGATTTCGAGATTAAGCTCAATATTGTTGATGAAGAAAGGTGTATGAGGTAAATCATTTGCGGGATTGCAAAGAGAAACGGCAGTCAGTGAGACAGCTGGCAATTTAGGCCACTTTGCTTCCTTTCTTGGCTGTTGGGTGAGATATTCTCCTTGTTTCTCCACTACAATTTGCATATAGTCATTCACTAATTACTTTGTTTGTGGTGTTTGACAAGAAATGAATCGAGGAAATCAGAAACCCGGTGATTTAAAGTCCAAAAAAAATAGAATGCGTTTTCTAAAAGGTGAAGAACTTGGAAAATTCTCGTTTCTCTAGATTTTCTCTTTTCTAATTCATTTTGATTTAATTCAATAAAATAAGGGAACGTAAAGCTCAAAATCGTATCAAAATCGGATCAAAAACTCAATAAAAATCTGAGAAAAAGTACCTTTCCAAAGTATCCTTTCCTTTCCTTTCCTTTCCACCTTTTAATTACCGTATTTTCTGTAATAGTAGTGCGCACTACTATTTTTTCAATCCCCCTCGAGCCTGCAGCACTCCAGCCTCCAGCACTACTATTACAGACTGCACTACTATTAGAGAGTTTCCTTTTTTTCACTAGACCTTTACTAGGCAATAATAATAGGCATCATGTACGTATGTCATCCCTTTCTTCCAAGTGAATCGAGTTGTTGCTCGACGCGTCGAGAGGTGATGCCTTTCCATAAAGCAACTTAGCCAGCCAATTGATGCTGAAAATTTCTCGTCGTTTTTCCATATGATTCGAGCATGATTTTGGATCATTTTGCGAATCAATCGCAATTTCTTTAATCGCTTTTCTCGGATCGAATTGACAAGCTCGTTGTCGAAAGCTGCGTCCGAAAGCTGCGGTGGTTCAATTTCCGGCCACCACCTTCAAGGCGTTACAATTGTTTTCCTTTTTGTTTCACAAGATCGTCCTTTTTCTTACACCACTGGAGAACAGTTTTAGCTTTGATCAAAAGAAAAATGCCGAGAAAATGCCCAGAAAGACCGACAGAAAGACCGACAGAAAGACAGACAGAAAGACAGACAGAAAGACAGACAGATACCGTAACCCCCCTCCCTCGCCTTTTCCCCCATTTCATTTCCTCTTTTTTGCGCGCTAATTCTTTTTCGATAGTTTCTATTGGCATTTCTTTTATATAGATGTTAATTTTGATAGTTAATGCAAGAAATCATTTAACCTACCCTAAATACTGTCAATTACCGTAAATACTGTAATTGAAGTTAACGCGAGGAATAATTTAACATTTTGAACATTGGAACACAACGCACCACTGGAGAACATTTTGCCGATGAACACCGAATCTTCCGAATCGAAAATAAATAGTCAGAATCTCATAATAGCATCACATTTAGCTACCAGTATGCTTTTAAAACAAAGAAAGTCAAAGTGAACAGCAACAGAGCAAATAGGTGCACTACTATTTTTTTTTCAACCCCCCTCCTGCAACCCTTCAACCCCTGCCTGCACTACTATTACAGAAAATACGGTACTTTAAAAGTGACTGCAACATGAGAAAAGGGTTGGGAAAGGGTTGGGAAAAGAGAAAATAAAGAGAAAACAAAGTTGGGTCGTTGATCTCGGACAAAGAATTATTTGGATAATTTTAAGAAAATAATTCTTTATCCAAATAAATGGGATAAATAATTATTGGATAATGACTTGGATAATTGGATTCTAAAATGCACTATCTTTTTTTGCATTATCCGAAATCACAAGCGAGTAGAAAGTGCGGTAATTCTAGGAGAAAATAAGTGCAAGAAGATTTCATCAAAACTAGGTGAACAATGAGTAAGGAATTTAAGAAATGCTCAAATTTCAAAATACCATGACAACACTTCTTCTCCAGCTTCTCCAGCTTGCCTAATAAAAGCATTGGAGCGAAAAATTAGCCTCTAGCAAGCTTATTATCGTGAACTTATTAAGGAAAAAGGATTTTCTTTCTTTTTTCTTTCTTTTTCTGGATTTTCTACAAGATTTCATAATAAAATGTAAATTTATATTAAAAAGAGTATAATTTGAAGATATTCGAGGCTCTAGAGCGGGCTCTAGGCGCTAAATACCGAGGCCTAGAGCTGTCTTTTCGAGGCTAGGCTGTTTAATTCCGAGGCTCTAGAGCTGAATACATTTTTGATTTGAAAGAGTTATATCGTTAAAAGTGTTACAATTTGAAAGTGTTACAATTTTAAAAAGAATTCAGTTAAAATCATTGCATTTGTACATATAAACTTGCAAAACTTGCAATTTTGCACGCTCGTTAGGCGTTTAGTCGCAAAGAACGAAGTTGAATCGACTTGTTATTTCTTCTTGACCCATTTCGCCTCTTTTTGCTGGATTGCTGATAAATTTTTGGCGCTCGATAAGACTCGCTAAAAGTAGGAGGCGGGAATGGGGAAAATTTTTTTTGTGAAACAAATAAGAGGGCTGTTGTGGGAGATGCTTTTGAATGCTTTCAAAAAATAATAATAATAATAATAATACTTTATTCAAACGATAAAGTGAAAGAAATCATAGAGAAATGCACAGTGATACTTAATCATACAATACATACTGAAATCAATAAGCCAATTACTTACGGCAAAGAGCCACTAGATCTAAAGCATCGATACGTTTCTTGAATATGAAAAGCGACTGAATTTCTCGTATGTCGTTTGGGAGCAAGTTCCATAATCTAGCGGCTCTAACGGGAAATGAATTTGATAAAGAGGCATTGGAAGCAAAGGGAATTTGCAAAAGGAATGAGCCACTTCTGGGCCCTGACCGCGGTTTAAATTTGAATAAGTCTATAAACAAAGGGCTAATCTGTTTACAACGGAGGATTTTGAAAGTTTCGACTAAATCAATGACAAAGCGACGATGCTGTAAAGTTTTTAGTTCAAAAAAAAGCAAGTCTCTCCTCATAAGTAAAGCTAGAATATTTAGAATAGTCAATTTTCCATAAAGCGACTTTTGTGAACCTCCTCTGAATTTTCTCCAAGCGTTCAATAAAGACTTGTGCGCGGGGAGACCAAACAATAGAAGCATATTCTAAGATGGGCCGGTTATAAGTCGTCAAGCATTTGCGGTAAGAGTTTAGGTTAGGATGAACAATTGATTTGAGAATACGGCTAGAAACAAAAGAAGCTTTTCGACAAATGATTTCAATATGTTTAGTGAAATTAAAAGGGGGAGAGATGTGGACACCTAAATCTCTAACGAGAAAAGTTTTACTATAGAATAAAAGGGTTGAGTTTTAGGGTAAAGATACGATATAGACTTTTCTTTTCTTTAATAATGGGCTAAGTGCGGAAAAAAAAGATCGCATTTGTCCCACTCCCGGTTTAAATAGATTTTCTGCTTAAATGCCACTATCTTGATTGATTTTAGAAAAATTCTTGACAAAAAAAGCAGCTAATTTATCAACGAGATGTATTTTTGTCAACGAGAAAAATTTTGCTGAAGAAAAAGCTGTGCCATGTTTAAATCGGTTTTCTGTTTTAAAATTGATTTCGCCAAAGGTTTGTTCAACTTTAGATCCACGCTCGTCAACTCGCATATGACTGAAGTGGCAAGGATTGCGACGTTGAGGAAATTGAAGTCGTTATCGTGTATCATATGTGGATCTCAATCCCTACAGCCCAGAATTGCGTCATTGAGCATCTTTGGGCTTTTTTGAAGTCAAAGCTGAAGGGAAAGCGATTCAACTCGAAGATAGAGCTTTGGTTCTTTATTCGCCGTACCTGGGAGCCCAAATTCTACGCGATTTAGTTGATTCAATACCAAAGCGGATCCAGGAAGTCATCAAAGCTAAAGGTGGACCAACGAAGTATTAAAAATTTGATAATTTCTATGTTTTGTTTTCAAATGTTACGAGAATTTTGAGCATCAAAAATACACCCGTTTTGGTTCTTTTCCAATATCCGGGGAGCGGAAGGGTTATCGGGGGAGCAAATTTTGGCAATGCTACATATGTCCTATTTAAAATTGTGACGAACGGGAGCTTGCTTTGTTGCAAAAAGTTATCGACTCGAATTCCTCTTGAATGCTTGGGGACCTTTCGCCGTGCGCAAGTGTCACATACCCAGCGAAATAGATCTTTTCCCTTTGAGCGGACTTTCATCGATTCGCCACATTTGCAAATCCACGACTGGATGACTCCTTTGGTGAGGAAATAATCGATTGTCGTCGATTCCTTGAACGCACAAATATCGGAGAAGCGCATCGTCGTTAAAGTTTTTAAAAAAACGTTGGAGTTAAAATACAGTCCCGGAAATGCTCCCCCGATTTTCCTTTCGCTCCCCCGATATTGGAAAAGTAGCCCCGTTTTTTGTTTTTATTTGTTTTTCTTCATTTTTGTTAATCGTTTCAATAAAGTTTTTCTTGCATATAAAAATAGAAATTTTTGACAACTGAAAACCAAAAACTGTTTGGGAATTCGCCTCTTTGCAAAAAAAGTTATTACAATTTGAAATTTGCTAAACTGGATGTTACAAGACTTTTATGCACGACTGTAGTTTATGGTAAAGAGAAGAAAAAGCTGTGCCATGTTTAAATCGGTTTTCTGTTTTAAAATTGATTTCGCCAAAGGTTTGTTCAACTTTAGATCCACGCTCGTCAACTCGCATATGACTGAAGTGGCAAGGATTGCGACGTTGAGGAAATTGAAGTCGTTATCGTGTATCATATGTGGATCTCAATGTAAGCCAACTTTTCTAAATATAACATTTGTTTTTTTTCAGTTGTAGCATCAGCATCTTCGGAACGTAGTCCTCGAATGTTGCAATGTGGTGTCGCTGTGTGTAGGTGAGTTTATTGGTTTTAAAAGATTGTAACTGATAATTTCGATATATTGATTGCTAAATATAGGATTAATATAGTTAAGCTATATAATAGTTGCTCTGAACGTTAAGAATGTACGGGTTGGCTGATAATTACGTGTGCGTGATTTTCTTTTCATTGACAGCGCTCTGCAAACATATTTCTAAGAGTTTATGTTTAAAAAGTAGCTAAGTATTTGTAGTTTTTAAAAATCAAAACCGTTTTTCGAAAGCCTTTCTAGTTTTTTAGTTATGCTCATTCTCGTAACTTTCAAAAGTAGCCAAAAAGTAGCCACAATCAAGTAGCCAAAATTTAACATTAGGGTTTAAACATAACCTCTTAAAAATATGTTTGCAGAGCGCTGTCAATGAAAAGAAAATCATGCGGACGTAATTATCAGCCACCCTGCATAAGTAATTATCAGCATAAGTAACTACCATTAATTTAGGAAATGTCATCGAAAAGAAAGAGATCATCGTAAAAGAACGCATCATTGTGAAAGAAACGCCGGGCATTGCTTTCGTCTCTTGGATCCAGCTTGGTTTCTCATTGGTAGTTTATCTTTTGAATAAATTAAAAGAAATTCTAGATATAATCTCTAAGAATGAGGATAAATTTGCTTCAAACGATGTAATTTCTGGACACAAGATACAGGTAACACTTAATATCGTTTTGGCTAATCTTTAAAATCTAGGGAGTCGCTCTGATTGTTCCATGCTGCACGATATGTCAGGAGCAATGTAAGAAAACTTATACTTTATGAAATCTTTGATTTAGATTCACTTTCCGAAGCAGAAAATATGCCTTTTGATATGGCTTGTGGTCACGCAATTTGCAACTCTTGCTACTGGTCGACAAGAAGAAAACTAGACACAGAACAAGTGGTTTTTGCTTATTGGCTTTATAATTTTTGCTTGAGAAAGCTTCAAATGGAAACGAAAAGCCATCTCTTGACGAGTCGCACATTGTCAACAGCAATAGATGTCGCAAGCCTTACAAGCGCTTTCTTTGGGCTGTCGATTGCCCACTTTGCAATGAGGAGACGCACACATTACGGAATACACACGAGAATGCATTTACAAGTAAAGTTGAGATCCTATTCACCTAAATTACTAATCTTTTTAGACTTTTTGCGGGAAATCGATGGTTTAAAGGACAAAAAAGCATCAACAATTGCTGGTGTAACGTTTACGCCACCACGAAGACCATTGAAAAGAAAGCATCATGAAGTCATGAAAGAAATACCCGAAGAGGAAGGGACTTTGCAAATTTGCACTCGATGTGAGAGCATAGTAAGTTGTTGAAGTAAGGCTTAACTCTTACAAGGGAATGGCCAGAAATGGCCGTGATCGTTTGGGATGAGTCATACCTCATTCGATAGATCTCATGATGAATATTGATGACCAAAAAAATTAGCTGCCCAAAGTAACTCTACAACGAGAAGTAAGGCCAACAAGGAGCCAAAAATGACGTTTTTGACCCTCCTTGGCGGAGCTGGAACTTTTTACTGAATCAGTACTTTTGAGTAACCTTTTTTTGCATGTAATAGAACTTGAATGAAACTAAAAATAGTAAAATTTGATTCCCAAAGTATTTATAAAATTTTACATTTCAAAGCTATTGATTTTAGCCAAAGTTTACGGAATTTTTTTTACTTACTGAATAGGAACATCTTAAGTTTTTACAATTAATGAAAGTTTATTTTTTAGTTTCATTCAACTTCTATTACATGCAAAAAAAGGTTACTCAAAAGTACTGATTCAGTAAAAAGTTCCAGCTCCGCCAAGGAGGGTCTTTTTTGACCCTCCTTGGCGTCATTTTTGCTCCTTGTTGGCCCCATTTCTCGTTGTAGAGTTACTTTGGGCAGCTAATTTTTTTGGTCATCAATATTCATCATGAGATCTATCGAATGAGGTATGACTCATCCCAAACGATCACGGCCATTTCTGGCCATTCTCTTGTTCGCTAGCAACAATTTAAAACTATTGAGTATTGTTAATTGTCAAAGTTAATCTACCATCAACCTACTATAATTTGACTTCCAGGAGAAGCCATGCCGAATGTTTTCGTGTCAAAGATGTGTCGAAGAGGTGAGTCACTGTTGTTATCGTTCTGAAAAATTTCCTTGCAGATATGTGGTACATGTGCTATTCAATACCACCAGGATCATTTTGAGTTTGTGAAAAGAAATGGGCAGCTTGAGGTTTATTCTCATTTTTTTTGAGAAGTGTTTTATTTTTAGGTAGAACAACGCATAAAAAAGTATGGAGAGGAATTTGTTGCCGAATTTGAAATTACTAGAAACAACTTGGAATGCTTAAATAACTCGCTTACTAACGAACAAAAGAACATTGCCGAGGTTTGTTCTGAAGTTTTTGTATCGAGATTATCGTCTTTAGATTTTCAAAAGTCTTTCACGGGGATTGAGCTCAACGGTAACGGCTAGTTTCTGCTCTGATATCAGGTACCGCTTTTTTTTCAAGTCTATTACATAGGTCCTATTGTTTAGTAAACACTTGGACCACTTGCGGCAGCTGAATAAAAACTATTCGGTGCAATGGAATTTACTTCGCGAAAATCTTGAGGTAATTTTTGAAATTTTTGCAATTTAGTTTTTAAATTAAGATTCTTACTACTGAAATTAGTGCTGCAACTAGAAGATAACAAATCATTTTTGGTGCCAATGCATTTTAAATTTATAGTTTGTGCTTTTTGTTTGTGTTTTGAATAAACATTTGATACTTGTTACCTTCTGAATCATAGTAGTTAATGCAATTGTAAATATTGGTTTTAAAAGTATGTTGCTATTAAGAAAATGGTAGTTTTGCATAAGTTGCTAACAAAATTTGCATTTGAACATGAGCTGTAAGCTAAATTTCCATTCGAAAAAGCTGATTGGCATCTATTTCTCTGATAAACAGAACTGCGTTCCCTAGAAATTTTATTTGCAATATTTCCTATTTCTTTAAACTTCTACAAGTTCGATCCACGATGAGCGAACTTGTACAGCTTAAAAGTGGCCAAAAGGTTTGTTATTTCGATTTATTTTCATTGTTTTGTTTTGTTTTATCCTTTGTCTAACCTATTTTGTTAGTTTATGTTCTTTTTGCAGATAGATGATTGGATAGTCGTGAAGAAGCTTGGCGAGGGAGCGTTCGGTGCTGTATACGAGGTGAAGAAAGAAAAGGAGGCAAAGAGTTATGCGCTTAAGGTGGGTTTTTGTGGTGCTTATATTGTTTAGTTTCCCCGAAGCTTGTTTGTAGTCTAAAACCTGATTTTTTTTTTCGAATCATTCGGCAGATCTCTAAAAATTTTGGTTTATAGCAATTGATCTGGTTAAAAAAAGCAGAAGGATTGTTTTGATTCGTAGGAATTCACAATTATACATTTGTTTTAGGTTGAAGCAAAAGACGACCCTATTGGCATGCTCAAAATGGAACTCTACGTAATGATGGCTTTAAAGAACACGAGAAAGAAAGTATGAATGTTTTGCTAGTTTTAAACGCTTTGCTTTTAGGCCCGTCACTTCTGCGAACTCGCCGACAAAGGAATGACATTCAACTTCAGATACATCGTGATGACACTTGTTGGTAAAAGTATCCAGGTTTGTACAAATATCGTTATTATTCTAATAAAAGCCCCGGGGCTTCTATTTTTCAATCCTCTTCCAAAGAGGATTTCTATTTTTCAATGCAAAAATTAAAAATTGGACAAATTTTTGTGATAGACTCTTGGTAACAATTCCGTTCTCCAGCTAAATCGACGTCAAATGTCGCCCGTTTCTTTTTAAACGTTTTGCTTGGCTTTCTTGCTGTACAAGCTTTTTTTTCTTGTCCGATCCATCGCCGAAGCATTGCACGATCAACTCGATACTTCTTTGTGGCCACATGCATAGGAAAATCCTTGGCGTATTTGACAGCTTCCAATTTGAGCTCCTTTGAATAAGCCTTGCGCTTTCGGGAAGGGCCGAATGATTCTTCGTCGTTCACTTCACTTGAGCAATTTGTTCCTCGAACATTGAGCGATCGTTTCCTCGTTCACCTTGTTCGTTGGCCAAACCTGATCGTAGAGGCCTCATATGTGCTCATGGTACTCTTTGAAAAATTCTTGCAAAATCCTGCCCTAATAAAAAGAGTAAAATACCTATTTTTAGTTATGGCAATTTTTGGGTTACGGCATAAAAAGCTCAAAAAAGGGCTTCTATTAGAGTTTTTACAGTAATTTTTTCCTCTTAACGACTTTGCTTCAGGAGCTACGAGCAAATGCGCCGATGAAGAAATTCTCGATGGGGACGGCTTTGTCGATTGGAAAGCTTTGCCTGGAATCGATCGAAGATTTACATGATGTCGGCATTCTTCACAGGTACTTGTGACTTATAAAGTCCAAAGTGTTTTTAATATTTAACTTAGGGATATTAAGCCTGGAAACTACGCGATCGGACGAAAAGAACAACATGAATTGCGTCGAGTAATTTGGTTGTTTAAACCTCTGCTAAAAAATCATCTAGATTTTTATGCTCGACTTTGGCATGGCACGGAAATTTGTGAAAAAAGACGGAGTGCTGCGTAATCCACGAATAAAAGCCGGATTTCGAGGTGGATTTGGCTTTCTTTTGTTTTTTAGATAACCTTTTACTTTAGGCACAGTTAAGTATGCACCTTTAGCATGTCACGTGCAAAGGGAACAAAGCAGAAAGGTCAAACGATTTGACTTGATATATACTGAACCTTCACTGCCATTGACATTGCTTTGATTTAGGATGATATCGAGAGCTGGCTTTACATGGTTATTGAGTTTACCGTTGGCACTCTTCCATGGCGAAATCTAACGGACCCAAATGATGTGGGACTCTTCAAAAAGGATTGCAAAGGGGTTTTGTCAAAATTTCGGTTTCCCTAGATTTGATTTCACAAAATTGTGAAGCTAAAAAAGCTATATCTTAAAAATATTGTGATGTAATTTTTAGGATCGTTACAAGTGTCTTTTTGGCGGATGTCCACGGCAGTACCTCGAAATTTTTCCGATTCTCGACCGCGGCAAATTCTTTGACACTCCCGAGTATGAGGTGATCTACGGATTGTTACACGATGCAATCAAGACAACACATTCGACAGTTTGTTCATGATTTTTTTTATAAACTCATTTCCTTTGTTTAGGAATATCCATACGATTGGGAAACGGAGGAATGGGAGAAACGAGTCGCTGAAAAAAAATGAAAAAACGAAAACGAAACCTTGAATGATGAGGATAAAGGCTTTGAAACTTTTTTACTTTTCATTTCGCAAATTTGCATGTAGCCCTTTTATTGGACCTAAGTTTCGTAAAAGTGTGCCTGCTGACGCAAAAACTATAGTCACTCGAGAAAAAATTTTTGAGTAAAGAGGTCCTGATTGGGATTCATTTTATGATCCACCCACAAACAGATGGGACTTCTCGGCTTGGATGGGGGAACTCATCAGCCTTTTCGTCCTCACCCAACATTCAGTCTACTGTAGTTGAATGGAAAAAGATGGAATTTGGTGGATTGGGATCAAGGGACGAATAGCATTTCGTAAGAATTATGGATTACTGTAAGAGAGACAGGCTATAGTAACCCGCAAAGTTTCTAAGGTAGTTTTAGAGACTACTGTAACAGCAATTGAAATACCTTGGAAATGCAAATCGTTCCTTGATCACAAAATCATCAAAAGTACTTCTGAGACAATGGATTACGGTAGTTTTTTTTCTAGAGGACACTTTTTAGAAACCAATTTTTATATCAAGAGATTTTTAACAATCGTCTTTTTTTGATCTCTGATCGATCTTCGTGCAATCGAAACCCGTTTGCACAAATTTATGACATTGCAAAGAGATTGGCGAAAAGATTGGCTCCTATTTTTGGAGCCAAATGAAGTGCCGTTTAAACTACAGTATCGAGCCGAGCGTTTTGATGATGTGAAGGGGCGGGGTGGATTTGTGAGGGTAATACGGCCCCTCATCCCATCCCATCCCTTCACTCTTCGGCCTCATCCCAGAGAGCGCCCCTCAACCCATCCATTTCATCTGCCCCAAAATCTCTACAGATATGCTTCTCAAGGGACTCCTCTTGGCCCTCGTCATGCTCGTCTTTGATGCAATGGTGGGCGCGCAGGTGAGTGAAAAGGTTTTCTTATGAAAATATCAATACTATGACAAAAATGATTGTAGTTTTGTTTGTTTGAGCTCTTCTGGCTTGAATTGCGTATTACGCTGAATTTAACTATTTAACTGAAGCATATTTACTATTTAACTAAAGCCTCTTAGATAGCAACGCAAATAAAATAATATTTACGAATTTGATCGGACTTTGGTTGCCACAACTTCAGTACGTATTCTACAGCTATTTCCAAAGGGTCTCAAAAGTTTCTTGCAACGATCCACTTCTCTTTTGCTTCATCTCATCGTTTAAGCAATGTCCGATTACATCTTTTCGTGCCTTCATTCCGTTTTTTTAAAGAATTCGGTGCACTGTGGTCTTTGAGATTCCAATTGCAGCAGTCATCTTTCGGGTTACGGTTCCTATTTTGATCTAATACGGTTCCAATACGGTTCCTATTTTGATCTAATATGGTTCTAATACGGTTCCAATACGTTTCCAATACGTTTCCAATACGTTTCCAATACGGTTTCAATAAGGTTCCAATACGGTTCTTATTTTGATCTAATACGGTCGAGTTTTTCTGTGATCTCGGCTTTCTTTTCTGTCATCTCGAAAGATCTGTTGAAAGATCTTTCGACGATTGATTCGATTGTTGGCCATGTGGCAATGGCAACCGTCGATTGTTCTTTCGACCGCGTCCTGATCGATCTTTCAATTTCCCAGTCTCTTTGTGACGCTTGATTGCTTTTGAAGGCGCTTGATTGCTTTTGAAAGCTCCATCACCGATTTGCCATCTTGTGAGAGTCGAACCATGGCTGGTCGCAAATCCAATTGTGATTTCATCCTGAAAAAAGCCAATACAAAAACCAATACTAAAGAATTTTAGTGCAAAAGAAAAGAAAAAACAGTAAAAGAAGGAGATAAAACAATAAATCTGTCAAAACAAGATTCGCTCCATAATTTTGGGACACTGTACTTATGAGAAGAGTGAACTTTTACTTGATGAGTGAACTTGATCACTTTGAGTCTTTGGACCTTTGGAGGAACTTTGGAAAACTTGTTGGCAGTTTTGTAACGGTTCAGAAGATGAAGCTTGCTTTCATTTTTTCCATTCAACTTCCCAAACCATCTTACAATTAGTTTTTTCATTGAGCGTTGATTGAGCTGTACCACCCGCAGCTTTCCGACAATTCCCTTGGCTTTAATAACCGGAGTGCCATTCTCCACGGTCCACGGAATACTTTCATCCGCTGCCAATAGAACCTCGGTGATCGGTTACGAAAAATTTCGAATCCTCCACTCGCTCTCAAATGAAAATACAATCGACTCTCTCTATAACGAAATGGAAGGGGCCAAAAAAATTCTCTGTTATATAGAGTGCCATTTTATAAAGCTTAGCGTCGGCCGGGATCAAAATTCCATTATATAGAAGTTCCGAGTGCTATGGGAGTTTAGGGGAAGCACTCAAAATTTGCCTTTAACTTCTTTGTCGATTTTCACGCGATTTTTACTATTTATTTAAAAAATAACAATTTTAACAGATTTTCTAACTCGTTTTTTATATTTTTATTTACTTTCTTTATTTAGTTATGGCGGGTATCGTTGCAGCAAATAGATTAGAGTTAAACATTTAATCTATTGAGCATTTAATCTATTGAAAGAATGACGCAAAATTGCCGCAATAGTTGCTTTTATTTTGATTGAAAAGTTGTTGTTGTTGTTGTTAAAATAAATAGTCAAAATCGCGTGAAAATCAAAAAAGAAGTTAAAGGCAAATTGATGTAACCAAATAGGAATTATAAAGAACCAAATAGGAACCAAATACGAACCAAATAGGAGCCATAAAGGAACAAATAGGAACCAAATAGGAAATGGAAATTTTGAGTGTCCCCCGAAACTCCTAAACACCGAGTTCCGTTATAGAGAGAATCAACTGTAGATTGTTTTTTCATTTCAAAGAGAAACATAAAATTTATCGCATAAAACAATAATTTCAATCAATCTAACAAAAATAAGACAAAAACAACAAAAAAAATGAAAAAGAAACGACGACGCGGCGCTCCTATCGACTACCTCCAAATGGCGGCGACGTCAATTGGATGGCGACGTCTCGCGAAAATTAACTTTAAAATCTGCGACAGAAAGAGTTGGGATCATTTCATGGGAAAACTTTCTTTTTACAATAATTTTTCTTTTTTGTTTCTTGATAATTTTGTGGGTTTTGAACTTACGCTCTATCCAAAATTTCTGTAAATGCATTTCCATTAGACTTTTTTAATGAATTCATATATATTGGGTTGGTGAATTGAAAACTGCCGGCTATTGTCATATGTGACAGTTTGAGCACTTTCTTCAAAAGAAACCCATTCTGGTGTCAATGGAAAAAAAAAGACTGAAAAAATAAAACAGGACGAAAGACTGAAAAATTCTTTGTGGCGGGGCCCTTTTATTGCGTCGGGTTACGGTAGTTTCCGACGTTTGGCGCGGAAACGTCTGAAAGTACGGTGGACGGTCCATCTGAAAGGCATCTGTCCGCCAGAATTTTATTATTTCAAGAGAGAATTCCTTTAAGTTGATTTAAAATAAAATAAAATTAAACCCAATTTGTTTAATTACTTTTTTAATTATTTATTATTTATTATTATTTTTAATTTATTGGGTTGGTGAATTGAAAACTGCGGGCTATTGTCATATGTGACAGTTTGAGCACTTTCTTCAAAAGAAACCCATTCTGGTGTCAATGGAAAAGTTGTAGAGAATCAAAAGTGAAGCTTATATCCAAATTTTCAGAACGATTCAAAAACTGGTTTTCAAGAAATGTCAAATTTACGAATTTTCACAGATGAAATGACGGAAAAGGAGGGGGGGGGGGGTTACGGTATCTGTCTGTCTTTCTGTCTGTCTTTCTGTCTGCCTTACTGTACGGGCATTTTTTCAGCCGTATTTTGACCAATATTTCATTTTGCATGAATATTATATTTTAAGTTGTTTTTGGTGTCATTCGATGTGTAATTTCATTCTTCATCAAATGATCGTTTAAATAGTCAATATATTGGGTTGGTGAATTGAAAACTGCCGGCTATTGTCATATGCCCCTTTTTGAGCACTTTCTTCAAAAGAAACCTATTCTGGTGTCAATGGAAAAGTTGTAGAGAATCAAAAATCAAGCTTATATCCAAATTTTCAGAAAGATTCAAAAACTGGTTTTCAAGAAATGCCAAATTTACGAGTTTTCACAAAACTTACAACAAAATTTGCATTTTAAGCGGAACTACTGAGTGTATCTTTTTGCAAATTTGGCTATAACCCTAATTTTTGATTCTCTACAACTTTTCTATTGACACCAAAATGGGTTTCTTTTGAAGAAAGTGCTCAAACTGGGACATCTCCAGTCCTCCATTTTTGAGTCTCACACTTGTCTCACACACAAACCAAAATCCTACTACGAAAGAGAAATCCGCAAATTGCCTGTAAAATGGGCAGAAGTCGTCAATAATAATGGAAATTATTTGGAATGAATTTATGGTTTTATGTTGAATAAATTTTAGTTCAAAGTTCAAAGTCCCGCAGTTTTCAATTCACCAACCCAATAGTTATCGTTTTTTTTAAAAGGATAACTATTGGGAAGCTAACTTCTTGAAATCTTCAATTTTGGGAAGCTAACTCTATTTTGACCACACTAAACTTGTCCCTAAAGTGACTCGATTCCTTTTTTTGGTCACTCGCATTTCGCTTTCGAAATTTCTTCAATGGTTTCGAGCAATTGAAACACGATCCTTTTCTCAAAATAATCAACAAAGACATAGCGAATGAAAAAGAAAGGAAAATCTCACAGAGGCTGTAATTTAACACTATAATTTAAGATTCAAGAACCATTTTAAAGCCAAAGAAAACAAAGAACCTTAAAAAGCCAAATCTTAAGCCAAAAGATTCAATCAAAAATAACCAAATTCTCTGAAAGAATCAGAAAATTCATCTAGAATTTCTATAGAATGGATTGTAATTGTAATTGTAATTGTAATTGCAGAATTTTTAGGCCCAACAGCAAACGTTCGACCGACAAGATCGAGACTATCGACCTCTTCAGGTAATCGGAAAGAATTGAACACTTGGGGAAAAATACTTGAGGGAAAATACTTGAGGAAAAACAATTGACCTTTTGCTTAACCAGCAGACACTCTACCACTAAGTTATTGACCTCTTCTTTAGTAGAGAAGTAATAGGAAAGAAGATAAAGATAGGAGGTAATAGGAGAGAAGATAAAGAAGATAAAGAAGAAGAAAAGATAAAGAAGAAGAAGAAGAAGAGAAGAAGGAAAAGAGAAAAGAAGAAGAAGAAAAGATAGAAGAAGAAGAAGAGAAGAAGAAAAGAGAAAGAAGAAGAAGAAAAGATAAAGAAAAAAAAGAGAATGAATTGAGATTTACATATAGACTTTTTTGGTTTGATTCAGGTTTGATTTTAAAAGATTTTAAGAAAGAGGCAAGATTTTAAAGCAAAAAAAAATTATTCTAAATCTAAAAAGAAAGCCATTTTTCTGTCTTTATACTGTTTAGAATACACTTTTTTCATGAATGATTTTTAAAGCTCATTCAAGAAGTTTAGCATTAGCAAACCGGCCTTGACTTAGCTTTAGTTTAAGCTCTCTTTGTTAGAGTTCTCTTAAATGTTTCTCTTTGCTAGAGATCTCTTAAATCTCTCTCTTTGCTAGAGTTCTATTAAATCTCTCTCTTTGTTAGAGTTCTCTTAAATCTCTCTCTTTGCTAGAGATCTCTTAAATCTCTCTCTTTGTTAGAGTTCTATTAAATCTTTCTCTTTGCTAGAGATCTCTTAAATCTCTCTCTTTGTTAGAGTTCTATTAAATCTCTCTCTTTGTTAGAGTTCTCTTAAATCTCAACATAACTCTTCTATAACGTTCACCTTTTTTCCCTATAACCCAGATTATTCGACTTGTTTTTGAAATTCTTTTTAAACAATTCTTTCCCACTTATTGGTCAATTTCTTTTGTTTTTTTTTTTGGCCAATGTTGGCCACATAAAGCCACATAAAGAGTTTTCGTTTCAAAAATGAATCTGAATTTATTAGGTTGAAAAGAAAGTTCTTGGGGGAAAAGTTTGTTTTTTGTTTGGAAAAGATTTCTCCAAAAAAAATCAAGCCCAACTAGCGTTTACTATCAACGTTAACTAGCTTTTTTATTTGCTTAAAGGGGTATTAATCGCGGCCGGGTGACGATAAAAATTTTTTTACGGCAACCACCTGTTTTTTTGTTTTAATATCGCTGATTTTATTATAAAAAGAATAAAAATCACCCGGCTAGAGTGATTTGATGGGTTTACAAATTTTTGGAGATGCTGCAAAGCTTGGAGGAAAACAAGATCGTCACTCAACAGACACCTCAGCACAGTCTAGATCGATTGAGTTTTAGTTGCAGATAAATTTAAAAACAAAATTAAAAAGCACAAAAAGTAATAAAAATAAATTGTTAATCTATAATTCTTCCTCTTGCTCACTTTCATCTTCGCGCAAGTACAGCAGTTCGGCTCAAGTACAGCAGTACAAATCGGCTTCCTATCTTATCAATTTCCAGCGCATCTTCACCAAAAGTGACTGGATCTCCTCCATCTTTCTCCTCCATTTTCGTAGGACGTCTTCAGCGCTTTGATTGACACAATTAGATCTTTTTTCATTTGTGGTCGCTTATGGTTTTAGTTTTCTCAAATAGGTGCCTTTTAGCTGAGGTGTCTGATGAGTGACGATCTTGTTTTTCTCCAAGCCTTGCAGTGTCTCCAAAAATTTGTAAACCCATCAAATCACTCTAGCCGGGTGATTTTTATTCTTTTTATAATAAAATCAGCGATATTAAAACAAAAAAACAGGTGGTTGCCGTAAAAAATTTTTTATCGTTACCCGGCCGCGATTAATACCCCCTTTAAATGAAATGAAAATGAAATGAAAACGATTCTGAAATGAAAAGGAAAATGATTCTGAAATGAAAAAGGAAACTATTTTTTTTTTTGATTTTGAAGCAGTATTACAGCAGTAAATTGTAATTTACTGCTGTAATACAGCAATAAATTTTTAAAATAGAGATTATAGAGGGGTTTTGCTCATTTATATTAGCTTTACTTTATAAAGAATCGTTTTTATCATGTATTTGCTGAATTTGAGCTGAAATTGAGCTGAATACCGTATTCTCTGCTTGCTTGCTTGCACTTGCTCCCAAACGACATACGAGAAATTCAGTCGCTTTTCATATTCAAGAAACGTATCGATGCTTTAGATCTAGTGGCTCTTTGCCGTAAGTAATTGGCTTATTGATTTCAGTATGTATTGTATGATTAAGTATCACTGTGCATTTCTCTATGATTTCTTTCACTTTATCGTTTGAATAAAGTATTATTGGGTTGATGCATAATTATCCGGACTTCTTTTATAAATGATTTTATTTAACAAAAAATAACATAAATAGTTAGAAAAATATGTTTAATTGATTATTCTGGAGCATATTCACCGCCTACATCAATAACTGATTGCCATTTGCTTGGAAGACGATCGATTCCACGAGCGAAGAATAAACGATCTTTGGAGGCAATCCACGCTTTAACATCGTCTATCAAGTCATCCAGTTCTTTGAGATCGCGAAACGACTCTGCGGCAGACCATCCCTTTTCGAAGTGGTAGAGCATGATATGGCGAAGATGGATATGATTGTCGACACGCATTTTGTTCACTAAAGAATAACGAATATTTAAAAAAAAGAAATAGACAAAAAGCTTTCAAAACAAAAAAGATACAAGCACGCAAAAAGAAGTCCGGATAATTATGCATCAACCCAATATTATTATTCTCTCTAATAATAGTGCATTCTCTAATAGTATTGCGGTAAAATAGTAGTGCATCCAGGAAAATTTGAATTTCTGGTGCTTCTTTTTCATCGAAACCTTTTTGACGTTTATGTGACATTGTTATGTTGACGTTTATGTGACATTCTAAAGCCATTCAAGCAAGCAAAAGTGAGGCTTAGGGCAGTGAGGCACTTTATTCATTTATTAACTATTCTTCATATGAAAAAGTTAGCAAAAAAAAAAATCTAAAATTGTTGTGCAAAGGGCAAAAAAATCTTTTTGTTGTTTGTCAACACACAAACACAAACAATTACTACGGTAATTGTCAACTCGCCGGCCCACAACTGTACAAAAGTACAAAAGTAATAGAATGTATTTGGGTTGGGGAGAATGAGTCGGCGCCAAACTTTAAAGGGACTTTTTGCACACATAAAGCCTTCTTTAAACATACGTTTAGTTTCATCAAAAGGATCCACTATTTCTCTACAAAATCACTTTTGAGAGATTCCACAAAGCTTTTCTTTCGTGGAGTTTATGAACTTCCATAACGCAGCTGGTTAAAATGGCAAAGAGTCCGACTCATCATTTGAACAGTTTCTTTCACATAAACCTTCTTTGGTGTTTATATAAAAAAGATAGAGCACATTCAATTACTTAAGTTGCCAAATTTGCAGGAAGATCCCACCAATGGTTTTTTCTAGATGACAGTTTGTAGTTTTTGTGAAAAAATGGCTTTTTCTTGAGCGGAGGCGCTGTTTGAATTTTCTTTTAAATGTGATTTTGTAGAGAATTAGTTAACCATTCTACTGATATCAAACGCATATTATTTGACGAAGTCGAATAGAAGTTTTAGACATTTTTTTGATTTTCGGCGCCGACTCATTCTCCCCAACCCAATATATAAAGTCTATGTAGAGGTTTTAAATCCTATGTAGGACTTGTAGATACTATGCAGAGCTTATAGATAATAGGTAGAGCTTATAGATAATAGGTAGAGCTGATAAATCCTATGTAGGACTTGTAGATACTATGTAGAGCTTCTAGAAGCTATGTAGAGCTTCTAGAAGCTATGTAGAGCTTCTAGAAGCTATGTAGAGCTTCTAGAAGCTATGTAGAGCTTCTAGAAACTATGTAGAGCTTCTAGAAGCTATGTAGAGCTTATCAAATATATACTGATATCAAACGCATATTATTTGACGAAGTCGAATAGAAGTTTTAGACATTTTTTTGATTTTCGGCGCCGACTCATTCTCCCCAACCCAATATGTCAAAAGGAGTCAAAAGGAGTACGTGAAAGAGTTGCAAGAATTTTTGGAACAAATCTTATATCTGCCTTACTTTGGTAAATGATAAAACTCTTTAATAGTAGTGCACTCTCTGATAGTATTGCGGTCCAGGAGGGGGTTCAAAAAAATAGTAGTGCGCACTACTATTAGAGAGAATATGGTAATGATTTTTCAAAAACCTCTAAAACTAAAAGCTGAACTCATTTTTTTTTTTACTACATTTTACTACACTTTTGCGCACTTTATTTCATTTTTCCTGGAATAGATTTGTATCAAATAATAGGTTGATGCATAAGTCTTTTCATTTTTTTCCGTACTTCTGTTAAAAAGTAACAAATTCACGAATTAATCTACAGTTTGCTCTATAAAAGAAGTGTTTTTTTGTTCAATTTGCATCTTTTTAAATGAATTTCGGTTCACTTTCAAGCAAATTCGAGAGTGAAAAACGCCTTTTTCGTAAAAATCTATAAAAAAAACTCTACGGAAAAATTGGCTGAATGAATTTCTCTGAAATTTTGGCGAAATATCAAACGCTTTTTTTTCTCTATCTTTTATCTATTGACACGAAGATAGGTTTTCTTTAGCTAAGGTGTCTAAACCGCATAATAATAATACTTTATTCAAACGATAAAGTGAAAGAAATCATAGAGAAATGCACAGTGATACTTAATCATACAATACATACTGAAATCAATAAGCCAATTACTTACGGCAAAGAGCCACTAGAACTAAAGCATCGATACGTTTCTTGAATATGAAAAGCGACTGAATTTTAATTCTGGCCTTTTCGACCGTAAAGTTCAATTTAGTACAACACTCAATAGAGCATACGTTTCTCTTGAGCAACGTTGGACACACTTTAGAAAAGGGATTAATCAAGAGGAAGACTTTAGACGAGAGTACGGTAGTCAATACTACGAGAGTACGGTAGTCAATACTACCGTACTCTCGTCTAAAGTCTTCCTCTTGATTAATCCCTTTTCTAAAGTGTGTCCAACGTTGCTCAAGAGAAACGTATGCTCTATTATAATAATAAATATAATAATACTTTATTCAAACGATAAAGTGAAAGAAATCATAGAGAAATGCACAGTGATACTTAATCATACAATACATACTGAAATCAATAAGCCAATTACTTACGGCAAAGAGCCACTAGATCTAAAGCATCGATACGTTTCTTGAATATGAAAAGCGACTGAATTTCTCGTATGTCGTTTGGGAGCAAGTTCCATAATCTAGCGGCTCTAACGGGAAATGAATTTGATAAAGAGGCATTGGAAGCAAAGGGAATTTGCAAAAGGAATGAGCCACTTCTGGGCCCTGACCGCGGTTTAAATTTGAAAAAGTCTATAAACAAAGGGCTAATCTGTTTACAACGGAGGATTTTGAAAGTTTCGACTAAATCAATGACAAAGCGACGATGCTGTAAAGTTTTTAGTTCAAAAAAAGCAAGTCTCTAAGCAAGCAAGCATCATCGAGTTAGCCCTTTTTGACTACCCGACTTCATACTCTCAAGAAAATCCAGGCCATCAAATATTTTAAAATCCGTTTTAATGTTATTTTGCAGAAAAATAATTGCTTTTTCTAATGAAATCAACCGTAGTTTAATTCGTGCATTTGTTGGCTTGAAACGGCAGACGAAAAGGAACGAAAAGACTTATGCATCAACCTAATAGATTTCATAAACAAATTCTTTTCCTTATCCTTAATCCCCAAAAAGCTTCTCTCTTTCTCAAAAAGCTCAGGTGTTGCTCGTTTTTCGTTCTTTTTGTTTTCATCTGTCATTTTTCATCTCTCTTTTCCACAAAACGACTCGAGAGCGTAATCGTAACGCTCACTTTCAACACTGTTACAACAAGTGAAAGAGAGTTCTAGAAAAGCGGAATTGAATTTGTTTTTGAGAAATAGAAATAGCTCATTCAAAGAAATAGCTCATTTGTTGGCTTGAAACGGCAGACGAAAAGGAACGAAAAGACTTATGCATCAACCTAATAGAATATTCTTGCATTGGTGGATTCGTTTTGAAGAATTCTAGTGAATTCGTTCTAGTGAATTCTAGTGAAACTTTTTCTGAAACCTTTCTTTCCAACCTCATTTCCAACCTTTCCAAACTGCAACGATTTAACGATCAGTTGATCTAACGATGCAAAATTTTTAGAGGTTGGGGTGGGAGGTGGGGGGAATGACGGGGGAAATGTTGCGCCAAACTTTACATAAGTTTAAATAATCAGAGAAAAAATTCATAACAATACCTAGATTTAGCTTTGTTTTAAACAAAAGAATATACCTTTTTGAAATAATTGTAGATTTGAAATAACGGAGGTGGGGGAAATGTTGCGCCAAATTTTTTTGGCGCAACTCCCATAACTTTCTTCTAAGTCGGTCAATCTCTATGATTTTTGTGTCATTTTGTTGCACTTGTTGAGATCTACAAAATGACACCAAAATCATAAAGATTCGCCCAATTAGAAGAAAGTTATTACGCAAAAAAATTTGGCACAAAGTAGGCTTGGCTATCGATATTTTGGAGTGCTCGCGTTAAAACGGACATATCTTTGTGTTTTTAGCTTCGAATGCTCTGAAACTTTTACCAATGGAAAGCAAGAAGTTCAACCTTCATTTTGGCACCTAATACGTACTGTTAGAAGAGCAATGTATCACAAAAAACCTTATCGATACGATTATATCGATTATCGATAAGGGATCGATTATCGATATCGATAGCATTGATAGCAGATCGATTAGGTTATTAGAGCTGCGTTTTGCGCGCTCTTCTAAGTATTAGTCGGAAAGGAACCAAATTTAGAGAGATAAGGAACCAAATATCTAAATAAGGAACCAAATTTGTAGAGAAAAGGAACCAGAGAACTGCTGGAAAAAAAGACAGAAAGACAGACAGAAAGACAGACAGAAAGACAGACAGAAAGACAGACAGATACCGTAACCCCCTCCCCCCTCCCCCTCCTTTTCCGTCATTTCATCTGTGAAAATTCGTAAATTTGACATTTCTTGAAAACCAGTTTTTGAATCGTTCTGAAAATTTGGATATAAGCTTCACTTTTGATTCTCTACAACTTTTCCATTGACACCAAAATGGGTTTCTTTTGAAGAAAGTGCTCAAACTGTCCCATATGACAATAGCCGGCAGTTTTCAATTCACCAACCCAATATATATGAATTCATTAAAAAAGTCTAATGGAAATGCATTTACAGAAATTTAGATAGAGCGTAAGTTCAAAACCCACAAAATTATCAAGAAGAGCTGCGTTTTGCGCGCTCTTCTAAGTATTAGTCGGAAAGGAACCAAATTTAGAGAGATAAGGAACCAAATATTTAAATAAGGAACCAAATTTGAGAAAGACCAGAGAACTGCTGGAAAAAAAGACAGAAAGACAGACAGACAGACAGACAGATACCGTAACCCTCCCTTTTATAGAGAACTTTTGGTTTTCCAATGGTAAAAGTTTCAGAGCATTTGAGTACTTTTGTGTAGTACTTGTTTTGCGCGACAACTCCAGAAATATTGATAATTGATAATAGCCAAGCTAGCCGAGCTTGCCAAGCTCCCAAAATATTAATAATAACCAATCTAGCCACCTCCAAAGTGCTTCAAAAAAATCTAAGCACTTTCTAATTGCAATAGGATTACGATAGCTTTCAAAAGTTGACGCGTTTTGCTTTAGCGAGCTGTAAAGCCGGTTTCAGCTTCTTCTAGAGATCTTATATTTTTACCAATAGCTTTATTAGATTAGATTTATTAGATTTTAGATTTATTAGATTAGATTAATTAGATTTATTAGATTTATTAGATTTTCTAATTTTTTAGCCTAAACCTCAATCTCGAAAGTATAAAATTTAGCAAATTATAGGAAAGAAATTCTCTAAATCTTCGATCAAAAAGCCTCGAATTTCTAGTTCGGTAAACGAGATGGTTATCGCCCGTTGCAATTCGGTAAACGAGAGTACCGACCACTTCAATTCGGAAAGAGGAGCGGAGTGGACGCGATCTTTTTCCCAGCAATCTAGAAATCTTTTGATTTTCTAGTAAAGTGAGTGAAGATAAAGATTACCGTATTTTCTCTAATAGTTATAGTTTCTCTAATAGCACCCAGAGCGTCGCCTAAATTCGTATTTTCTCTAATATTAGTGCACCCTGATTAACCCCCTCGTTCTCAATCCCATTTGAGATATTCTTATGTTTTTTCTACCAAAAGATAGCCCTTGATTTTCTCTATCTTTTGGTATATCATACATAGAAATATCTTAAAATGGAGTTGAGAACGAGGGGTTTAAAGTTGGTCGAAGGGTTGTGGATGAGAGTCAACTTTAGACACCTCGTTCTCAGCTCAATTTCGAGATATTCTTATGTTTTCTCTACCAAAAGATAGCCCTTAATTTTCTCTATCTTTTGGTATATTAAACATAAAAATATCTTAAAGTTGAGCTGATAACGAGGCGTCTAAAGTTGACCCTCGTCCTCGACCCCTCGACCAACTTTAGATTCCTCGTTTGCTCGAAGTTGCTCGAAATCTCGAGAAGCGCTTATCAGAACCTATCGATGTGCGGTCGGAAAATGTAGCTGACGATGAGATCTAGCAGGGGATTTGAGTGTTGAGCTTCTGGGAAAGCTTTGGAAGCTGTAAAGTAGTCATCAACTCGGCTCGCTTGGGTGCACTACTATTAGAGAAAATACGGTGGTAGACCTCACCCCTACTGTCTAAGTATCTCTAAAGGGTACTGTAACTGTCTACGTATCTTTAAAGGGTACTGGTATCTCTAAATGGTATCTCTAAATGCACTTTAAGAGATTTGATTTGAAGTTTTTTTGATCAATTTCAAGTGAAACCCTTAAGAGACCCATGTAAAAGCGATATTTAACCTTTAAGACTTTCGCATACTGTAACAGATGACTTTAAAGGGTTTAAAAGGTTTAAAATGTTTAAATGGATATGCTAATTCTTTTTGATTCATTGAAAAACGCCTTTTCATTATGAAAAACTATACAAAATCCAAAGCCATTTCGATTTCTTTAAGAATTTCTTGGGGAAAATGATTAAAATAAACTTTGTCAATAGATTCTACGACTCTGATAACCCCAGGGCAAAAATTTGAAACATTAAATCTCATTTGGGAATCATTTACAGAAGAAAAGAAAAATGATTGTAAAGTAGCGAGGTGTTCTTTGTGTGCGGCCATAATCGCACTTCATCTGGCACACAGTACCGATAGATAGCGACTGTGAGGACCTCCTGGAGCCAATCTCATTTGGGAATCTTTTTTTTGAGCTCTCTTCCCGCTTAGGTGTTCCTATTTGCGCAGATCACAACCTGCTTTCGCATTTGCTTCCCTTGCCATTGTCATCCAGTGTTTCCTATCTTGATTGTTCCTGGTTCGAAGTCTTCGACTTGCTTGTGATGGTTCGACTCTAGCCATCCCTAGCCAGCCATCCCCTAGCCAGCCATCCCTAGCCAGCCATCCCTAGCCAGTCATCCCTAGCCAGCCATCCCTAGCCAGCCATCCCTAGCCAGCCATCCCTAGCCAGCCATCCCTAGCCAGCCATCCCTAGCCAGCCATCCCTAGCCAGCCATCCCTAGCCAGCCATCCCTAGCCAGCCATCCCCAGCCAGCCATCCCCAGCCAGCCATCCCCAGCCAGCCATCCCTAGCCAGCCATCCCTAGCCAGCCATCCCTAGCCAGCCATCCCTAGCCAGCCATCCCTAGCCAGCCATCCCTAGCCAGCCATCCCTAGCCAGCCACTCTGTCCATCTCTGCCATTCTTGTGCTCCACCTCGTTGCTGGTCTTCCGATCCTCTGGTCTAGCCACTCTGTGATTTTATGAATCTTACAGAACAAAAGAAAAATCGCTCTGTGACTGGCGAGATGTTCTTTGTGCGCGAGCAAAATCACTTTCCATCTGGCATCCCGTCTCGGTATGCTAGATGGAATTTTATTTTAACCATTTGACTCAAGAAAGTCTCAAGAGAATCGAAATGGCTTTGGGTTTCGTATTTGATAGTTTTTCATAATGAAAAGCCGTTTTTTCAATAGATTCAGATTTGCGAGAAGAAAAGAATCGATTTCTAGAGCTTATTCCACGAAACAACTCACCAAGGGATCAAGAAGAATACGCAAAAGTCAAAGAAAAGAGACTGTGATCTCCTTTTCTTTCTCTCTCTCTCTCTCTCGGTTCAATATTTGAATATCTTTATCTATCATTTGTTATTTAGTCTATTGTCTAATCTATTGTCTAACCTTTTGTCTATCCCTTTTTTGATCTATCTCTCTCTTTTTATTGATCTTTCACTGAATCTCTCTTTGAAATGAAAGTGTTGTGAGATGTCGAGCCCCTATTATTTTTGAATAAACGAATACTTGTTAGAGGAAAGAAAAAATTTTTTGACTTTAAACTTTCAAAGTTGAATCTTTAGCTAATTAAGACGATGAGGATCAAGAGATTAAGCTGGATTTGAATTGATTCTGAAGCCTACTACAGTCTACTGTCTACAGTCTACTGTCTACAGTCTACTGTCTACAGTCTACTGTCTACAGTCTACCGTCTACTGTCTACAGTCTACAGTCTACTGTCTACAGTCTACTCTCTACTATTCAATTCTCTAAAAAGAATACAATCTCTAGAGTGGCTATTGGCCTATTTGGCCAAAATTTTCTTTTAGAAATCCTTCAAGATCTACATTTTAGGTTTTTGATGTTAAAATCCTAATTGTTGCTTTACGAAGTGTCTATTTCGATTACTATAGTAAAAAAAGTGATAAAGATAATGATGAGAACGAGAATGAGAACGAGGATGAGAACGGATACAAGTGAACGGAATGACAACGAGGGGGAGAGGGGGGGGAGAACGAGAATGAAACAAAATGGAACGGAATGAGAACGAGAATGAGAATGAGAATGACAATGATAACTGCTGTCTTGCTGTCTTGTTGTCTTGCTTGCTCTATTAGACTGTTCCAATAGACGTACACTCTAGAGAATGAGAACAAGAATGACAACGAGAATGACAATGACAATGCCAATGATATTTTGCCATTTCTTGTCGTCATTTCGTTATCATTCTCTAGAGTGTACGTCTATTGGAACAGTCTAATAGAGCAAGCAAGACAGCAAGACAGCAAGACAGCAACACAGCAAGACAGCAAGTTGTCATTGACATTGTCGTTCTCATTCTCGTTGTCATTTCACTTTTTGCTCACTTTAATGATTCAGTGAAAAGAATGATGCTCGTAGTGAGAGTTCGTAAATGCTTTTGGACTTCTATTGGACTTATCTAGCATTTCCATATGTCAGAAGGTGAGCGACTGTGCTCTCTACCAAAGTACTTAACTTACGCTAGGGTTAACGGTGTACAGACGGTACTATTAGAGATTAGAGTGAGCTTCTCTTCGTTAATCTTGATCTTGGGATGGGTGACGAGGATGTCAACTACGACTCGAATGCGTCAATTGAATTAAACACTACTAGAAATGAATGGACGTCTGCTAGCCATGCCGAAACCGAAGAAGGACTTCAGAGGATAGAATTCAATGATCTGGATACCAAAGCATTCTTGGTGAATGATAATGTTTTAAATTTGTTTTCTTGTTTATTGTTACTTTATTACTTGTTACTTTGTTCTTTTACTTTGTTACTTTGTTACTTTGTTATTTTACTTTATTACTTTGTTACTTTATTACTTTGTTCTTTTACTTTTTTGTTATATTTTTTGCTTTAGTTATCCAATTGTTTATGAATAAAACGTAAAGAATATTTCTTGTATTTGAAATCTTTATCATCATTTTTTGATGTAGTTTAGATCACAGCTTTATAAAATATATGTACATGGTCTAAGACGTATACTCTACGGTCTAAGACGTATACTCTTGAAAAATCGACGCACATTTACGTATATTAGAAGTTTTAGAAGTAGAAGTAGAAGCAGAAGTGGAAGTAGAAGTAGAAGTAGAAGTAGAAGTGGAAGTGGAAGTAGAAGTAGAAGTAGAAGTGGAAGTAGAAGTAGAAGTAGAAGCAGAAGTGGAAGTAGAAGCAGAAGCAGAAGTGGAAGTAGAAGTAGAAGTAGAAGTAGAAGTAGAAGTAGAAGCAGAAGTAGAAGCAGAAGTAGAAGCAGAAGCAGAAGCAGAAGCGGAAGTAGAAGCAGAAGTAGAAGTAGAAGTAGAAGTAGAAGTAGAAGTAGAAGTGGAAGCAGAAGTAGAAAGAGAAGCAGAAGTACTTTTAGAAATAGAATTAGTTGAGATGATTAGACATTATCCGTAGCTGAATCAAATACCAAAGCATGAATAAAAACCAACGAATGGAAATAAATACATTCAAAACTCGTTAGGTGGAAAAGATCCTAAGAAAACCGTTCACTATCGAGGCTCGTTTACTATCAAGGTTTTATAAGGAATGACAATAAAAACGGAGAAAAAACGCATCCTATAGCATCTTGTAGCATCTTGTAGCATCTTGTAGCATCTTGTAGCATCTTGTAGCATCTTGTAGCATCTTGTAGCCTCTTCGTAGCCTCTTGTAGCCTATAGCAGTCTTGTAGCAGTGTACTGTAACTTGAAATAATAGTAAGTTGATGGTAGTCAAAAGTGAACGCGTTTTAGAAAACGAAATCACAACATTTCTTTCTCATTTGGATTGGTAGAATCGGGAAAAGAAATGGCCGATTGTAACAAGAGTCGCTTCTCCTTTTTTCCCCCAATTTCCACAAATATTTGACGATACGCCTTGTCGACAATCCAACAACGGAATAGAGGACAATGACGGAATTCTATTCTTCAATTTCACATCATTAGTTCGTTTTTTAGTTGAAAAACTCAAAACCTAAGCTTTAAAGCTTGTACTTTGTGCTTCATTGTGTAAGCAGGAGCTTTTGGTGCACTGAATTCAGAAGGATTTCGAAAATTCTTCTTTACTGAAAAAATTCTAGTGATTTTGTGAAAATTCTGTTTCTTTATGGCTGATTTTGGCTTTAAGTCATTCATTGTTTGGAAAAGTTCGTTGTTTGTCTGTTTGTCTGTTTGTTTGTTTGATTGTTTGTCTGTCTGTTTGTCTGTTTGTCTGTCTGTCTGTTTGTCTGTCTGTCTGTTTGTCTGTCTGTCTGTTTGTCTGTCTGTCTGTTTGTTTGTCTGTTTGTTTGTCTGTCTGTTTGTCTGTCTGTTTGTTTGTTTGTTTGTTTATTTGTTTATTTGTTTTGAAAAGTTTGTTCAAAACAGTTTTGTTTCAATTCGCATTGAAAAAGGAAGAATTTTTGTCACGAGTAGGGGTCGAACCCACGGCCTCTGACCTGTGGGTTGCCCAGAGACCAATGCTCTAACCGACTGAGCCATGACTGCGGGCTTTCCTTCCCCCCAGGAAGGGCATTCAAAAGGGCCTGTTAACAAGTTTTGAGCTCAAAGTAAATGATTATTCTTAAGATCTTCAATTCAAATGCTTGTAATCGCTAATTGTACCGTAATTTGAAGCTTTTTGTAGTCGAATGTCAAATCTTTTGCACTCAATTCGACCGTATTCTTTCAGCTTTTACCGTAATCCATTTTCTTATAGAATTTTCAACAAATCTACTAAGCTAAATCGATTTTCTTTGTAGATTTTTAACAAATTTAATACGGATTTAATAGAATGTTTCAAAATTGTAAAGGGCAGGCAACCTATCCCCTCTTTTTCGAGATTTATTCAAAGTTAATCCCACGGTTAGTTCAAGGAGAGGTTCTTTCGTTTTAGAAATTCTTTCGTTAGAAATTCTTTCGTTAGAAATTCTTTCGTTAGAAATTCTTTCGTTTTAGAAATCCCAGTCACCTTTAATAAGTTTGTTTATAACTCTTTTCCAATAAGAATTGCCCAATAAGAACTGTCAGAATTTGGAGTCGACTCCCCAGAGTCTCGTAGAGAGTCCAATCGTCTCGAAACCTTTAAATTATCTGTAGATGATCTTGATCTTGAAGCGCTAGTGGATCCTAGAGCTCTAGTGGCTCTAGTTCAAGCTTCAAGCTCTAGTGGATCCTTGACGTTTTCTGTGCTACCCACATTTTACATATATTATATCGTGTTTCTTTTTATCGGCCCTTTTCGTGTTATGTGCATGAATTCATGTGTTTTAAATCTTAAATCTAGTGCACTTTATCTCAGGTCCTGAATAAAGTATCTATATAAATCTACCAAGCTAAATCGATTTTCTTATAGATTTTCAACGGTTCCTGTTTTGATCTAATACGGTTCCAATGCGGTTCTTTTTTTGATCCAATACGGTTCCAATACGGTTCCAATAAGGAAATCTATTAAGCTAAATCAATTTTCTAATAGATTTCCAACAAATCTACTAAGCTAAATCGATTTTCTAATAGATTTCCAACAAATCTACTAAGCTAAAGCGATTTTCTTATAGATTTCCGACAAATCTACTAAGCTAAATCAATTTTCTTATAGATTTCCAACAAATCTACTAAGCTAAATCTCCTTAAAATCCCAAAAATTGATTGAAAATCAAAAAAAATTCTTCTTTTTGTCTTGTTTTTCTTGAGATAATTTGAGATTTTGAAAATTTTTCAACAATTTTTCAACAATTTTCCAACAAAAGTGCTTCAAAGTTCTCTCAACCCCTTTTCCTTCAATTCTAATTAAATGTCTGAGAATTATTCTGAAAAAAAGTGAATTGTTTTTCAGAAAAGATTCAAAATTTCAATCAATTTCTCTCTTTTTTTACGTTTTTCTATTTGTAAAAGATTTTAGTTTAAAGATTTTGAACTTTATTTGAGAAATTCTCTTTTAGACTCTTTTAGATATCGATATGCTTTATTTAGTTAAATAGCGATAGTGACAGTGACGTTGAATAGCGACAAAAAAGATCACAATAATCACCAAGGACACCAAACACACCCAAAAAAGATAAAAAGATACTTGAAGAAAGACAGAACAGTCAAATCAATTGCCGAAATTGCGCAGTGGGAATATGGGAAGTGGGGATATCTAGCTGTGATATGCTGTGATCTAGCATATCTAGCTAGGCAGGGGTATCACGAACATAAGAGGGTAAAAGGTTTCACAATTTAATAACTCGATTAAAAAAGAAACTGTGGAAGTTAGAAACGGAAACGGAAGATTAGCTGTTGGAAACGATGGTTAGTGGTTGGAAACAGAAGGTTAGCAGTTGGAAACGAAGTTAGCCGTTGGAAACGGGTTAGCAGTTGGAAACGAAGGTTAGCAGTTGGAAACGAAGGTTAGCTGTTGAAAACGGGAGGTTAGCTTTTGGAAACGATGGTTAGAGGTTGGAAACAGAAGGTTAGCAGTTGGAAACGAAGGTTAGCTGTTGGAAACGGAAAGGTTGGCGCATGAGAAAAGTCGCACTTCTGGAGGCGCCCCGTAGAGAGTGCTTTGCTTTGCGCTTTGCTTTCCTTTGCTTTGCGCTTTGCGCTTTGCTTTGCGCTTTACTTTGCTTTGCGCTTTACTTTGCTTTGCGCTTTACTTTGCTTTGCGCTTTGCTTTGCTTTGCGCTTCTTTGCTTTGCGCTTTGCTTTGCGCTTTGCTTTGCGCTTTGCTTTGCGCTTTGCTTTGCGCTTTGCTTTGCTTTGCGCTTTGCTTTGCGCTTTGCGCTTTGCTTTGCGCTTTACTTTGCTTTGCGCTTTACTTTGCTTTGCGCTTTGCGCTTTGCTTTGCTTTGCGCTTTACTTTGCTTTGCTTTTTTTCCCTTTTTTCCCTTTTTTCACTTACAAGCTTGATTACAATTCATTTTTTTATGCAGGAACAATTTGTAGGAGTATAGCCGTGTAGGGGTGGGGTGGGCAGGGGTCCTGAGGGAGTGGGGATTCAAGAGAAGAGATGGGGGGTACTATGGCTATGGAAAAGAAGCAAGAGAAGCAAGAGAGAGGTGCGGCCGGCCGTTCCGCTGGGATAGGGCAATCGATTCGCGTTGCGTGCGGTGCGTCGCGTTTTTTTCCACTCTTCTCTCTTTTCTTTTCTCTTTTTTCCTGACTCTTTGACATTGAGACGAGAGTCTTTGATCTTCAAACGATTTTTTTTTGAAAAATATTGACTTATTATTGACTTTTAAAGTTTATTTGGTCTTTTTTGAGTTTATTTAGCGTTTAAATCGTTTAGGTTTATTGTTTTCAAGCGTAGCTTAGGCTTAAATCTGTTATTTATCTTATTTAAGAGGCCTATTTGTGCCTTTTCTTATATTGTATTATTGTTGAGCGTTTAGATGGAGTTGAGTAATAGAAATGTGCATTTTCTTGCGTACTGAATTCTTTATTCTTTGAAGTTGAGTATATTTTTATAGTTTTTATAGTTTTTCTGGTTTTTATAGTTTTTCTAGTTTTAAAACAGGCTTGGACCTGTATCGATTTCTAAAATTAATTAAAAAATAAGCTTCAATCGTGACTTACAAATTTCTACTCAATTTGTCTAAACGATCAATAAATTATCAATGTTTGCTTTGTACTTTGCTTTGTACTTTACTTTGTACTTTACTTGGTACTTTGTGCTTACACTTTATGCTCAAACGTACCTTTCTAGCACACTGAATTCTTCATTTTTCTCACGATTTCTAGAAGAAAAATGAAGAATCCAGTGCACTAGGTGCTTATTTTTAAGCACCTAGTGCTTTAAGCTTTAAGCTCAAAGTACAATTCAAAAGTACAATTCAAAATTTCTATAGCATTGAAGAAAAGGCGAAAAATGAAAATGGTTTAAATGATCGTTGATTGAGAAGCTTTGTGACGAAATGCTTCTTCTGAGAATGCAAGAAAAGCGCGAGACGCGCGAGAGCAATGATCGGTAGTGAAATGCAAAAAAAACGAAAAATCGAAAAGAAAGCGCTTATCGTTTTAGTTTGGTGAAGTTGTCTTGATGCAAATTGAAAAATTTTATGTACTCTGTGTACTTTGTGCTCTAACTTCTAAACGCATCCCTTTTGGCGCTGAATTCTTCATTTTTCTCGCGTATTGCCGTGAGAAAAATGCAGAATTCAACGCTAGAAGGGATGCGTTTAGAAGTTAGAGCACAAAGTACATTAGAAAGTCTACTCATTGGTTTAAATATCAATTAAAAAGTCGTTATTTCGAAAGTTTGGTTATATTCTGTTAGTTCTAAATTCTATAATCTAAATCTAAAACGCATCCAGACAACTTTTTCCCTTTGGTGGTGGTTGGTTTGCTCGCGGCCGCTCTTTGAAATGCGTTTCGTCAAATTTTCAAATCTTTCTCGGTTCAGCTTATATTAACTAGTCATTTGACCTTAAAAATTGCATATCTAAGGCTAAAGACTATTACTAAAAGTCTATTGTTTATTAAACTTTAGAAAAAGAAGAAAAAGAAAAAGAAAGAAGAGAAAAAGAAAAAAAAAGAAATATAAAAAGTCGCGCTAAATAGCTTAAAACCTGTAAAAGCCATTTATTCATTCACTTAACTGAATATCTTTAAAACAGACAAGAAAAAAACTATTTAAGCATTGAAGTTTTTCATAAATCCGGGGTTGGGGAGTGGGACAAATGCGACCTTTTTTTTGCGCACCCGGCCATTTGCGCACCTTTTTTTCCGCACCTGGCCCATTAGCGCACCTTTTTCGCGTTTAAAAAGCCAAAAAGCAATATAACCAATTTCTATTCCAAAAGTTGTTTTCTAGGTAATTTGAGGGTGTAGAATCGAAATTTTGACATATCAGAGCTTGTGGAAGCGAACGGACGGAGTTATACAAAGAGAAAAATCGACCATTTTCTGTAATTTGACCTACCCGTTTTGTCTTTCAAATTGATTCCACACGCTCTGTTATGTCAAAATTTCGATTCTACACCCTCAAATTACCTAGAAAAACAACTTTTGGAATAGAAATTGGTTAATATTAGCTTTTAGAGCTTTTTAACGAAAAAGGCGCTAATGGGCCAGGTGGAAAAGGTGCGCATGGCCGGGTGCAAAAAGGCGTTTGTCCCACTCCCGGGGTTGGGACAATTTTCTTTCGCTGGAAAAGGCCTTAGGAAAGGCCGTAGAGCTTCAAAAATGTTTTTAGAGAAGGGAATCGTATGCGTAGATTCCGAATTTCGACAAATCCGACCTCGCTGACACGTCAAATTTTGGCTAAAAGGCAAAAACTGCGGAAAAGCCTTAAGTTGCGTAGTTTTTGCCTTTTAGCCAAAATTTGACGTGTCAGCGAGGTCGGATTTGTCGAAATTCGGAATCTACACATACGATTTCCTTATACGTAAATATTTTTGGAGTTGCCGCGCAAAAAATATAACTTTACACAAAAGTACTCAAATGCTCTGGAACTTTTACCATTGGAAAGCCAAAAGTTCAAGCTTCATTTTGGTACCTAATACTTAGAAGAGCGCGCAAAACGCAGCTCTAATAACCTAGTCGATCTGCTATCAATGCTATCGATATCGATTATCGATCCCTTATCGATAATCGAGATAATCGTATCGATAAGGTTTTTTGTGATACATTGCTCTTCTAACAGTACGTATTAGGTGCCAAAATGAAGCTTGAACTTCTTGCTTTCCATTGGTAAACGTTTCAGAGCATTTGGAGCTAAAAACACAAAGATATGTCCGTTTTAGCACGAGCACTCCAAAATATCGAATAGCCAAGCCTACTTTGCGCCAAATTTTTTGCGTAATAACTTTCTTCTAATTGGGCGAATCTTTATGATTTTGGTGTCATTTTGTAGATCTCAATAAGTGTAACAAAATGACACAAAAATCATATAGAGATTGACCGACTTAAAAGAAAGTTATGGCGAGTTGCGCAAAAGACAAAAGACTGCGCAAAAAATTTGGCGCAAAGTAGCCACTTCCTAAACGCGTTCCAGCTATTTTTAGCTTCGAACTGACAACTTTTTCGCGCCAAAAACTCTCTTCTAACGAATTATCTTTCGAAATCAAAAATATCGCGCTGTGAAGTGTAGAGATCGGCAAAAAGATAGCAAATTCTCTAAAAATTCCGAAATATTCGCCCTTTTCCTGATCGAATCGACCCTTTTTCATTTGGTTCGTCTTCGTCACGTTTTCGCTATTTGAAAAGAACATTTGGCTTTCGAGATTTGTTTGATTGTGTCCGCCGAATTGCGTTTCGTATTTTTGTCCGTGCTGTTCACATTTCGTGATCATTGTTTTAAAAAAATCTTTTCCAATTTAGCCGCGCTTCATCCGGCGTTCGCAGTGCGGGTAATACGAGCCGAGGTCACGGCCTGCTTCAGGTAGAGTTTTTGGTTTTAAAATCTTTAAGTTATAGGTTAGATATCGAAGGCGAGACATTTTCTATCTTTGCACAGCTTTTGCTTTTTAAAGCGCAAAATTTCGTCATATCTACCTTTAGTGGTGGGGCTTTGAAGGTTAATACATTGGGAAGCATTTAAAAATCACGTAGACTGGTCTTAAAATTATTTAGTGACTAGTGAGTAACTTGTTTTATACCCAAAACGAGCCCGTGTAGTTCCAATTTCTCTTTGGACAGGAATTGACCACCTAATTAGCCCGATTTGCATTGCCAGGCACCTTTTCAAGCATTTTATTATTATTCCATGGATTTAAAAAGTAGAATATGGTAAAATGCCTATATTTTTTTAGACTTTAGAAAACAGGAAGCACGTCCTTTTGACTAATTATCTCAACAAGACCATTTATGAATGGAGTTGGGTAAATTTCCGTTGCTCTTTTCACGATCGGATTATCCTGAGTGAAATCCCGAGAGGGGGGCAAAAGAGCGGTGGAAGCGCCTCACCTTTTTTGATTGGAAATTTCCGGTGAGAAAGTGAGGCCCGCCCCATCCCATTCCCTCCTATATTTCCCGTTTGTTCTTTTTTTTGCACACTCGACCGTATCGATTCATAATCCGTTTCCCCGTTGTCCTCCCGTCATTCTATTTTTGGGGCGACCAGCCATAGATACCGTGTAAGGGAACGATCCGTTTTCACTGTTTATTGACATTTTCGTGACTCGTTTTGGGGTTCTTTTGGATGGTTTTAAGTTTTTGCCGTATTAAACTTGGTTATAAAAATTTAGGCTAAAAAACGAACTTAATTAAGTGTTTACATGGTAGAAAAGCTTGCCAGTTCTTACCTTTCACTTCAATGTTTCGTTTTCAGGGTATCCAGTGGCAGTTATCGGGTGCCGTTTCTACACCAGCCGTCGTAGGCATGACAAATGTGCGTTTGTTTTATTTTTGAGTTTTGAAAGCGAGATTTGATGATCATTGATTTAAATACGTTTTTAAACACTCGATTTTTCTTTTTCCAGGTGGGTGGTCGAGGCCCCTCGGGGTCAACGTCAGGTGGACAACCTGCATCAGCTTCACAAGGAGTGCTTATGGTCGGCCCTAACTTCAAGGTGAGAGTGGATCACAAAAGCACGCCCGCCACTTCTCGAAACTCCTTTCGGAAAATTTCCTCCTGATAAGCTTTGTGCTTCGTGGGATACGTTCTCTTTTCTTTTCTTTTCTTTTATTCTTTTAACAATGCCCCCAAGATTTCACGTAGGTTATATGCTTTGGTTCGGAAATTTTTAACTCATGGTGTTGTTGTATCCTTAACTTTTTTGGGGAATAACAACTACCGTAAATACTGTAATAATACCCCACCCCCCTCGTACAGTCGCGTAGTCGCAAAAGTTTTTTAGTATTACATTTTTTGCAAAGCACCCGTACTTTCAAAAAATGCGTCTTTGGTCTCAAAAAATAGCCCTGAATTTCAGCTATTTTTTGATATCTAAGCGCGCATTGTGACATAAACCAGTGTCGAGAAAAACGCGTCCAAAGCTAGACTACGCAACACTCCGCGTCGTCATTATGGGGGTGGGGTACTATTACAGTATTTACGTCTTTTAGGCGTCTGCTAAGCTAAGGCTTAGGCTGAAAACTAACTACCTATTTACGATAGGTAGTTAGTTTATACCTAAGCTGTCGCATAAAGTTTACCTTTAATCATTGATCATTAAAACGTTTTATTATCAAATTCTAGGTGGGCAAGAAGATCGGATCGGGAAATTTTGGAGAGCTCCGATTGGGCAAGAATCTCTACAACAACGAGCATGTAGCGATCAAGCTGGAGCCGATGAAAAGCAAGGCTCCCCAACTTCATTTGGAGTACAGATTCTACAAGCTATTGGGTCAAGCTGGTTCGTTTTTAAACATTTGAAGGTGGTAGATTATTAGATAAATTCCTTTAAACTACTCGGAACAGCTAGTGAAAGAAACTTGTGTCTATTCAACTCTTTCTATTTCAGAGGGTCTTCCACAAGTGCACTACTTCGGACCGTGCGGGAAATACAATGCTTTGGTGATGGAATTGCTCGGACACTCGTTGGAGGATCTCTTCGATCTTTGCGAGCGGCATTTCTCGTTGAAGACCGTTGCAATGATCGCCATGCAATTAGTGGGTTTTTGAAAAAGAAGTGCCAAAGCTTTGAGATAAACTGCAGTCAATAGCTGCAAGAATCTTTTGTTGAGGATTATTATAGCACACTTTTGTTTGACTGTCATGCAAAATTTTGTATTTTCCTATCCATAGCACCTTTGGCCTTAAATTGTGACGCAAACTAAATCCAAAACAATTCTTTAGGAAGATTTTCTTGCAGTAACTTTCATTATCATGGCAAAATTCCCTATTTTCTTGAGCCCTTACTAGTCCACTATCCTATCAAATTACTGTCAATTTCAAAATCGGGACAATTTTTGAGCTATTTTCGCTTTTCTCCGATCACTAGAAACATGTTGCCGGGGTGTGCTCGTGCGCGTTTTGTGCATACGTTCTATTTGCATTGATTGACTGGTAGTCTCTCTTTTTTCCATCGTCTCGTCACTAGGAGAAATAATCGCCATATTTTTTTCCTTCTTTTTTCTCTTTTCATTTTATCTCTTTTCGTTTGGACAGCGGTTCAATTTCGCAGTGATTCACGGCACAAGGTTTGCGAACACTGGGGACAGTCATTGGAATTTAGTTTCCTGTATCAAGAAATTGTGTTTATAGAATTGTTTTGAGCACAAAGACAAAGAATCGATCTTTGTGTAGCGAGAGAAAATTGAATGCAAGCGATATAGTATAGGGTAGATTTAAAGGGAAATGAAGCAGGCAATCTCTCCTTTTTGTTTGGAGAAAAGAGAAAGAAGCCATTTCGGATTCGTCTTCTCGTTTCGGCGATTCTATGCAATGACCATTGAAAGACAATGCCGGGATAGAGGGGAAAGGAGGTGGTGCCAAAAGAGGACCCACCGACCCCATGGGATAACACATTGGGAGTGCAAAAAGGGACTATGAGGGTCGTCTTCGTCTAGACACAATATCACGGACGGTTTTTGTGTTGAGTATTTGCATATTCACAACAAATGTGATGCAGTAGGCCCTCGTTAATAAGGAAAAATCGATGTGGAAAAAAGTGGTGAAAAGATTTCAAGAAGCCATCAACTAAAACAAAGTCTATGCAAGTTTCAACAACCTTGCTTATCGGGTTGTTTTGCCTGATTCCTCATAAACGCCATGGTGCTGTTTAAAATTTCTAGACTCTAGCTCTTGCTAATAAAATAATGTCTATTTATTTGTGGTTAGGTTAGCCTATGCACATTGAAAGAAAACGCAAAGAAGAGGTTCCAAGAGGAGAGAAAGCCCCCCGGGGATCGACCATAAAACGAAAGAGAATAGCGAAAGGGTTAGAGATTCCCAGTTTTCCACTGCTTTTCGTTGACTCTTAAATAGAAAGGGGGCTTTGAAAGTAGATATGTATGTAGAAGACGAGACGCTTCAATCGATGTTAGATGGAACAAAGAAAAGAGGGGTGAAAAGAAACTTGTCGGGATTCACGCTCCACAGCTGATAAGTGGGTATGTGTATCGCCTCTCTTTCTTTTCTTTTCCTCTCTTCATCCATTTCCACTTGACTCTCAAGCACTTTGTTTCTTCTTTTTCATCGTCAATCCCAGAGCGCGTCTTGAAATTCCGGGGGAGACAAAAAGAAACATAAAGAGACGAAAAAAAAATGACCGATCTGTAGTAAACACAGCAATGAGTTGGATAGTATCAAAAAGTGTGTTAATGTTAAAAGTTCTATGCACTGGCGAAGATATCGAATGTTATGTATCATTAAAATTTGTAACTATCTTTTTTATTTAATTGCTTTCAATTTTCAGATACGACGGATAGAATATGTTCACTCAAAGCACCTCATCTATCGTGACGTTAAGCCGGAGAATTTCCTCATTGGTTTGTGATTTGCGATCGTTTTTATAATTCTTTTCTGTTCAGGTCGATACTCGACAAGAAAACAACACATTTTGCACATTATTGACTTTGGTTTGGCAAAAGAATACATCGACTGTGATACGGGTGAGTTGAAAAGAAACTTTAAAGAAATTGAATCGTTACCAAGGCTCAAAACAAATCAAAACTTTTAGGCAAGCATATAGCTTATCGAGAACACAAATCTTTGACGGGTACCGCACGATACATGTCGATCAATACGCACTTGGGCAAAGAACAGAGCAGGTTGGGTCTATTTTTAGTACTGAAACTCGTGTAAATATAAAGAGAACGAATACATAAGGAGCTAATTGTTCGCGAAACCATTTATTAATACCTACTTTTTCAGGAGAGATGATCTTGAGGCTCTTGGACACATGTTTATGTACTTCCTTCGAGGCTCCCTCCCCTGGCAAGGCCTTAAAGCAGATACACTAAAAGAAAGGTAAAATTTGTTTGAATGTCCATTTCAAATTTCTTGTTTAGATATCAAAAGATTGGGGACACAAAACGCTCAACACCAATCGAGGTACTTTGCGAAGGATTTCCAGGTATTTCAAAATTTCGGAAAATTCTTCACTAATTTCTATTATTTTAGAAGAGTTTGCCCAGTATCTCCGCTATGCTCGACGTTTGGACTTCTTTGAGACACCAGACTATGAATATTGCTATAATCTTTTCAAGTTTGTTTTCATATAAAACCTTTAAAGTTTTGTTTCTCTAGGTCTGTGTTGGAGCGTCTTGGTTTCACTTACGATTACGAGTTCGATTGGACTCCGAAGTTGAACAGTGTGGTAAGCCTAGCTGCCCATTTCATAAACATAAAAAATTATCTATCTTTCCTTTTTTAATCTTTTATCTTTAGTCTACTCCATCTGGCTCAATTCATGCTTCGGAGACGGGTACTGGAGCTGGCAAAGAGGGACCGAAGGGCCGAAGTGCACAAGGACAGTCGAGACGAGAAGAACTCCGCCCGCAACACAATCAAAACAATCAATTTGGATCGACTCAGGTTCGATAATCTTGTAAAGTAAACAAATTTTTATTGTTGTTTTTTAGGTGATAAACAGCAATGCGGGAGAAGTGGGCGGTGAGGAAGTTGGTCGAGCTGTTGCCGGCGGTAATGGTGATCGTCAGGATTCCTCCAGCGGAGAGGTATTTTGATTTTTGTTACTAAATTGCCTAAGTGCATGTAGTTAAAAGTTAAAATATTGTAAACGAAGTTTAAAAGACAAAATGAACAAATTTTTAGATATTGAAATGTGAGCGTTGATTTTTTTTTTGGAATAGATTAGGTTATAACATTTGCTAATAAAGCTTATAATATAATACTTCTAATAGATACTTATAATCTCTTAAGGCGCACATTGAAATTTAAAAGATTCATAAGCTTAAATCTCATATCTTTAGGTTAAGTGCTGTTGTTTCCGGAGACGACGAAGGAAGGTGCCCACATCAACCGCTCAAACCAAATAATTCTCCAAACCCCACAACGATGGACCAATGATAATGATGATGTGGCAAATAATTGAATCAATCGATTTTTTTTCAGAAACAATCAATTCCCTTTTCCTCCCTTTCCCGCTCTGTTGACTAAATATCGTGTGTTGGCGGTGCCCCATTGTGATGAGTCACATAGTAATGACTCGGACTCGTCACAGTTTTTCTTCGTTTTGTGTTTTGCGTCTCCTCTCTTTCCTTTTTTGTGTTTTCACGTGACGCCGCTCAAATCACGACTCGGTTCTTCTTCTTAAATTTAATTGTTTATTTTTGCAAATTTTCCCCATCTTTATTGTGAAGCTTTGTTATCGTATGCTTCAAAAATCCCCGGGAGGCAACGATTCCCGCCATTTCTATGATATTTTGTACTTTAACGACACAATTTTTTTGGATTTTGTGAAAGGTTGATTGTTAGTGGGGGAGTAAATGTCGATATGCTTGAAATTCTTAAAAATACAGCTCGTGTTTGTGTCAAAAGTATCTGGATAGGTGGTTATTTGACGGTAACTTACCAGTAAACACCATTCTGTTAGAAAATTACGCTTTGCTTTTGGGTCTAGTGTCAATTTTTAGCGAACAAATACGATGTTTTCCCCTAAAATCTTCAAATAAAGACAATTTTCTTCCGCATTATCCAGAGAAATCCTTAAATTTTTCAAATCCTTAAAGTTTCCCTCTTCTAAAGCCAGTTGCTTATTATGTGTGTGACCGATGTGATAAATTTCTCCTCTTCTTTTTTGATTGATTTTTTCAAATTTCCCGCGTTTCCCTATCTTTTCTTTCTTTTTTCGTGTCGTTCATTGATATTTTTATCTTTTTTTTTTCTTCACATCTTCAATACACGGCTTGTGCTCCAAGATATTTCCCTTTATCCGTGAATTTATCCATTTTAAAGAACCAAAATCTTCTAGTGACTTGTGAGGGAATGAAAAATTTGAAAATTTGAAAATTTGAAAATTTTGGCTCAACTCCCTCAAAAAGTTGATTAGAAAAAGCCGCAGTGCCCTTCGAAAAATGACTATCGGTGGAGTCTTTTGTTTTGTTCTAAAAATTGATTTTTCTTCAAACATTTGTGTCTACGAGAGCGTTAATTTTTTTTTTGCGAAAAATCTTTCTTTTTTGACCCCAAACTTTGCTCTGTTTCTCCGGAAATCATCGAAAATCTCTTCAAGTTCATGCTACAGTAAAGCTTAAAGATTACCGTAGATTTAACGCCTGAAAACTGGGCTACGGTAGTCGTACTACGTGCTACGTAGCTACGGTAGTCGTACTATGTGCTGCGTAGCTACGATGATTACCGGTAGGTCGACTCGTGCTTTAAAAGAGCCGTAAGCTAAAGAGCCGTAAGTTCAAGAGCTTAGCAAGTTTTTTTGAAATAGTTTTTCAAGTTTAAGTGACTTTAAATGAAAAGATTACCATTTTTCGTTGATTTTTTCGAGATTCCAAAGCTAAATCCCATTTTCTTTTCCTTTTTTTTTACCACAAATTTGATTTTTTTTGCATTTCTTTCAATGCACTTTCTTTTTTTCTTTTTTGCTCTTAATTTTTGAGTTTTTTGAGAGAAAAAAATTGAAGATTTAAAAGTTTTTTTTGGGAAATTTTCTTACGAAATTTTTTTTTAATTTAGAAAAAATGGATTTGATGATTTAATGATTTAATTTTTCCCTAAAATGCATCGAGTTTTTCCTTTTTTTTTCGTTTTCCGTTTTATTTGTGTTTTTTCTTTTTTTTTTTCAGCCCGCCCACACATTTTTGCAATAAAATTTTTCAAAAAAATATCGAAATTCCGAGATTTTTGTTGTGTCGTGCGCCGAAAATATAAGTTTTTTTAAGTATGGAAATTAGCGATTTTTTTTCTTGTTTTTGACCTCTTTTTGACCTGCTTTTTGACCTGAATATGTTCGCTAAAACGTTTTTAGACTTTTGGAATAATATCGGACTAAACCTGACCGAATTTTAGCTATTGTACTTTAGATATTGTACTTTAGATATTGTACTTTAGATATTGGACTTTAGCTATTGTACTTTAGCTATTGGACTTTAGCTATAGTACTTTAGCTATTGTACTTTAGCTATTGTACTTTAGCTATTGTGACTTTAGCTATTGTGCTTTAGCTATTGTACTTTAGCTATAGTACTTTAGCTATTGTACTTTAGCTATTGTGCTTTAGCTATTGGACTTTAGATATTGTACTTTAGCTATTGTACTTTTAAGCCGCAGTACTATAAGCTACAGTATCACTTATTTGATATTAGCTACCGTACAGGAAAATTGATCGATAGATGGCATTCTGTTAGAAATTTATTTTTTGTTTGTTTGTTTCTATTTTTAAAAAATGTTCCTTAAAAATTTTTAGTGTCGATGAACTCGCAATTTCATGCGGCACCGAAAGCGCTCAATCCGGTCGACATAAAATTACCCGAAAATTTGGTGAAGGTACGCCTATTGGACAAGCGAATTAGCGTTGAAATTTTCGTTTTTGAAATCGACATTTCAAGCTGACTTTTTTTGACGAAAAACAAAGTCCATCTTATAGAGTTGAGCATCGGGTCGAGAATCAGTTTTTTAGTTTTTGTAGAACGCGAGATATCAAAATGAACTCTTTTTTGGACTCTCTTTAAGAAGCTGAAGCCGAACAGCTGCTTTAGGGACAGGACAGGCTTCAGGGGCAGTGGATAGTCTGCTAGACTACTGAATGCCATTCCCCCTGCCACACGCCACCCCGAACAGCTGCTTCAGAGACAGGACAGGCTTTAGGGGCAGTGGATAGTCTGCTAGACTACTGAACGCCATTTCCCCGACTCCAAGCTCGAGTCCCGCTCTCGTCAAAATTTTTTGGTTTTTGTTTTTTTTTGTTTTTTTGCTTTTTGTTTTTTTGATTTTTGTTTTTTTGCCTTTTTTGATTTTTCTGCTTTTTCTGCTTTTTGTCAATACTGTTTCCCTGTGTATTTCCGTGAAGAATAGAATAGAATTTTATGTACATAGGCGCGCAAAAAAGCGGAAAAGAAAAGCAGAAAAAGCAAAAGAAAAACCTTTCAGAAATGTGGAAAAAAAAAGTGTGAAATACTTTTCAATACTTTCTACTGATTTCTACTGATACAGTCGAACTTCGATAGAATTTAGACGATTTTTTTTTGGTTCCAACGAAGCGTTTTGTACCTTAAAATCACCTTTGATATAACGAAATTTTTCCCTGATCCCTTCGAGGTTTACTATGTCAGAAGTTCGACTGTAGATTCAAAGATTTAAGCTTTTTAAATGATTTGTTTACTTTAGAGAAAGCGTGAAAAATTGAGGCAAGGAAACATTTTTCTAAAAAGTTTGACGTTTGACGAGAGTGGGGGCTCGAACTTGATGCGCAATTGAAAGCAATTGGTTCCGGTAGTCTAGAAGACTTTCCACTGGACCATCGAAGCAGCAGCATCGAAGCATCGAAGCAGCAGCATCGAAGCAGCAGCAGCATCGAAGCATCGAAGCAGACTATCCACTAAGGGCTGTTAAAGGTTAAAAAAGCGTGTGGTGGCTTGTTAAGCTCGAAATTCAAGATGATTTGTCTCTGCCAAATATCTCGCGTTTGCGAAAGGTTCTGCAAAAAGTAGAGACGGGTTTTCTGATCCGCATTTTTAACTGAACAAGATCGAGTTGGTATTACGCGATAAAATCGATATCGCGATTATCAATTAAAATCTATTTTCGGAAAACCTATCGTAATCTGCTTTCCAGTTTTCATTGAATTAAATTTTAGTAGCATTTGATGAGAGATAAGGGATCAAATTGAGTCGATTAAAGTGAGATTACGGTAGTTTTCTTTGTCTAAAATAGGCTTTTAGCCTAAAGAGACGTCTGCTAAGCTAAGGGTTAGGCTGAGCTCTCTTTTAGGCGTCTGCTAAGCTAACGCTTAGGCTGAGCTCTCTTTTGAGCGTCAGCTAAGCTAAGGCTTAGGCTGAGCTGTCTTTTAGATGTCTTTTGAGCGTCGGCTAAGCTAAGGCTTAAGCTAAGCTGTCTTTTGAGCGTCGGCTAAGCTAAGGCTTAGGCCGAGCTCTCTTTTAGGCGTCTGCCAAGCTAAAGCTTAAGCTAAGCTGTCTTTTAGATGTCTTTTAAGCTAAGGCTTAAGCTAAGCTGTCTTTTAGGCGCCTGCGAAGCTATGGCTTAAGCTAAGCTGTCTTTTAGGCGTCTGCTAAGCTATGGCTTAAGCTAAGCTGTCTTTTAGATGTCTTTTAGACGTCTTTTAGATGTCTTTTAGGCCTCTTTTAGACTAAGAAAGTCAAATTTTCTAGGGAGCTGTTGTGATCGATGAAAAACTCTTCGAATGGACTCAAAAGGAAATCCCGGAAGCCATTTGCACTTCCACATATATTACAATCAATAAAGAAGTACGTTAAAAAGGGAAAACCTTTTCTACAACAATAATACTTTAAATGTAAATTTCTAGACAGATGATGTGGATGATTTGATCGTAATGCTCGTGAAAAGTGATGCGAAACAAGCAGAAACGTCAGTGATCAGAAGAGTGTTAAGATAAAGGGGATTAAGGGAATAAGGGAATAAGGGGATTAAGGGGATTAAAGGGGATTAAAGGGAATTAAGGGAATTAAAGGAATTAAAGGAATTAAAGGAATTAAGGGAATTAAGGCAAATTAAAGCAAATTAAAGCAAATTCGATAATTCCTTTTTTTTCTAGATATGGCTTGTTCTTTGAGGAACGCTTTTTAAGCAATGAGAGTCGACGTTTACTCAAACAGGGATTCATTTTGACGATGACTGCGTCACCGGTGGGTTTTCTTTTTTTTAAAAACATGAACATCAACCAACATCGTCATTTAAATCGATTTTTATTTGATTCTGACATTAAGAAGAACTAGTAAAAGTGCTTGGTTCCATGTCTCTCTAAATTTGGTTCCTTATGGCTCTAAATTTGGCCACTTATCTCCCTAAGTTTGGGCTTTGTCTCTACCAATCTGGCTCCTTATCCCTCTAGATTTGGTTCCTTATCTCTCTAAATTTGGTTACTTTTCGATTATCGATTAAAACACTGAAAAGAAATGACCAATTAACGAGGGAATTCTTCGAGATAGCTGAAGGATTTCAAGAATAGCATTCAAGAATAGCATTCAAGAGCTCAAGAAAGAATTCAAGCCGCTTTTGCAGCTTGTAGAGCTTGAAAGAAAACGAGTTGATGCATGTAAAAATTAGCCTATTATCAGCATTGGAAAACGACGAAAATTTGCTTACAAGTTTTGGTCTTAACGTGTTTTCAAGCGGGTGCTCACGGTGGCTCGGTGGTCTAATGGTTAGTGCAATGGTTTACCAAGCGAGCAAAGGAAGCTGGGGTTCGGGCTTCGATTCCGTTCCAAGACAAACAAAGAATTTTTTTCATTTCCATTTTTTGAGACAAGTTCAGACAACCAAAAAAAAAACCACGAAAAACCAAAGCGTTCAGACAAGGTAAAGTAGACAGAAGCGAGCCACCGTAATCTAGAAAGACAGTATGAAAGACAGACAGTACCGAAGAGAGACAGTACCAGACAGCACCAAAGACAGACAGTACCAGACAGTACCAAAGACAGACAGTACCAGACAGCACCAAAGACAGACAGTACCAGACAGTACCAAAGACAGACAGTACCAGACAGTACCAACGACAGACAGTACCAGACAGCACCAAAGACAGACAGTACCAGACAGTACCAAAGACAGACAGTACCAGACAGTACCAAAGACAGACAGTACCAGACAGTACCAAAGACAGACAGTACCAGACAGTACCAACGACAGACAGTACCAGACAGCACCAAAGACAGACAGTACCAGCAGACCAAAGCAGACAGTACCAGACAGTACCAAAGACGACGTACCAACAGTACCAAAGGACAGTACCAGCAGTACCAACGAGACAGTACCAGACAGCACCAAAGACAGACAGTACCAGACAGTACCAAAGACGGTACCAGACAGTACCAAAACAGACAGTACCGACAGTACCAAAGACCAGTACCGACAGTACCAAAGCCAGACCAGACGGTACCAAAGACAGACGTACCAGAGGTACCAAAGACGAAGCACCAAGCAGTACCAGACGGTACCGAAACAGACAGCACCAAAGCAGCGTACCAGACAGTACCGAAGACAGCAGCACCAAAGACAGACAGTACCAGACAGTACCAAAGACAGACAGTACCAGACAGTACCAAAGACAGACAGTACCAGACAGTACCAAAGACAGACAGCACCAAAGACAGACAGTACCAGACAGTACCAAAGACAGACAGTACCAAAGACAGACAGTACCAGACAGTACCGAAGACAGACAGTACCAGACAGCACCAAAGACAGACACTACCAATGACAGACAGTACCAAAGAAAGATAGTACAGACAGAACCCAGCCACCTTAATCCAAAACAGAATCAAAGCCACCGTAAACTAAACAGACACAATCTACACATCTAGACAGCCACTTTCGCTATTTTTAAAACGCTAAAAACGTCAGCTATCAGTCTTGCTATCCGTCTAATCAATATCAAAACATGTATCCTTTGTTCTGCAGGGATTACGGTAGCTTCTGTAGGGATTACGGTAGCTTTGTTCCCCGTCGGGATTACTTTATCGGATTAGTTATATTGAAAAGAGAAGGAGAAGAAGCTACCTATAATCAGAAGTTTTTCAGGCAGTTTACGCTCGTCGAATCCACGAAAATTTGCTATCCCGTGGCTCGGATTCGGCAAAGATCGAATCAATTCTTCAAACTTTATCAAAATTGGCTCAAGTTTGAAGAAAAAACAAGAAATTTATCGTTTTTTTTCGCACAGGATAAAATCTTCGTTTACGCTTTTTTGAAAAGCGAAACACTGGGAATAATGTACGAGATGTTGGCGAGGGAATTGGATAAGCTGTGAGTGAATTGGATAAGCTGTGAGTGGATTGGATAAACTGTGAAAGCTGCTAGAAACAGAGCTAAACTAGCACTAGGATTTACGAGAGTTAGAAGTCTAAACACCCTTGTTTCTTTTTTGCAGAAGTTTCCCAACGATTCAACTCCTTCTCCAATCGCTTTACTCGATGATGGAGTTGAACGTCGACGGGCTCAGCTGGGAAACGATTCCCGAGGATGTTCGTTTAAGGATTAAGTTTAAGGAAATGATCTAGCGTCGAGATTGCTTCAAGCTTACTTTAAGCTTTACTTTAAATCCCAATTTCTAGGTTTTACTTTCATTGTGCCGTTTGGTGACGGGTAGAGCGAAGAGCGAAGACGCACAATCCGTGCTTTTCGCTGAGTGGAGTATCGAGCAGATATTGAACACGACCAAGTGAGAAAACTATATAAGACAAGTATTGTAGAGCATTCTAGAGCATTCTAGAGCGTTGTAGAGCATTCTAGAGCATTCTAGAGCATTCTAGAGCGTTGTAGAGCATTCTAGAGCGTTGTAGAGCATTCTAGAGCATTCTAGAGCATTCTAGAGCGTGTAGGCATCTAGAGCACTAGAGCATTCTAGAGCGTTGTAGAGCATTCTAGAGCATTCTAGAGCATTCTAGAGCATTCTAGAGCATTCTAGAGCGTTGTAGAGCATTCTAGAGCATTCTAGAGCATTCTAGAGCGTTGTAGAGCATTCTAGAGCATTCTAGAGCATTCTAGAGCATTCAGAGCATCTAGAGCGTGTAGAGCATTCTAGAGCATCTAGAGCATTCTAGAGCATCTAGAGCGTTGTAGAGCATTCTAGAGCATTCTAGAGCATCTAGAGCATTCTAGAGCGTTGTAGAGCATTGTAGAGCATTCTAGAGCATTCTAGAGCGTTGTAGAGCATTGTAGAGCATTCTAGAGCGTTGTAGAGCATTCTAGAGCATTCTAGAGCATTCTAGAGCATTCTAGAGCGTTGTAGAGCATTGTAGAGCATTCTACAGCATTCTAGAGCGTTGTAGAGCATTGTAGAGCATTCTAGAGCGTTGTAGAGCATTCTAGAGCATCTAGGCTCTAGAGCATTCTAGAGGTTGTAGGCATTGTAGAGCATTCTACAGCATTCTAGAGCGTTGTAGAGCATTGTAGAGCATTCTAGAGCGTTGTAGAGCATTCTAGAGCATTCTAGAGCATTCTAGAGGCAATAAGCCTTTAGTTCACTACAAACTACAAACAATTTTCAGCATTACTCTTCACGAGCGGATTTTTGCGGAGGTTCCCTTTATCTCACTGATTCGGCATCTGGATCGGTTTGTGGAAAAATTTGATGAACTTTTACGTGGCTCAGTTTTGTAATTAGTCTAAATGACGATTTGATTACGGTAAAATTTGCATTTACAAGTGAAACCCATTTACCATTTATTCCTTGCGGCTGTTTGAAATCACAAGAATCGACATGGAAGCTGTGATCACGCCTGTGATACAAGACTCCTAAACATTCGGCTGTGGCGGCATGGGATGAAGCTATGGAGCATGGGATGAAGCTATGGAGCAAAGGATGGAGCTATGGAGCAAGGGATGGAGCTATGGAGCATGGGATGGAGCTATGGAGCAGGGATCGAGCTATGGAGTATGGGATGAAGCTATGGAGCATGGGATGAAGCTATGGAGCATGGGATGGAGCTATGGAGCAAAGGATGGAGCTATGGAGCAAGGGATGGAGCTATGGAGCAAGGGAAAAACCTCTCAAAACCTCACCCAGACGTTTTTCTGGTTTGTCCAGCTGGATCGAAATCATCGTGCGAGGCCTCTCGACTTCTGATCTCATCACCGACACAATGCATGCATGGGATCAATCGCTGCCGACCAAGAGATCACCAGCGGACGAGTGCACAAAAGGGGTGCCCAGTGAAGGGTACCTAGGAAATGGAGTGATGGCTAGAATAGCCTTCATTTTAGATCTTACCTTGAAACTTTGAATTTCCCCATAAAAATCCTCAAAAAGCTCCTCAAAAAATCCCCATAAAATCAGTACGAAAATTCTTGAAAAACAACTTAAACAAGTCAAACTCATTTACGATTTATTGCTTGCGACTGTTTGAAATTACAAGAATTGAAATGGAAGCTGTGACGTCACTGCTGTCACTGCTGTCACTGTGACGTCACTGCTGTCACTGTGACGTCACTGCTGTCACTGCTGTCACTGTGACTGTCACGCTTCAACAATCACTTCAACAATTCTCTCAATCAAACAAAAATCAAGCAACTTTCAAGTGATGCATTTAAAATGGCAAATTTCAAATTTCAGTTTCAATTTTCAATTCATTTCAATTTTCAATTCAATTCAAATACAAATTCGTGCTTATAAATGAAAATTGAACTAAGCAAAGGAAGCAGTTTAAGTACCAAATCTCTTTATAATAAGTTGGAACTAGAGTAGACCAAAAGCTGTGCGCCGCCGGGAGTCGAACCCGCCACCTTTCACTTATCACCCAATTGTGCTAACCACTAAACCACAACGCGGCTGATTTCCCCTACTGATAACTCTATAGTACGTTTAGTATCTAAAAAATTTCACCAAAACTGTTTTTAAATCAATTTTAGATCTGACGAGCGCGTTTCCCTTGCCACGCTGACGCTAATGAACACAATACACAGGAAAGCGGATGTTCAGCTGAAAAACACGATTTTGGTGAGGGTTACGGTGGTCTAAGTGACGATTTGATTACGGTAGTTTGAGTTGGATTAAATTGGTTGGTTGGTTGGTTGGTTAAAAAATTAGAAACGAGCTTTATTTGCATTGCGATTGCAGGATGACCTCGGGACAGCGCCATTCCGTAACGCGATCTCGCATTCGGTGCTGCGCGATGGACGGGCAAAAGATCGAACATTCACCGCGCAACTCATCCCAATTCAGGTTTTATGCCGAAATCTTTTCTATTTATTTAAAGCAATTCTTTTTGAGCTATCTGATCGTATATTTAAATTACAGAGACTTCTCCTTGAGAAGCAAAACATTTTGGCGAAATTGCCCCCATCAAGAGACGATATCAACACGTTGGAGGTCACTTTTAACACATTCACAACGATTCACACACACACACACACACACACACACAGAACATCACACATCACATACGGAGTTGTACTAGTGACGATTATTTTTGGTGTCATTGATTTAGTTTTTAAGGACTTTGTTATTTATTTCGGAGAAGGTTCTCGGTAGCTTTTTACTAGTTTTTAAAGAGATTCAGAGCTATTGAATGACTATAATAGTTTAGTTAATCTTTGAATTTACCTTAAACTATCAATAAAACGGTAACGACTACGCGGCTGTACGCTCAAAATACCTTCGTTTTAATACTGTAGTGCCTTCCAAAAATGTCAGTGTTGGTCTGTAAGCTAGGTGAGGGATTTGAAATGTTTAAAGATGAGAGGATGAGAGGATTTAAAGAAGATTAACTATTAAATGGCGGTTCGATTACGGTAGATAATGAAACTTAAAATTAGAAAACGATCAAAAATTATAAAAGGTTAGGCCATAGGCCAAGGCCAATCCTTGAGCCAGGGCCGATTCTCAAGGCCACCTTTCTCAGGAGCCTATGGTGTAGCAATTTGATTCTAGGACTAGGCCTGATTCCGGCCGAGCTACTAGGACTTGACTTTAAAAAAAAAGCCTTGCCAAATGTGCTTTAGAGTCTCGATTGGTTCACTCGCTACGCATCCACGAATCTACAATCGACTTTCGAGGCCGGTCAACACGGAAAGCTCTTGCCGATCGCGATGCGCGCCTCGGCACAACAACTTGCATTGGTAGCTTAAGCAAATCTAGCATAGCAGGCAAATTAAGAATATCTAGAAACACAGAAGTTAGTAACTATTTAACCCAACTTAACCTGAAATTGTTTAAGTTGAGTTTATACGGCACGGATTCAAAACAATGGAGTGAAAGAAGCCGAAAAGAAAATGAAAAAGAATTTTAGATGTATTAGAATTTTAAAGAAAAAACTATGGACAAATAATATAAAAAAGAGGAAACGAACGAGGAGAGAGTACTTTAAAAACGCGCTATAAAAAAAAGATTTTACGAAAGAGAAAGAGATGAAGGAAGATGAAGGAAGATGAAGGAAGATGAAGGAAGATGAAGGAAGATGAAGGAAGATGAAGGAAGATGAAGGAAGATGAAGGAAGATGAAGGAAGATGAAGGAAGATGAAAGAAGATGAAGGAAGATGAAGGAAGATGAAGGAAGATGAAGGAAGATGAAGGAAGATGAAGGAAGATGAAGGAAGATGAAGGAAGATGAAGGAAGATGAAAGAAGATGAAGGAAGATGAAGGAAGATGAAGGAAGATGAAGGAAGATGAAGGAAGATGAAGGAAGATGAAGGAAGATGAAGGAAGATGAAGGAAGATGAAGGAAGATGAAGGAAGATGAAGGAAGATGAAAGAAGATGAAAGAAGATGAAAGAAGATGAAGGAAGATGAAGGAAGATGAAGGAAGATGAAGGAAGATGAAGGAAGATGAAGGAAGATGAAGGAAGATGAAAGAAGATGAAAGAAGATGAAAGTAAATGAAATAAATGAAGATGAAAGTAAATAAATGAAGGAAAACGAAAGTAAATGAAATTGAATGAAAGTAAATGAAATAAATGGGAGTGGGACAAATGCGACCTTTTTTGCGCACCTTTTTTTGCGCACTTAGCCCATTAGCGCACCTTTTTTCGCGTTTTAAAAAAGCTCTAAAAGCTAATATTAACCAATTTCTATTCCAAAAGTTGTTTTTCTAGGTAATTTTAGGGCGTAGAATCGAAATTTTGACATATCAGAGCTTGTAGAAGCGAACGGACGGAGTTATACAAAGAGAAAAATCAACAATTTTCTGTAATTTGACCTAGCCGTTTTGTCTTTCAAATTGATTCCACAAGCTCTGATATGCCAAAATTTCGATTCTGCGCCCTCAAATTACCTAGAAAAACAACTTTTGGAATAGAAATTGGTTAATATTAGCTTTTAGAGCTTTTTTAAAACGCGAAAAAAGGTGCGCTAATGTCCGGGTGCGGAAAAAAAGGTGCGCAAATGTCCGGGTGCGGAGAAAAAGGTGCGCTAATGTCCGGGTGCGCAAAAAAAAGGTCGCATTTGTCCCACTCCCAAATAAATGAATGAAAAAATGAAAAAAATGGCAAATGGGGAATTTTGTCTGGAGTACGGTAGCACTCGCCGCCGTTTTCGCGTCAAAAACCGTACGTCAATAGGAATCAAAAGGAATCTAACCCAAATCATTTGTATCATTGTTAAGGTCATTATGCAGTTTTCACAAACGTCTATAGGTTTACAGTGTACTTTAATTTCTAATTGTCTTTAATCTAAATTGAACTTAATTTTCTAGATGTGCAGGGAGAACGCGATGCGCGCTGAGAAAAGCCGATGGGAGTTGATGGCACTTTGCGAGTACACGATGACGATCACTTCTGATCTTTTGGCGAGTGAGTGCTTTTGTTTGGCAAGGATCCACTAGCAGAGATCCACTAGCAGAGATCCGCTAGCAAGGATCCACTAGCAGAGATCCGCTAGCAAGGATCCACTAGCAAGGATCCACTAGCAGAGATCCACTAGCAGAGATCCACTAGCAAGGATCCACTAGCAGATCCACTTTTTTGTTTACTTTAACTTTACTTTTTTTGTTTTTTTTGGTTTTTAGTGCTCTTTAAAATCATTTCCTTTTTAAAATCATTAAAATTCAGATGACGAAAATCTCGGGCGTTTAATCGAATTCCTCTTTTCCGTCGAAAATCCTTTGTTAACACTTTTCACAGCAATCGTTCAACTTTTCCACAAAACGTGGCGCGAAATGCACGCAGTTACGAGTGAGATCGTCAAGGTCAGTGGGGGAAATTGGATTTAAAACAAGCTTTTGTTGAGTTGAGCATGGAATTGAGCAGACTACAGTCTAGATCACTGTTTTTTGCTGCTTGAGCATTGAATTGAGCAGATTAGAGTCTAGATTACTGTTTAAAAACAAAAAAACAAAGTAAAAACAAGTCAAGCATTGAAGAAAACGACGAAATCGCAATTCCCCATCAAAACTCGATGACTTTTATTTCAAATTCACTAAAAAAATCAAAACTTTGGGCCAGTCCGGGGATTGAACCCGGGACCTCTCGCACCCTAAGCGAGAATCATACCACTAGACCAACTGGCCGTGCGTCGCTTGAAGAGAAAAGGGGTTTTTCTTTGGGAACGAGAGGGAAAGGCGATCGCCAGAGGGAAAAGGGGGAAAGAGGGAAATGCTTTGAAAAACGTTTTTTTTTTAAAAACAATTTAAATTTTTCTTTTTAGACTTAATTTTATTATAAAATTGATTGATAATTAGGAAATTTACATTAAAAAAAACGAAAAATTGATAAAAATAAGGGAAAAAACGCTTAGAAAACAAAAGTGAACGGCTGCTACCGGGATCGAACCCGGGATGCCCGGATTGAGAGCCAGTAGAGATCTAATTTTGTCGAATTTAGACGTTTTAAAGCGAGCGGATTAGGCCGGGGGGGGTAAAAACCGTTTTGAGATATCTCTTTTCTAAAGGTTTTACAGCTATTTTAGTAAAGGGCGGGGGAAAAAGGCAAAAAATGGCGTTTTCACGTTTCGTTAGGTTTCCGGGGAGGAAACCTGGGCTAAAACATGTGTTTCGTGACAGCGTCAAAAATAACCCCTAGACACAAATTTTCAGAATCTTGGCAAAAAATTTTACAAATATTGTCCCGGTGGAAGTCGAACCAGCGACCCCAGATCAATGGCCGTCGGGTTTTCCTTCCTTTTTTCTTTTTTTTTACCCTCTAACAAAAGCCCTCTAACAACATCAAACAATGATAAAACAAAACAAAAAACGAGAAAATCGCGAAAAGCGGCGGAAAGGCTATTGATCTGAGGGTCGCTGGTTCGACTTCCACCGGTGACAATATTTGTCAAAAATTTTTTGCTAAGATTCTGAAAATTTGTGTCTAGGGGTTGTTTTTGACGCTGATCACGAAACACATGTTTTTAGCCTAGGTTTCTGCACGGAAAACTAACGAAACGTGAAAACAGCCATTTTTTGGCTTTTTTTGGCTCTGCCGCCCTTTACTAAAATAGCTGTAAAAACTTTTAGAAAAGAGATATCTCAAAACGGTTTTTACCAATCGATCCGTCTTCAATTCAGCTTTCGGATGAGCTATAAAACGTCAAGATTCGACAAATTTAAGGTACTCTCCCAAAAAATCCGAAAGGACTTTTCCACCAACCCAATAGAATGGGAAGAATTGTCATTTAGAATGGGAAGAGTTGTCATTTAGAATGTTAAGGATTGTCACGTAGAATGTTAAGAATGTTAAGACTTAGAATGTGAAGAGTTGTCATTTAGAATGTTAAGAATTCTCATTTAGAAAATGTTCATTTCAATTTTAGGTTAGTAATGTAGTGAGAGAGCAAGTGAAACGAGTGGTCGACAAACAGCCGGCATCACTTGACAAGATGCAAGCCGAATTCGATGCGCTTGCTTATAATAAGATGAAGGTGAGTATCCAATTTTGAATTACAAAAATTGAAAAAGTGAACGGTTGCTAGCGGGATCGAACCCGGGATGGCCGGATTGAGACGCGGACGCTCTGGCAATGCGTCACGAAGGCAGTTGAATTTAAATGAATGAATTTAAATTTAAATTTAAACTAAATAAAATAGGAAATTTGGAAACAAGAGGAAAGCGATCGCGAGGTGGCCGAGTTGGAGTCCGAACTTGTCAAGTGGGTGATGGGTCTTTAAAATGGGTCTTTAAAGTCTTAAAGAGCAATGGGTCTTTAAGATGGGTCTTTAAAAACAATCTAATTTCATTGGTTAAAGTCTAGGAAAGCATTTCTTGATCTAGATTTGTTGATCTAGATTTGTTGATCTAGCTTTCCTGATCTAGATTTCTTGATCTAGATTCCTTGATCTAGATTTCTTTATCTAGATTTGTTGATCTACATTTCTTGATCTACATTTCCTGATCTAGATTTCTTTATCAAGATTTCTTTATCTAGATTTGTTGATCTAGATTTGTTGATCTAGCTTTCCTGATCTAGATTTCTTGATCTAGATTTCTTGATCTACATTTCCTGATCTAGATTTCTTGATCTAGCTTTCCTGATCTAGATTTCTTGATCTAGATTTCTTGATCTAGATTCCTTGATCTAGATTTCTTTATCTACATCTCCTGATCTAGCTTTCTTGATCCAGATTTCTTGATCTAGATTCCTTGATCTAGCTTTCCTGATCTAGATTTCTTGATCTACATTTCTTGATCTAGATTTCTTGATCTAGATTTGTTGATCTACATTTCCTGATCTAACTTTCTTTATCTAGCTTTCCCTTTCAGAGATCTTCGAGAACTATTGCGACCAGGAATCGAGCAACTTGTTCGACAAAATCGTAAAAACTTCATGAAACAAGGCTATACTTTTAAGAAAACTGGAAAAAAAGCAACATTGAAAGGTGATTTTTCAAAGAAAACCAAAAAAACAGCTTCCAACTTCAGAACAATCACAATATTTCTTTTGGCGTTTGGATAGAAACGAGAAAATCTTAATGGTGATCGATTGTGATACGGAAAGATTTATCCCGGGTGCAAGTCAAGCAAAATCGATCCGTAAAAGTGAGTGGATGTTGTAAACGGATGTAAAAGGATGTAAAAGGCTAATCACAAAGGAAATCACGAGCAAATCTAATCCTTTACTCGGTAAACAAGCATTTAGTAATGGTAAAAGATATCAAAGATGTTCAATGGGGTGACGAGAGTGAGAAAGGGACGAGAAAGGTGAGCTTGGGCAATGGAAATGCGCTGGGGAAATGCTGTAAACGCCGTAAACACATCAATTTCATTGATTTCACTGATTTCTATTGAATTTTCCATTTCTACACAAAAAGAAACCATTTTCTATCAAATTTTCCATCAAATTTCATCATTTTCTTGAAAAAAAAATCCCTCTCTAAGATGTTTCTAAGCTTTTTTTTTATGCTTTTCTTAAGCCTTCTAAGCTTTTTTAAGCCTTTTTTGAGCTTTCTAAGCTTTTTCAAGCTTTTTTAAGCTTTTTAAAGCCTTTTTTGAGCTTTCTAAGCTTTTTTATGCCTTTCTTAAGCCTTCTAAGCTTTTTTATGCCTTTCTTAAGCCTTCTAAGCTTTTAAAGCCTTTTTTTGAGCTTTCTAAGCTTTTTTAAGCCTTTTTTTGAGCTTTCTAAGCTTTTTTATGCCTTTCTTAAGCCTTCTAAGCTTTTTTATGCCTTTCTTAAGCCTTCTAAGCTTTTAAAGCCTTTTTTTGAGCTTTCTAAGCTTTTTTATGCCTTTCTTAAGCCTTCTAAGCTTTTTAAAGCCTTTTTTTGAGCTTTCTAAGCTTTTTAAAGCCTTTTCAAGCTTTTTTAAGCTTTTTTTATGCCTTAAAACCCCAATTTCAATCTTTTTCACCAAAAAAACTATCGTTTTCCCTTTTTTTTCCAGTTAAAACAAAAATTTGCCTACTAAACTAGGCTCATTTCATAGAATAAAGCTCAATTTCTAAACTTTATGCAAAAAGAAAACATTTCCTATCAAATTTTCGCTCAAATTTGATCGATTTCCTCTAAAAAACCGCTTTTCCACGGCGTTCTTTCTGCGTGCCCGTAAACGCGCACTTTCTGGCACACGGTCGGAGAGGGGGTCATAAAAAGGGAGGTCTTTTCCTCCTGGAAAAGGGAGGCCTTTTCCCCCAAATCGAGCGACTGATGAGTACAGATCCAACTCTGAACAGATCCAAAGAAAACCATGTAGTCTATGCTTTTTAACTCTGACGCTCTCACTAATCTTTTTCGTTTTTAGCTCTCTTTGAAAAGTAATCTTTTAGTTTTCGAAATTCGAAATTTTTGAGTGATTTTTAGCCAAGAACCCTTTGCCAAAGTCAAATTTGTAAACTTTAGCAATTTTTTTAGCTAAACAACTCTTTTTCTAAGTCAAATTTGAAATTTTTAGCGAATTTTTCCAAATCCAATTTCCAATTTTTCCAAAATCCAATAAATTCATCAATTTCAAGATTTAAAAGATTCAAAAATTAATTTAACATTGTAAAATTGTAAAGTTGAAACTTTAGAAATTCGAAAATTCACTTTCTAGAGCAGCTCATTCTCGCGCGGGATTCGTTTACTTTTGCCGGGAGCCGACGAAAAAGATGAATCGCTGGCAGGTAAAGGAATCAGTTTAGCCATTTTATTGATTGTAAAGCTATAAAACTGTTAAACTACAAAAGCCAAACGAAAAAGGGAAACTCATTTCCAGCTTGTGCACAAAGCGATCGCGACATGAGTACATGGGTGGACGGGTTGTGTGAATTGATCGGAAAGAACGAGATGAGGTTTCTTTAGTGGTTTCTTTCTTTCTAAATTCAAAGCAAGCCATAAAACTCGAGAATTTACAGATTTACCGTAATCAGATGCTTCTGCTATGCCTACCGTAAATACTGTAATCGTACCCCACCCCCCTCGTACACTCGCGTAGTCGCAAAAGGTTTTTAGTATTTCATTTTTTTCAAAGCGCCCGTACTTTCAAAAAATGCATCTTTGGTATCAAAAAATAGCTGAAGTTCAGGGCTATTTTTTGATACCTAAGCGCGCATTGTAGCATAAACCAGTGTCGAGAAAAACTCGTTCAATGATAGACCACGCAACACTCCGCACCGTCATTATGGGGGTGGGGTACTATTACAGTATTTACGGTAAGTGTTCAGAAAAAATTTGCAAAATTTAGCCGAGACGCGTCGAAGCTTGTCGATCGACTTTTGTCCACCGAGTTGCGACTGCGATTGGTTCAGGTAAATAAAGAAAACTACGCGAATCTACTGAATATTAGGCAATTTGGGATACGGTATTCCCTCAGCTAAGTCTAAGCCTAAAATCTCGAGCCTTACCAATTAAATTGCTGAATTTTCCTTTGGGATGAGGGAATACAGTATTGCCCAAATTGCCTAATATTACAGTGCCCTGACTATTTCAGGTTCCAAATCCGAGCCCTCGTGTGATCGCTCCTCCACTCCCGACAACGTGGGATTGGATTCCGGCTGAAGATTGATCTCTGGATAAAGCTTTAACGATTTCACTTATCTCTAAAAAAAAATTATTGCCTTAAATACCATTTAAACGCTTGGAGAACTTAAAATTTATCTACATTTTACAGTTCACAAGAATCAAAACACACAAATAGAGAGAAATATTATGCTAAAGAAAATGCAAAGATATCACAAACTTGATCACATGTACAGAAAGTTTTGGAAAAAATATTAAACCAACTTAATCGAATAATTTTCCGAATCGAACGCGAAAGCTGCGATTGTCGCGAAAATCTCGATCATTTTGGTGCTTCTCGATTCCGCCAAGGACGCGAATTTGTTTGCCGGTCGTTCTCTGAAAGTAAACATTTACATTAGAATAATTTACGCCAAACTACTGTCAATCCTCACTCTTTATTACTGTAATAGTTTTGTTTTAAGTTAAAGTGCTGTAAGTTGCCTATAAAAATATCCAGTTTTGACGTCTGAGCACTTCTGGTTTATTGTATTATTTTATTGACTAAACATTCGAACTTACTGAAATGCCGAAATTTACATTTAAATCAAGAAAAAAACTTTCAATCCCTTTGATTCCTTTCAATTTTCATAAAAAGCTAACCTGAAAAGTGATAATATTGCTCCCTTCCGTGAATTCTTCCGACCAAAACCCGTCACCACTGCGTTGCTAAATGGAACGGTTTTAAAACAAAACAAAAAAAAACTATCAAAGCACCTGTGACGTTTCCGCATTGAAGAGATCAACCGATGGAAATGGAAGAAAACCGGCCATCAGCGGCACAACCGTGAAGGCAACTTGCGCTATCCCAGAATCTTTGATTTGAAGGACTAAATTTTAAAAATTCTTTAGAAAAATAAGCATAACTTTACTCTTTGCGCTATCCGGCACGTTCCACATTTCTTTATCGGCAGAGACTCTGGCGTAAACCACGTGAATCCTAAAAAGTTCACTTAAAAGCCGCGGCAAGATTTGTAGAAAAGCATTCATCGATCTAAAACTACTTACCGATTTGTTAAAGAGCGAATATTGATAACCATATCGCACGGAGCGCCTAAATTTATCAGGTTAGCAATTCTAATTTGTGCATGTAACAAGAACTGATCGAGATACACGACAAAAGCTTACCGGCACGACAAAGTTGAGCACCCGGATGCTGGGATAACATTTGTGCACACAACTCAAACTCAACCTAAACTCAAAGAATGCACAAGAGTAAACGAATTAAGCTTTTTTAAAGAATGGTACTTTTGAATCTACAGTCATGGTTATAGCAAAATTTTACTGTCATCCGAAAATTCAATTACCTTTGGCGATACGACGTCCATTATCTCGGTGAAGATGTACTTTTCGTTGTTTGGCGAACAATCATCGACGTTGTTATTTTCAGTGACCGAGTAAGAGAGCGTGATGCAACAACGAAGCATTTCATCCGATCCAGCACCCAGCGACCAAACCAATGCAACGAGCGATGATGGATGAGCAATCTAGAAGAGATAATTAAATTGCTGCCTCCATTTAGCAATCAATAATTTAATGTTCAAATAGTCACCGGCAATTCGGGATTGATCAACTGACATATCGTTGTTTCTTCCGATTTCTTGATCACATCGTTTGTCTCTCCTTGTTCATTGGCCTGATTGTCGTTCTTCTCCTCGGTGATTATTTTAACGTCTGCCTTAAAAAGCAAAACATTTATTTATTAGTAGTAAATAATATACGTGCTTAATTAACTCCGAAAACAAACCTCATGAAAAATCATCGTCCAGATCGAGTCACTAGGTCGACTAATTTCGGTTTCCAACAAACAACTGAAAACGGTCATAAAAGAAAAGAAAAAGAGTTACACATTCAAAATGTTTTAAAAAGAGTGCTTATGCTTAAACACGCATAATTACTATAGTCAAGAATGGCTTACAAAACTTTACCTAGCTTCAAGCTGTGTAGTTGTACTCGATAATGTGAAGAGTGGTGAAAAAGTCAACTCAACCGGCCACACTTGTCCCATCCATTCAATAAAAATCTAAAGCCAATTTCCTTACAGCTTACAAAACTTGAGTTTAAACGCACCTTTTCCTTGAATTCCTTTTGATCGGCAATCACTCTTCCGTCGAGATTTCGAAACAGCTCCAACTAAATGCAAAAATTTGAGAGAATTTTTATCAATTTTGATGATACCTGCACATAATGCCGTTCTCCTTTTTGTAGCGATGGCACGGATAAACTCGTACTGATCTCCCAATTCGACCCAGCCTGAAAGAAAAAATAAAATTCAATTCAAAAGTTTCTTACTCGAAATTTGAGCATTTTATCGCTTGTTCTCGTTTCGACAGCGACTTCGGTTGCGCCATTTTGTCGCATCCCCGCCTCCAAAATGATGCAAATCGATTGTGCCATTCCGGCGATCAAAATTTCTGGAACAAAGTAGGAATGTTGTGTTACCAGTAATGGAACGCGTATAATCCAATCAAAAAAATTTCTACTTGGCATTTCCACGTCGAGCTTGTTTGGGGTCTTTTGAACGAGAAGCGCGGGAGCTGTTTCTCGTGATGTCATCGCATCGGAGGGGACGTTCAAAACAATCGCCTGATTCATCAAAAAGACGCTGATTCTAAATGATTTCAAAAGTATAGATAAACCATAAATAGTTACCCATTCAAAATATAGAAGCCTCTTTCCGTGACTTGACCCGTCAACACAACATCGTTTCCCCCAGGCATTAAAGTTGTGCCTACCAGTGATGACTGAAATTGATAATTTACATGTTTACCTATCACTCACTTTACCTCAAACCAAATCTCCTCTTGATGTTGCTTGTCTTTCTTTTCGTCTTTGCTCTCGGACACCGAAAAGATGCAAGTCATCAACGCTTTCCTTTCATCTTTCTAGAAAATTTCAAACTTTTAAGTCAAAAATTGTACGACTCACATCATATCCCATTTGGAAAGCCGGTGGCCGTGTTTTGCATAAAATTTCTTGTGTAATCGAGGACATCTGCACTTTAAAATGACAGTTTTCGATCTGAGTATTCAACTTTCAATAAAAGTAAGGAAAAATGGGAAAAGCTACCTCAAAATTAAACTTCGAAATAAATTTGAAGGTCATCGAGAATTCATCGCCAGGCATCAGAATCGAGAGACCGACACGTGGAATACGGACCGAAATTGGGCATTTGATGATCGGCAGACAACTAAACTGCTAAAAATAAGCTCATTCCTTAAGCTAGCCACTTTATCATAGAGTTGCTTCGTGTTTGCACAAAATCGATGAATTCTTGTCGATCCTTTTCATCTGGAGACATTTCTTGTAGACACAAAAACATCAACAAAGTGACAACACTGAAATAGGAAACGTTTTAAGTAACAACAAAAGGATTTTGCTTACCGGTTAAATCTCTTGAAATTCTAAGGCAAACACTTACCACGCTCGATCTTCTGCAGGGTCAAGCCTTGCTATTAGTTTGCGTATGTCTCCAATATTTTTCTCGCTATACGTCTCATTTTCGACAAGTCGACAAGCTTGCTTTAATTCATACGGTAGTGAGGTGTCGATGATCCCATCTTTACTGAAATAAGTCTCTATTTATACTTTGCTTTTAAAAAATCATCGGATAAAGGGTTTTTAAAGAACAAAAGAAGCTTAAAATCAAACTCACTTTAAATACGTCGCAAAGCTTGCACCAAGCGCAGTGGCCGCTCTGAATCTTCCCACTTGCGTCAAGAAAACGGCCGTCGTATCGTGTGATTTTTGCAACTAAAAGAAAACGTCGTAATAAAAAAAGCAAAGCATTACCTGTACTAAAAAGCTCGAGTCGCCAAGAAGGGCTTCAGCTAATAGTGAATCTGTCTGCAAAGAAACATTACAAGGAAAATTGACAAGAATTTACCTTTCCAAACCAGCTGATGAATTTTTCTCTTTGAGTTGTTGCCGATGCAGAAAAAACGAGTTCACCGAGGAGAAGAAGCTAGAAACAAATTGATTGGACATCATCTAATTTGCGAAGAAAATCAAAGATATTTTAATTATATGTAATTTTTTAAAGTTTACCGAATAAAATCGAGACGTATGCAGATGACAAGTTGCCGAAGTGACACCCTCGACACTTGATGGTTCAGCAAGGAGATCACAAAGGGAGAACGTCTAAAAAGATACGATTTTAAGATTTCAAGAAAGAAAACCTCCGAAACCAAGTAGATTTTCCATGCAGCTAGCTGATATTTGTCGGGGAGAATCTAGAAAACAATTCGTTCGATGAATTCGAAGAAAAATATGTACCTCATGAAAAGCACCATGTTCAACAACAATTTGAAGACAATGTGAAGCATATCGAAGGATGATGCCGGCAAAATCGTGTCTAAAATCAGTGAATCAGTGGATTGGTTCATTTTCACGTCCTTTGAAACCTGATAGACGGTGCTGCCGAATTCGAATGCAATCGTTGCTGATAAATTCCAAGGGTGATGAGCATTTGTTGTGAGACAAGTAGATGGCGTAATCCTAAATTTAAAAGAAAATGAGAAAAACAAAAAAAGAAATTTACCCAAAAACGTTTGATACTCGCTTCCAACTTGATTGAGGTGCACAGTTTCCGAAAGCTTTGGACAAACTTCTAACGATCCCGATAGTATCGACATCCATGGAGGGTGATTTTCTAAAAAACTCCATATTGCAACCAAAATATTAGATTGGCAACTTGAAAGTTGGTACTCTTTTTTTGTTTTCCATAAAACATATTTAATAGGCCAATTGAATTCGATTTCTCTAAATAAAAGATATATTTTCTAATTTAAGACATGCTTAAGCAAATTTGGGTTACTTTTGAAAAGAATTGGGCAGAAATTCAAGTTTTTCTGAGAATTCTTCAAATGGGCCTATAACAAAAACGATTATATCTAGCTGAAAATTTGGATATTTATCTAACTTTTTATGCTCTCTCTTTTTTTATTGACTCTTTATTGACTAAAACAGGTTTATGTGAAAGAAAACACCAAAATCGCTTCATCGAGTGTTCATCATTTTTGATTCCTCAACTTCTTGCCCCCTAGAAACCCACAAAACCGAAGCTTTTCTAAATCTGTCAAAAAAAAAGCCTGTTTTAGAGAATAAATGAGCTTTTTTATTGGTAAAAACTGTAGATTAATTGGTTATTTCTAATCGTTATTTCTAAAAAAAAGTGCAATGAATAAGTGTACAAAATTTCACGTTGCCAATCTAATATAACAATACCTCTTGGTAATGTTGAAAGAAGAGTATAGCAGAAAGCGTCCAACTCATCGTACAATTTGAGTGCATACTCTAAGCAGCCGAGACTCCAGAAAAAGCGAGCGAATTCCATCTAAAAATTGTTAAAAAGCACTACTTATTCAAATACGTGTTCGTTTGCGTAGTGATAGATGTCCCAAGATTCGTGCCGATTGTCTTTTAACTGACGTAGATGTTTATCCCAGTGATCGACGAGAATCTAAATAAGCTTATTATGAAAAAAAGATATTTTTTTGAAGCTTTTGAAGCCTTAAACTAAAAAAAACCCAACATCGTAGTGATTGTTTAGACATGTTTTAACGGCTTGCACTAGCCCCGAGAAAGACCCATGTTCTACCGATTCCGAAACCTCTATCAATCTAAAAAGAATTAATATATATCTTTTTTAAAATCTAACCTTTGTTGATGTTTACTGAAATCGCTTTTCAGTTTGTCGATTAGTTGAGACCGATTTTTCTTTTCTTTGGCTCGTGTCGTGTCAATTACGATTAACCATTGAGAATCTAGAACGTTTTACAAATGAATACCCTTTCAAAATGTTACCGCTTTTATTCGCCAAAGTTGCAAACCATTCCGAAATATTGTGACGAATCGATGTCCGATATTCATCGACAGACTTTAAGATTCGAATTGGAAAGTGTTGCAAAATAACCAACGAACCGCTGAAGAAATGAAGTAAATGTGAAGAAACGGTGCCGACGTGAATTTGACGGTTTCTTGCTGTGAAAAGATCTCCTTCTCATCATAGGGTACAACTTTCAGCGGAAAAGTGGCCGGATATGTTTTGTTGCCGCTAGAATTATAGAAATTTTCGCGCGTTTCAAAGAAAAGTGTTTACCGTTTCACTTGTATCGCATTGTGCGTGAAGTGAGAAACGATTGCTTCAAGATATCCGGTTGTTGTCGTGTCATTTCCTTTCGCTAAAAGAGAAGAACAGTGATGGTTTTACCACATGAATGCTACAAATCGTTTATTCGGTACTTTTCCAATATCGGGGGAGCGGTCCGATTATCGGGGGAGCGAAAGGAAAATCGGGGGAGCAAATTTTGCGTCCTCGAAAAATGCATTTCCGGGACTGTATTTTAACTGCAACGTTTTTTTAAAACTTTAACGACGTTGCGGTTCTCCGACATTTGTGCGTTCAAGGAATCGACGGCAATCGATTATTTCGTCACCAAAGGAGTCATCCAGTCGTGGATTTGCAACTGTGGCGAATCGATGAAAGTCCGCTCAAAGGGAAAAGATCCATTTCGCTGGGTGTTAGATATTTAAGTCACTTTTGTGATCTAATATAAAGGTTGTGAGAATAACGGGTAATTCGCGGATTTTATGGCGGTAGTTTGTATAATATAGGACGTATGTAGCGCTGCCAAAATTTGCTCCCCCGATTTTCCTTTCGCTCCCCCGATAATCCTTCCGCTCCCCCGATATTGGAAAAGTACCAAAAGTTATTGCACTTTGAAATTTGCTAAACTGGATGTTACAAGACTTTTGTGCATGACTGTAGTTTATGGTAGAGAGAAGAAAAAGCTGTGCCATGTTTAAATCGGTTTTTCTGTTTTAAAATTGCATTTGCCAAAGATGTGTTCAACTTTAGATCCACTAATTTCTAAAATATCAAGCACTTAAACGAAAACGGCTACGAAAAAAAGAGCCTTTATTTTACCACAATTTTGAGTCTATTCTGAACTTCGAATTTATTTTTCCAACTATTTATTAAGTTAATCCATTTGACCAAAAAAATACTCACTCGAGATTTTCGTCTTCAATCCTTTGTTGATCTTTAGAAGAGTCGATAAATTGATGCTCCATTTATAATCCATCAAGCATTATCAAATTGCTAAATTAATCAATCAGTATCAAACATTTGAAAGGGAAAACAATGAAAGAATGTTTATAACGTTAGCTTATGAAAAAGTCGTTTACTCGTTTTATAACGTGCCCTAGACACATTTCCCTACTGTAACTACCAGAACTGAACCTTGTTTGTTTGAGAACTTCAAAATGCAATATATTCTATTTTTATGACTTGTAAGTGTAATTGGAGGTAAAATCGCATTTGTAATAAACGCTTTAACACAAAAATCGATTCCATGATAAAAATTTATCTATCCTAAAACGTGTAACGAAATAAAATTGAGTAGAAAATAACAAAGGTTTTTGGTGGGCGATGATTAATAAAATGATGATGATGATGATGATAAGAATATCGAGAAGAATTAGGTAAAAACATTGACAAAACACAAAATTTCGAGTAATAATGGGTAGGGTCACATTGTTTTTTTAGTTTCGAATCACAGAAGCAACCAGAACACATATTGAAAGCATCGAATGGACACGACTTTTCAGATTTCAGTTTTCAGAACTTGTCATAAAATGTCAAACTGTCATAAAATTTCCGAAATCACTTCAAAAATCATGTCCTAAAGGTATCAATAATGCAGCGAAAGATAGGTAAAACAAGTCAAAGCAAAAAACAAAATCACACCTTTGGAATCATCAAAGAAACGTCTCACTCAGGGGAGGGGAAAGCTTAAAAAAAATGAAAAGTTGAGAGTGCAAAAATTGGGCAAAGCGTTCGTTCTTGAGCTGCACACAGAAGAAGATTTGAGGGGAAATTTGCACAAAAAATCTTTCGCTCATCTTTTTTTTTTGATTAGAAAGCTAATCAGATCATCACAGAAACTAGGTGTTGGGTGAAAAAAAAATCGTTGCCAAAACACACAAAAATTATGCTACATTTTTGCTAAGGCTCAGACACAAATCGGTTCAATGAAGATGGACGAAAATCACATGCTAAGTTATTTACAAAATAGCTACACTCAAAAAATTATTACTATTTGGAAAGAACGCTTGAATGAACGAACACACAACCTGTTATCGCTGATAAAAGTACTTGTAAAACGGCACTATCGTTGAATGGGTTTTTCTGGGAGAATACCTGGACAAAATTGGGGTAAAAATTTGGCATCACTTCACCGGGTTCACGAATCGGAACGTTCGGGTGTGGGAAAAATTGGGAACAAAATAGGCAAGTGGCTAGAAATCTATCAGAAATCGGAAACAACAACACGTCGACAAAGTTTGCAAATCCTTATTTCAGTCCAAAAACAAAAAAAATCCTTATTTAAGCCGTTGCGTGATTGATGCAAGAGCCACCGCAAACGCTTGAGCCGCACAGAAAGGAGCACGAAAATCGAGTGTATAGGCACCGCCTTCGATTCGTCCGAATTGCAAAACCTAAATAAATTCGAGTAGATTATCCAAATTCTAGTCGTTTTATTTGATAAAATATTGTTCGTAAATTTTCAAATGCTTCCAAGATGCTGTTTACCTGTTTCGAATCGACCTCAATTTGAAAGTTCTTTGCCGACTCTTGAGTAACTCGTCCACCAAAATCAAGCTAAAAGGAGCAAGTTTAGCAAACGTTCACCAAAAGAAAAACAACTTGATAGACTTGATTCGTCTCATTCCAGATAGGCGCCTTGTTGTGTAGGGTGAGCATGTTTTGAGGGAGTCGACTAGCTCGCGAGCCCTCACCGAGTGCCCTCTTCATCTCCTCAATCGTGTGCACGAGATCGCGGACCTCTCCACGCACATCGGCTCCACCAACCTAAAAGTAAATTCATCAATGTTCGTAGACATACTAATGAAATGTCAAGTACAGACAAATACACGCCTTCTTCTCAATTTCGTTCACTCTTCTTAATAATTCCTTCACTTGAGTTCTCATCTTGCGAATCGAATCCCGATCACGGTTCTAAAGGTATAACAATTTATAATGAAATCTCAATATCAAAAACCTTATTGAAGTTCGATTGTCGTTGGCCCAATTGAGCGGCTATCCTCGAAAGTTTATCCAGATGCGTTCGAATGTCCTCATTGTCTTTTGCTTTTTCAGTCGATTTCCGTTTAGACGAGTCTCGTTGTTCCACTGGAGCCTGTCCCTTTTCCCGAATCTGCTGCCGACTGCGTTCACTGCTCTCTGTGTTCAAAAGGGCTGCTTCTTCGTCGGCACCATCTGATAGAAGTTGTATATTACGGTGTTTTTTCCAATTGTAGATGATTTAAAAGATGACCAAATGAGTGGTAAGCTATTCTTACAATCAGTTTTGGGTTACTCTTAACATCTGCATCAATCAAGTCATCTAATCTGTCTTCGACCAAGAGAAAAATACGTAACTCACCAATATATTCCATTGAATCAACTTCTTCTTGCCAACTGAGCGCGGAAGTAGCCAAGGAGCCAATCTCGGAATGTGATAGTGAAGGTGAAATAGCTGGTGATAATGAATGCATTGCGGCTCGGGTTGAATTTGAAGATCCGGCAGAGATGGCTAAAAAATCATCTGTCAACAACAAGCTAATTCATTTCATTAGTAACAGTTATTCATAAAAACAAACTAACCGTTGCTAGTGGTTGTTGTATTCGCTGATGGCAAGCATCCTGAGGTGGATGGGACAGCCAACTCCATGGCGGCTCTCAAAGAGGCACATTCAGTGAGTACCTAAAATAGTTGAACTTTAGAAATCAAAACAAAAGCAGGAAAGGTTCTAAACTTTAACGAAGATTACAATAAAAACATACCCGATCAAAGAATAGTCTCTCCTCGTGCGTCAATCCATCATCTCGATCTCCATTTTCCCCAGAAATCCTCGATGACGTCAACAACTGGGCCAAATCATCTTCGGTCTCATTTTCGCCAAGTTCAATGATATTCAATTCCTGTAAAACCATAGTGAGTTAATCACGTGCCAACTTTACCTCTTCGTTAATTTTCTCATTTCTGTTCGATGAAGCATTCGACGAATTGTCCAATCCAGACGATCTTCGAGTGACGCTTAACGGTTTGCTGCCTAAACAGTCGAATAAAAAATGACAAGTAAAATGTGCTCACTTAGGGACATGTTAGCCAATTGAACCGTCATTTGTCGTGGTTGAAGGTGTAGAACAGAGGTTTTGTAGACAATCTAAAGCCAGTATTACAACACAAGTCAGAAAAAAACCACTTATCAATGTAGAGGCAACTTTATATTTCTTTGTTTACGTAAATAAATCTCACTTGTGCCAAAAATCCGGGTAAATGTTGTGGAGACAGAGACGTGACTTGGAATCGCGTACACCAAACATTCGACGAAACATGAACGAGACGCGAATCGGTTCTCGGCGCTCGAACGGCGGCATTCACGTGGCGGGACATCAAAGCTCGTAACTAAAAACGATACTTTGATAAACGATACAAAATATTGATGTTACGCTGATTGGAAGTTCAAAAGGTGTAAAAATAGTTATAATTCGTGTTTTAGCAACAACTTTTTCGTCTACACAAACTCACTTGACGTTTGCTTCTTCTCCATAGAGAATTTCTGCCTGTCGATGTTCGCGGAAGGACGGACATATCTTCTAAAAACAATGATGCGCTATATGTTTATTTATTTTGTTTTTTACATCCAACATCGAACCACATCGACGTTTTTTTCTTTTTTGTTTTCTCTTTCGTTTTTTGACGAATTTTTCAGAAAGCAGGTGAAAAACATTATAATTATGCGTTAAAAGATCAAAGATTGTAAAGGTATTGTAAGACTAGACTTTTGAAGCGACTTATCAACAACTTATCACCCACCGACTTGTGCTGACCCTCCAATTGTTGTCTGTTGTCGATTTGTCGGTGGAGTGCCGGTGCCAGGCGAGCCGGTGTGCGTCCCATGATGTAGCTGAAATTTATTAGTTAGTAAGCGATAACATAAAAAAATCTATGGTTATTTGTACAACAACAACTATATCAAAACAAAGGATTTTCTAAAAAAAAAACCACAAACCGAAACATGAAATTGTGGAAGGAAGCGGTTCACTTGTCGGCCCACCAACAGTGGCACCAAACCGCCCATGTGTTCCATGCCTAAATTTAAAGTTACAAAAGCAGTTAACAAAAATATTTTGAAAGCTCTCCATTTCTCCAAGAGAAAAAGAAACTTACAGAGTACATATGAGTGACTTCCTCGTGTTAGCGGTCGAATCGTGCAATATGACCGGGCATCGTTTACTGTACACACAAATTTACACAAGTCGTCCGACCGTGGTATTCGACACTAAACCAAAATTTGTAGCTTCTTGTTTCAAGGTTTCAAGTAAAAATAACCAAAACCCACTCTAATTATATGATGATCTAAGAGTTTTATCGATTCCTTTTCGCGATTTGGAAGTGGCAATCGATCAACCCTTCGAGAGCTTGCTCCGAGTTCGCGCCAAACGCTAAATTATTAATTTTAATCCCTCATCAAATGAAATTTTTATTTTCCAAAAGTTTCTTGCAAAACTTACGCATATGTGACTAAATTAAACAACGAGGGCACTCCCATCAACACTTTTCCGGAGACAGCGGCCTGAAATTTATCTGTTAGCAAAAAGTAAACAAACAACAACCTATTGCTTAATAACCCTAATACATGCACAACTATTACCACCAAGAAAAGACACGGAAACAATCATCACAAATAAAATCACAAGCACAAAAATAATGGTGGTTAGGGATAATATGGTTGACAATCTACAAAACAAAACATAAACACCTAACCTTAAACTATTTCTAGAAACAGGTATCAAAACGATATAAACGTAATAAGAGTCAGTCACGAGCATTTGTTGGCACATAAAAGGGGATTAATCAGCAAGAATTAATCATTAATCAGCAACAGCAAGAAATAGCAAATAGGTGACAGTTGTGCATGTAATAGAGACGATTTAATAGAGAAATTTGATACCTCGTTTTCCTCCTCCAACACAACGTCCAATCGTTTTCCCACAACAACATGCCCGCCCGCAGCCACAACTATTGTCTAAAAGAAATATGTTTGGGCTTGTTGCCGGGCAATGTTTTTTAATATTGGGAAACTAATTTGATTGTTAAATTCCTCAACAAACCTTTCCATTATGAGCCCAAGTAAACGCGGAAAGTGGTCGATCCTTCGACAGGGGCACCTCTTCGCGATGGATTAGCCTTGCCTCTCGGTCAAAAATTAGCAACTAAATGCGTGACAATAAAAACGTGAGAGCATTCCGAAAAATGTCAAATAATGCTAATATAAGCAAAAAAAAAAGTTGTTGCATTTCAATCTCACCTGATGTAATTCGGTGATCGCAGCCAGCAAAGTCCCATCACTGTTCCATTCGATTTTTTTAATTAATAAAGTACCCGTATACGTATGCGGAACAACCTGAATACGGGGATAAATGTTTGTTTTGATTTGACAAAAAAACTAATTTTCCGTCAAAGTTTTAAGACTAACTTGATCATAGGCTGATATCATGATCAACTTTCTCTCGGTGAGGGCAGCCAGTGTCCATTTTCCGTTAATCTCCGTGGAACAAGCTAGCTTGGTTATTGGTTCGTTACAAAGGCTTCGTTCTGTGATATTGCCTCCATCGCAAAACATGACCTACAAAGAAAGTTCCGTACTTTTCCAGTATCGGGGGGAAGATCTAGAAGGGGTGCTTTTAGGTTATTTTTTATTTTTTCGTGGGTTTTTCGGGTTTTCCTAGTTTTCGTAGTTTTAACGTGTTATAATCTAGTAGCGCATTGTCAGGCAGGTCCGAGAGGGGGTCAGTGCTGCAAGCTCTCTGGGATGGGAAGTAATTGGGGCTGAACCTAATCCATTCCCAGAGAGCTTAAGCCCCTTCCGGACCTGCCTGACAATGCACTACTAGATTATAACACGTTAAAACTACGAAGAAACTAGGGAAAAAAACCCAAAAAACATAACAAAAACGTGAAAACCATGAAAAAAATCACCATTTAAAAGTCCCCCCGATACTGGAAGAGTACCATAAAGCTTTTATTTAATGATAAATCATTAAAGCGATTTAAATGACACTACCTGAATACTTCCAGTAGCAAAGCCAAGAATTATTTCTCTCGATTCAGCAGCCCAGACACCACAAGTTACCTAAACCAAAATTTTTTAAATGCCCAAACTTTAAAACTTACATCGTGATCAGCTGCCGGAAATTGATGGCTCCAAATCCGTTGACCACTTGCAGAACCAACAAGCACGAAGTTGTCCTCGTAACAAATCAATGCAGATCGACCACACGGAGACCAAGAGAGATCACGAACCTAAAGATACAATCAATATGGAAGTAAAAGTAATAGTAGTAAAAGCTTGAAATAGAAAATGTATTTTACTAAAAACAAACTTTCACTCCCCGATCGTTGACGAGCTCGACCGACCATCGATCGTCGTTTCGCACCCAAACGTAGATTACTCCTAAAATGTTTAGCGTAAAAAAGAAGCCAATCAGTAATCACTGTTTATAAGGTAATTTAGAAAAAAAACAAACCCGAAGCATCACATGAAGCTAATTTACATTGCGGTTTATTCCAAGTTGCCATACAAATCGTCGAGTGATGTCCGCGGAGGTTGAAGTTGTATCTAAACATGTTAAAGTTTGATCTCTGATGAATACTTTTCCTTGTCAATTTAAAACAAACAATTAAAATGTACCTTTGACTGTCTTCATCACAGGGAGCAATTGAGGTCAACGTTACTCCGACGGCGCCCGACTCACTTCCGATTCCCAGCATCCCATGGCCCGGTCGATCGGGTTGAGGCATCCATGTGAGACATGTTATACCTAAATGAAATCTATTGTTTAACAATTGAAATTTTCCTTACAAAGATGATAACTAATGTAACTAACTAACGTAAAAACAAGTTAAAAACAAACCGGGATCTATCCGACTTCCTGGCCAGTCCGGACTTTCCCAGGCTATCTTCATCAGCTCTCATAAAGTATCTAAAGATAAAAATCGTTAAAGATCGATTGAAAGTTAAAAATGAAAATCGTTAAAGACGAACTTGAAAAAACAGAAATCAGTTTAAAAACAACAGAAAATTTAAAAACACAGAAAATTTAAAAACAACAGAAAGTTTAAAAACGAATGAATACCATAAATTTGTGTATTAACAATACTTTTGGCAATTAACAATAGTATTAACAGAGCAAATGCTCAAGCAAATCAAAACTAAATCATAAAAGCATCGATTTTTATCAACGACCTCAAACAAAATGTCAACAAGGAAGTAAATTTTCGCAAAAAGTCGGCACAAAAGTTTCAAGTAATGACGGAATTCTTAAATCTATGAAACTTTCGGTAAAAGCCGGATAAAGGATCTGATCTTTTTGAGGGGTAATAGCTCAACTACTCAATAAATCTGTCACTGAGTATGAAACGCAAGAATGACTGGCGGATACTGGTAAGGTAACAGGCAAGATACAGGCAAGATACAGGCAAGATACTGGCAAGATACAGGCAAGATACATGCAAGATACTGGCAAGATACAGGCAAGATACAGGCAAGGTAACAGGCAAGATACAGGCAAGATATAGGCTAAACATCTTCAACTATATAAATATATTAACTAAACATCTTTAAATTTGAATACAAAAGTAAAAACCTGTAGTGTAAAGTTAGGCGGTTGAGTCAAATTAGTGTTAAAGCCTTAAACAAAAGCAAAAGCAAAGCAAAGCTTGACAAAAGCTTTATAGACAAAAAGCCAAGGTGTGCTAGGCAAGAAAAGCACGCCAATGGTCAAGACAAAGTCGAATCGATTACCCGCACTTGAAACTTGAAATCCAGAAAAAAAAATGGCCTGGATTAACAAGTGTGTGTCAACATATTGAGTCGATAATGGAAAGTGTGTGAGTGTTGATGCGCAATGGGAGAAAAAGAGAGCAGGGAGAGCGAGCATTACCGCGGCCGAGCGTTGTCTCTCTCTTTCAATTCTCCCATCTTTTGTAAGTGAATGCCGGTTTCAGATGGCGCGCCGACCGCCGACCAACGTGATCGTCAAGCACCGCCACCCGCCCCCAACGATCGGCCTTTCCCTTGGCGTCGCGACCGCTCCTCGGCGCCAGGGAGCCGAGAGTGCAGAGATAGCGCATCAACAACCGGCGACTCTGACACGGGACACTAAATATCGTACTTTCCTTAGTCAACTCGCTGGCGCAAACTTGGCGTTTTGCCAGTTGCCCCTAATTCGATTGCCTCTCTCGGCCTCTTTGCTCCCTTTTCTCTCAAATCGCGCGTTTGTAAATATGTGAATCATTTGATTATCGCTTTCTTTAAAGACGATTTCGGTGTTTCTCTCTTTATCCTTGCAAAGATTTTGTTTTTCTCTTGAGTCGTGTTATAGAATTAGTTGTTTGTTAACAACGTGTTATAGAATTAGTTGTTTGTTAACAACTAATTCTAAAACAATATTAACAATGTTTTTTTTTGTTAATGAAATGTGCTTTTGTGGGCGATTTGTTTATAGAATTTGTTTATAAATAGGTGTTTTGACTCAGAAGTGAATTGCGCGAGGAAATCGTAATAAGTGCATCAAGAACAGGTTTGTTTAACGGTTGACCTTTATGGTCAACAGTTGGGGGTGGGACAAATGCGACCTTTTTTTTGCGCACCTGGACATTTGCGCATCTTTTTTTTGCTGGAAAAGGCCTTAGGAAAGGCCGTAGAGCTTCAAAAATGTTTTCATAGAAGGAAATCGTATGCGTAGGATCCGAATTTCGACAAATCAGACCTCGCTGACACGTCAAATTTTGGCTAAAACGCAAAAACTACGCAACTTAACGCTTTTCCTCAGTTTTTGCCTTTTAGCCCAAATTTGACGTGTCAGCGAGGTCCGATTTGTCGAAATTCGGAATCTACGCATACGATTCCCTTATATGGAAAAATTTTCGAAATATTTTCGAAGCTCTACGGCCTTGCCTAAGGCCTTTTCCAGCAAAAAAAAGGTGCGCAAATGTCCAGATGCGCAAAAAAAAAGGGTCGCATTTGTCCCACCCCCAACAGTTAGACAAACCATTATTTTTTTTCTTTATGGACAAACTGGTTTCTTTATGAAATTTAACGGTTAAAATGGTAACAGTAAACGATGGATGGGTTTTTCAAGCAGATTTTTTCAAATTTCGGTATTTTTGATGAACTAAAACATCGATATCAATCTTTCCCACAATTACTATTAAAACCGCAATAACTTTGTCATGACAGGGATCGAATCCTGGTCTTGCGACTATTGTATACTATACCTATACCGCTATCATTTTTGCATCTGTATGGATAACAAATTCTAATCCAAAATAAAAAGCATTTATTGTTAAGCCAAGCAACTCTTCTCAGAACAACCCGAGCTTGAAATCCCATCCCTATCTTCAAGTGACTTATCTTTATTATCTTTGTTCTTTGTTATCTAATAGTTAGAAAGAGCTGTGTGGATCAATATCATCGGCGTATTTATTATTGTGAATTGTCTTGACCCAGTTCCCGTGCAAAATGGCACGAAAAAGTAAACTCACATTAAAGCAAATGTAGTGCCAAGTAGAAAACACTAAACTAAAGAAAATACTAAACTAAAGAAAACATTAAACTAAAGAAAACACTCAAAACCCTTCGTTTTTGTATTTTCTATGGAGCTACTTTGCGCAACTTGCCATAACTTTCTTCTAAGTCGGCCAATCTTTATGATTTTTGTGTCATTTTGTAGATCTCAACAAGTGCAACAAAATGACACCAAAATCATAAAGATTGACCGACTTAGAAGAAAGTTATGGCGAATTGCGCAAAAATTGCCAAAAATTTGGCGAAAACTAACCACCGCTATCTCCTATTTTCACATTGATGTTATATATTGAAAACTCTCATCATTTAAGATATTCTGTTAAAAAGCTAACCATTTTTTTGTTTTGCCATTATAAAACTTCAAACATTTTTTGTTTTTCTTTTCATTTCGAAAGTGTAAAGCATTTTGATGTGACTAAGCGGAAATAGCGCATCATATTTTTTTATTGATTTCGACAATTTCTCTTTCTTGTAATGGGTTAAAAACAGATATTTGCGATAACTTTTGCCTGAACTGAAGACTTTAGCAACTGACGAGTTGGATCTATGTGTTTTCTGTTCGTTTTTCCGTTTCTCATTCATTTTAGCTATATTTTCTGTTCGTTTTTCCGTTTCCCATTCATTTTGGCTATATTTTCTATTTCAGAACAAAGCTCATCGATGTCGCTAAATCAAAACCCGTTCTCCGACCCATTTGCGGTAAGTTTTTTTCACAAATTTGAAGAGTACGAGGTCAACATAGCGTTATTAAAGTAAAGAACAAGTTCTTTGCGTTCAAAACTTTGCTTGAAATTGCATTTTTTGCATTTTTTTGCTTGAAAACGCAAAAATTTACCCTCGAAATAGTTAAATTTGTGTTAAAAAGTCTCGTCATTTGGAAGGTTTTCTATATTTTTTATTTTAGGATCCATCGGTACGAGCGGCTGCCGCACCATCGGCGAGTGCAAATGTAAATGAGGATTTCAACCCGTTCGCGCAACGCAATCAATCAACTCAGCCAGCACCCACCCATCAGGTAATTTATCAGCTTAAGCTAACATTTGCCCCAAAAGAAATTCTATAACATTTTCTAAATCAACCCTTTTTGGTGTTTTGAAGTCGCAGTAGACCTTTTAAACGTTTTAGTAGATGCAGTAGATCTTGAAATTTGGTTTCATCAAGCTAGATCTGTGATGCTTTAGACTAAAACCATAGTAGCCTAGTTTATGAACTAAAAATTAGTTTTTAAAAACTAAAGCCAGTTCTAACATCGAGATCGTTAGCTTTTCGTGTTCGTTCCCGTTTTAGTATTTGCTGTATTTAGCCAGCGCTCTCGGGCGGTGCCACCTCTGCAGTGCATGGAGATGAGCTCTTCCGTCGACAAGAGGAACTCGAGCGAAAAGCACAAGAGCTTCGCCGAAAAGAGGAAGAGCTTGAGCGTCGTCAAAGGGTCGGTGCTTGTATTGGCTACCATCGTTGTAAATTTTATTTTGTATTAGATTGCTATTATAATTTTTCATTTTAGGGTACCGCACCCACTGGTGGGGCAACAAATGGCGGGGCGGCGCCTGCTGCTGGAGGAAAACCCCACAATTGGCCACCTCTGCCAGCCATTATTCCGATCGAACCTTGTTTCTATCAGGTAAACTAAAGTTTTAAAAATAAAAACTGGTGCTATAGTAGCTGGGGGCGGGACCAGTTTGTAAACATCGGTTTTTTTTGAACTTGCCACTAGTTTAAAAACTTTTTCTGTGGTAATTAATTGCACTGAATCTATTGGAAGCATTTAAAACTATTCTGAACAGCTTTTCTGCCATTTTGAGCAACAATTCCAAGCCTTCGAGAGTGGTTCTACTTCCATTGGATTTAGAGGTGCGGGACCGAGTTAAGAGGCTTAAAACCTCAGTAACTACTTTAAATAGCTAGAGAACAGTCATTAAAGCTTAAAGGGGGGAGGGGCATTAATCGGGGCCGAATTTTGAAGAAAACGTTTTCTTGGTAACACTGTTTCTATTTTTTTATATTGACAGTTATTGTGTAAAATGGGCGAAAAAACCCGGCTGGGGTGATTTGCCCGTAACTTGGTATTTTGGACGCATTCGATTACCCGATTTGTCACAAGTTGGTGTAGGCTGGTACTCGCTTCACGGTGAACATCAGGAGGCTAAAAATTTCTTTTTTATACAAAATTCAACACATTTGAAGCAATAAAGGGGACAGAATCGGCTAACACATATAACATAACCAGTCAATGAAACCTAATCTTCCTCTTCATCTTCTTCATTTTCTCTCAAATTTAAAAGTTCTTCAAGTTGACCTCCAAGTTTATTGATATCATCATCTTCCTTTTCGCATGCAAAGGGATCTCCGACACCAAAAGGCATCTTCAAACGTAATAATTAGGATTGGTGCAAAAGATTATAACAAAAATTACAAAAAAAAATTATTTTTACAAAAGACCATATAGTAGAAAAACTAATGGATCAATATTTTAGGAGCAGTTTTCTGATATTTTTCTCTATCAAGATAGGAGATCTTGCATTGGTAAATGTTCGTAGCCTCTTAAGGGCGAAAATGATGCTGAGATGACGAATATTTCCTTGAGAGTTTTGAAACTTATATTTTGTTTTGAGACTTACCTTGACTGTTAAGTGCAGAAATTGAGTGGCTCTAAAATACCAAGTAACGGGCAAATCACTCCAGCCGGGTTTTTTTCGCCCATTTTACACAATAACTGTCAATATAAAAAAATAATGTTGCCAAGAAAACGTTTTCTTCAAAATTTGGCCCCGATTAATGCCCCCGCCCCCCTTTAAATAAATACCAAATTAAGAATCTACGCCATTAAAAACCCTAGAAGAAAAAATTAGTGCGCTCTGATAGAGATGAATGTGCACTGCCCCCCTCCAACTACTATAGCACCTAAAAACTACCCAAGTGAATAGACTTTTACTTTTTAACTTTTATTGAGTTTAGGATATCGAAGTGGAGATCCCTGTACAATTCCAAAAGACGGTCACCATTGTCTACTATGTGTTCTTGACCTATGTGCTTGCTCTTTTCATTAATGTGGTATGTTTTTCTAGTAAAGTTCTTTAAATGCCTTTATTTAGTTTGCTTCACTCTTCTACGCACTTTTCGGTGGTGGAAGTATTGGTGTCTTCTTTTTGGCTATTATTCAATTCATTCTCTTCGCGCCTTGTTCCTTTTTGTTCTGGTTCAGGCCAGTTTATAAGGTAAATCTTATAGTTTGAAAAATATACATTTTTAATTTTAGGCATTCCGGAATGACTCTTCGTTCAATTTTATGGTCTTCTTCTTTGTGCTCTTCTTCCATTCAATCTTTACATTGGTGCAAACGCTGGGCATTTCTCAGTACGCTTGTGGATGGTTAGTTATTATTTCTAGCAAATTACGGTGCAATTTCAGGGCCAATGCTCTCGAGACGTTCAGCAAGTCGGTTCCCGTCGCTTTGTTGATGTTGGTTTGCGCAGTCGCATTCAGCGTGGCTTTCGCTGGAATGGTTTTCGCCCTCTTGAAGGTAATTTGCTTGAATCTGTAACTGTTAATTAAGCGGGTTATTTTATTAAACAATCCAAATAAGCTTCAAATTTTACTAAACAATTTCAGAGGGTATTTTGTTCTAATTACCTGTACAAATGCGAATGTTGTAGAAAAGCTTAGTTGAAGTTTTTAAATGAAACGAACAAGCATATCATATTTTACAATTAAAGTAATGTTTTCCATTTAGGTTCATCGTCTCTATCGCGGCGCTGGCTTCTCAATCGATAAGGCGCGACAAGAATTCACGAATGGAGTGATGAATGACCGAAACGTTCAGGCTGCAGCTGGAGTCGCGGCACGAGGAGCAGCCGGTGCTGCTTTCCAACAAGCTGCTTCAGGTCGTTTTTAAATTTTCCTAGGCAAAATTTGGGATCCATATCTTCACTCTTTTGTATTCTTTTCTTTGAATAGTTATTTCTCGATTTCCTCTTCCAAAATTCTCAATCGCATTTTTTTCATTTTGTCCAGCTGATATTTGCCATCCATCCTTGTAGATGTTTGTAAATGCGTGTGGAAACTCTTTATAATCACGTGCTATTCATTGTAGTTAGCGTTCATTTCCTTATTTTTTTTAATAGCATAACTTGATCGTGAGAGTTTAATAATTTTCAGATACATGCAGATAATTTATTAGTTAATTGGTCTCTCGGTTGTGTATTTATTCCGATACTTTTCTTTGAGAGCGATACATTTTCGGGATGATGTCAAGCGTTCTTCAACCCACATATGATCCGGTGTAAGCCGATTGTCTCCTTTTTGGTCATTTTTGCTGAGAATTTTTTATTTTGTGTTCAAATATACTTCCCCGATTTCTATCTTGTGAATAATAAATCATTTGATTGAAAGGAAAATCACATTTTAGAGCATGCAAATGATGCTGTTGGTTGTTGTAAAAGTAAACAGATCTTTAGGCACGAGAAATGGCAAGAATTGATTTATTTTAAAAGTCTAAGCATGAAATACGTTTCAAAATCAAAATCGTATCAAGATTTTCGGCACAAATCTTCTTGCTTTTCAAGGATTTTGGAACTTTGCTCAACTTTGGCTGTTTATTTAACAGAAACGAGAGATAAGAAAAGCGATGAATCGTCCCGATTTCTTTTCTTCTTTTCTGCTCTTTTGATGCCATGTTGGGGTCATTGAAATGAGTCATGATGTGTGGGACTTATAGAAAAGATGATTTCCCAGACATCGAACCATTCTTCAGAACTTTTAAACCAGATAGCTAGCTTTTAAAAACCTTAAAAACAAAGCTTTAATCTCAATTTTACTATCATTACTATAAAGCTTACTGAAATCGCATTTTTCTGTATATTTCAAAACTTTTGGTATATATTTTTTTGAAATCTCAACTAAATTTGTCAACCGATCAACCAATTATGGACAAAGAGGTGGGTTTTTAAATGCAAATTCCTATTGTAATTGAAATCTTTTCTAGAAAACCGTTATCGACATTTTGGACACCGATCAACCACCAGCACAGTACTCAAAAAAGGTGGGGCTTGAAGAGTTTTAATAGTAAAAAAAAGCTTCTTTATCATTTCACCTAGAAGTATTTGAAATAATCTTTGACTTTACAACTTTAACAGAGTATCAAAATGCAAAATAACTTTCTAGATAACTTTCTAGATAACTTTCTCAGGGTCAAGGATTTACGGTAGTCATTTAATGCTTTTTAGAATTGCTAAAAAATTTTAGACTCCTCCAGCGAAACCACAACGAGCGCAACCAACTGGAGCCAATGGGATCTCGGCGGGGATTGATGCGAGTAAGTAATGAAATATTGTTTTCGAATAAAACGATCAAATCATAAGCTTTCAGCCACGCACGTGCACACGGGCCATGCCGGTAATGATGTGGCCCTTTGCTGCTTCGGTGCTGGTAAGAGCTAAAAAGTGACACCAGTAGGCTTTATCGTAAATACTCTAACAGAACGGCCGTCTATAGGAGTGTCGCGTAGTCTAAATGGATGCTCAACTGAATAAGTTGAACGTGAGACATAGACGATTCGACGCAGAATTTCACGCTGAATCCGAGTCTGCTTTCCGTTTTTGCAAGGGAGCACTCTGTCAAAAGTTATACGCGTTTTAAGGTTTTGTATGGGATTTCAAAAAGCAAACATAGACCTTAAAAGGGACTTTTCAGACAAAGAGAGAGTGCAGGGGTGTCCGAGTGGTAGTAGGCTAGAATACAAGGTTAGACCTTCCCGGTTCGAATCGATCAGCTGACTTAGTTTTATTTTTTTTGAGATAATCAGTTACGCTGACTTTGCGGCGTACTTTGTGCTCAATCTCGTAAAAAAACCCTTTCTGGCGTGCTGAATTCCGTTCAATTCCAGTGATCGGCGCGTGTGTGGAGTCTTGCATGGCCTCTTGCCCCTGCACGACGGGTCGCTCGAAGCTGATCTTTGTTCTCGTCACTTTGGGCATCGTTTTATTGTGTTTTGCTTTCGTTGGCCTCATTTTGCTAGTAGATGGCGGATAATTGGAGTCGGTAATGTGCATTTCTTCCAAATTTTCAATTTTCCCATTTCTGGCTTGTATTTTATGAATATAATATTGTACATAAAATCCTTTTCAAAGCTATTTCATAAAGGTGAAGAGCTCCTCTTGTCAAATCCCTTTTCTAAAACGTGTAAACTTTTCAAAAACTCATTTTACCTATCAGCCACTTAATCACCTCTTTTCCCCCTTGTATTCCCTTTTTCTTCTCAGCCAACGCGGTACCGGATAGCTCAGTGGTTAGAGCGTCTGTCTGGAAAGTATTTTTGATCGGTCGAGGAAGGAAGAGGTCGAGGGTTCAATCCCTTCTCCGAAAATCTCTCTCTCCCATTTCTTAGTTTACTTTACTAACTACGAGATAACGTTTATTACACACGAAAACGATAATGGTATTCTTGGGGATTGGGTTTTTAAGAAAGAAAAATAAAATACACAAAAATTAAAGAAAAAAAATTTGACTAGTTTTTTTGAGATTAGGACAAGTCCAAAAATGAGATACTTTTCTACCGTGTGAACGAGGCATTTTTTTTTTTCGCATTTCTATAGAACATTTTTGTGAAAAAATACAAACATTTTACGGTCAAAAGCGTTTTTTTTTATAAATTAGTCGCTACAGTGAGTCGTTTGAATTTCATTTTTCCACTTTGTACTGTTTCGCGATTTTGCCCATCTCGGCGGCACTCAGAATCTGGACTCCTTGTCGGGCGTCGTCAAGCGTACAACTGATCAGAGCCTGCAAGGGTACTGTTATTTTTGTCTGAAATCTTACTGCTGGTGTATACTGTAAAGCCCAAATCAGAAAAGGGTATACCCAAGTGCAAAAAGCCTGTCTAAATACCGTTTTTGATCATTGAATGGTCTTTTCAGGCAACTATTCACTTGTGATCACTGAAAGTCGTTTTCAGCCATTTCCACGAGCCCTATTTAGCTTCTCACCGTTTATACACTCTTTAAAACACTTCAAAATCGATTTTAGTGTTTAACAAAGAAGCATTGACAGTGAAAGGATTCGAACTAGGGAGGAACCGCGCGAGAATCGAGCACACTATCCGAAACTTCAGTGATGGGAATCGAACCAGAGAGAAGTGGGAGAAGCAGCGCGAGGGTTCAGCACACTATCCGCTACACCATTCGGTCATCTGTCATGGGAGGAAAGTAATTCGGTTTCATAACGTGGCGGCGCCGTTTTTTTCTCCAAAATGGTCCAAATTTCAAAAGGATTTTTCTCGAAAACTCGATAATCTTGAGTAAAACTGAAAAACAAGTGACCCTTAGAATTTCTGCACTAAGCCCAATATGCTAAATAAATGCTAAGTTATAGCAAGTTGTAGCCATTTTTTTTGAGTCCTAAAATGTTCTTAATTTCACCCAAACCTTTGCAATCTCTTGAGCGTCAATGAGAAGCGCTGTTGTGAAGAGAGAGGTCGGTTTGAGGAGAAGCTGAATTCAAGTAAAGATTAATGATTCGAACAGCTGAATCTTCTCCACAAAGCTCTGCAACACTCAAAGCTAGTTAAGTAGACAAATTTTCATACGTTTCTAAACTCTCAACAAACCTTCGAGCATCGATATCCAAAGCTGACTTCTTCTCGCGGTCCCTCAATGAGAAATGGACGAGCGACGATGAATTTCTCAAAGCCCAACTCGGCTACATCACGTTCAGCGGCACCCTGGAAAGCTTTTTAGAAATTGTTGAAATGGTTGAAACGGTTTAAATGGCTAAAATGGCTAAAATGGCTAAAATGGCTAAAATGACTCAATCAGCAAAAAAAGCTTCTACTTTTACAATACCTTAATCTTAAACGGCCAAAAAGTCGCATTCGGATCCGATCCAGCAGCTGTGACCAAACAAAAGGCGGTCGCTCCGTTCTCTCGCGCCAATTTAGCTGTGGCCACCACATAGTCGTGATCAACTTGTTGCATTTTTTCCTGAATTTCGCTAATTTTTAGATTTTATCTTATTTAAAACCTTTCCAGCTTTAGTCGTGACACCAAGCGAGCAAAATCCGACATCAAATCCTTGAAAATGTTGAGGGTCCAAATTGTCGAAGTCGATCTCTTGCTGTTCCTAAAAATATTTTAAATTAAAAATTAAATTAAAAATCAAACTAATTTGGTTTTAACTACAAGTTAATAATGTAATTAGTATTTTTATCTGTTTAGGTAAATAATTAAGATAAATCTCGATTTTTCACCTACCAAATGTGGCGGAGCATCAGGAATTTCGACTCTTCTTCGCCCGAGTAGCACAATTCGCGAGAAAGCCGGATTTTTCATCAAAACCTAGTAACAGATTTAGATTTTTGTAGATAATTAGTGTTTAATCGTATACTATGAGCTCGAAACGCGTAAACCCACTGTTTCTAGCGCATTCGATTCTTTACAAATGTTTGCCTAATAAAACGGAGAATTCAGTGCACCAGAAATGATGTGTTTAGGCCATTTTGTGCACATAATATCAATTTGAACGTCGTGATTATCGATTTTCATTTAATTATTTAGTCGAATAAGCCAATTGATAAGTTCAAATCACACCTCAGCAATCTGCCTTCCAACCATCCCGCTTGCACCCAGAACAAACGCCGATTTTGAGCTCATCCTAAAGAATAAAAAAAGCAACAACAACAGGCAAATATTCAGAAATTTCTTTAGAATGCAAAAGAAATTTGATCTGCTTGAAAGGAATAGAAATTTCAAAAGAGCCACTACAAACTATAATCAAAGCCAAAAAAGAAAAGAAATGTCATCTTTTTGAAGGGATTAACCACAATAAGTATTTCGATTCTCTTGAAAGAAATAAAATAAAAAAGAATTCAAAAATTTCAAATAATTTATTGCATTCGACTGAAAATTTTCTTCCTATCCAGCGATTTCCTCGGTGCCGGTCGATTTTCGTTTCATTGGCTTGGTTGGCTGAAAAAAAGGAAAGAATTAGGCGATAACAAAGACTACCAACCGGTGAAGGTCAACGTTTGTTCAAAATTCAAGTTTTACAGTCAAATACTTGCATTTAACTTGTACTTATCTACCGACTAACTATGCCACAGTGTAAGTAACACATTATTATGTGCGTAAATCGTTTAATGGACTGAACCATTAAACCATGAGTATCTAGTGAGCTCTACCCACTAATCTATTGCACATCAATGCACCTCAAACCCATGAAAATCAGCCGTCTTCACCTTTTCATCCTCCTCACTGCGGAATCAAGGCGACGATAGCGGCTGATTTAGATCGACACGTATCGATGGAATATTCTCCATGGTCGGGTCACGATCCTCAGCCTAAAAACAAAAACTATTATCCGTATTTCCTGCTGGCAAAAAGTTTCTTTCTATTTAATGATCTTCCGTATCCAAAATTCCCAAGAAACGCACCGATTTCGATCTCCCGCTTTAGCTCGCAGTATCCTTATCATATACCTCGACTTCTTTCGCGGCTAAAATAGAAAAAGCTTCAAAAGGTTAGGAACCATTTAAAAACGAACCCATAGCTTCTCTCTGGAAACTTCAATGATGTCGCTATTTCCGCCTCGTTGCATCTTGTCGGTGATCGGTTCCTAAATAAATAAGATAAGCAAGCTTAGAACAGAACAAATGGCTAAAAAGCATCTAACTTGCAATTCTAAACTCTACAAAATGCTCCTACCATGGTGAGCGATTGTGTCGCGGCGAGGATATCGTGTGGTGCCGGCTTTGAAGCAATTGGTTGTATCGGTTCGACACTCTGATTGATCGCGCCGGCGCTAGAGCGTTTCTTGTGCGGAATGCAGCAAAGCCCGTAGACCACCACGCTCAGCAAAGGCTGGATCGCATGCTCGGCTCGCCTCAGTGACTCGTTCGGCTAAAGAAGAAAATTGTAAACGAGTCTTAATAAAGTAAAAGAGTTTAACAGTTCTATGAAGATCATATACAAAAGAAATCTTAAAATAAAATTCCCACCCTATTGTGCGTATATTTCGGCGTTGTCCAAGTGTCTTCGCCGGTCATCTTTGAGGATTCTTGTTGCTAAAGAGTAATTGTTGAAAATCCTAACAAAATCTCTCACCAATTCGACTCTTTTTGTAGTTCTTGTTAATGGTTGAGCGCTTGACTAAAAAAACAAATGATAGAAGCTAAAATAATTCAAATAAAACTTTTTGCCGGCATTTAGTGGTTACGAGGTACAAGTGAGTAGCAAAACGGTCAAACTGATGAGCAGAAACACGAGTTGTGTCAAGTCGTTTAAAAGCTATAGCATTTTGTCTAAAGAAATCATATTTACAAAAAAACCACATAAAAAGCATGCCAAATCACGGGTGATTTCAATTTTCTTCTTCGAACTTGTAACAAACACTACATTAAACATTTGAAACGTACTTTTACAAAAAAAAACTCACTTATGAAGTTTCTGGTAGTTCTTCAAAATATAAGGTGACCAGTCGAGTAAACTACTTGACGTTGAAATAAAAAACATATCCCAAATTTTCTTTTATTTAAGCCTTAAATGCAAAATATTGAATTTCAATGCTAATTACTTCAAGGCAACTTGTTTGTGAATCTGTGAACAACGTCTTGCTTTAAAACTTTAGAAAGTAAATCTTTATTTAACGATCACAATATTATTACAAAGACTTTCCTCAAAATAAAGTCGCGTGATTTTGAGAAATCGAAAAATACACATATCTTTTGGTAAGTAGACCATAAAATGAGCTAATTTTACAAGGCAAAACAAACGCTGAGCAATAGAAAAATGTAAGAGATTTTTAATGCACCGTTGATTGGGAATCATCTTTGCTCGATTCCCAATTCACGATCGTCTGAAAAAAGTGCTATTGGGTTTCTCAAATGAAAATGCCTCACTTAATCAACCGATCTTTAGCAGCTTCCAGCACTTGCGGCTGTTTTATTTGTGGCCCGGCGACAGAGTCCAAAATCTCCGCGACAAGTTGATTGCAAATTCCCGGACACGTATCTTCGGCCTAAAAGCTTTCAATACTTGCAAAAAAAGTCCAAACATACTTGTTTCAAAGCATTGGCTAAGGCATCAAGTTCTGATCGAGCGTGCCTCGTTCGAGAAAGTTGATCAATCACTGTCAAGAAGCCGTACTCCAGAGCACCCTAGAATGAAAATTAAGCTGATAAACACAAGGATTTATTTCTTTCTTCAAAAATTAACCCACCTTTGGCCCATTTTTCGTTTCCGTATCTGGGGGCAAATTTCCCCCATGACGTCCACCCGATCCACCACCACGATAGCCAGTAAACTAAACTAGACAATAGTTTTTGTACCTATCTTATAAAATACCTGTTGTGTGTCATTCTCATGATTTCCATCGAAATTGGCACTAAAAGTTGAGTTGAAATCGGCTAAAACATATTTCCTCACCGTTCCCGATTTTTGTGATTCCCATTAGTTTGAACATTCTCCTTTCCGGTACTCCCATAGCCGCTGTCTTTGCCCGTTTGTCGATCGCGATTTTCATTCTACAAAAATAAAATAAAATAAAGGTATAAACTATTTTTCCTACAGATGAAGATGAAGCTGAAGCTGGTCCATTCGTATTGTAAGGCGAACCAGACGGACGACTTTGTGCAGGATACTAAAAAGACTTTTAAGAACAAAAGATATTTTCACACCTGCGTATTATTCACAGAAATCGTTGTTGCACCAGAAATTGTTGAAGGACCGACCTGTAAAAGCAATAAGTTAAAACAATGAGTCAGGAAATCACCTCACGAAAATCACTTCCACCACCGGCCCTTTCTGTGCTTTGTGATGGCTCCGAGTCGAGTTCCACTCCCCTCAATTGTTCAACCAGTTCAGCTGCCATTGGGCTTGACTAAAGTTCAAAATAGTCAATGATTTATATAGGGAAAACCAACCTTTACAATCGTTCCGGCAGGACTGTGTTCCCGTTGCACTTGCGAACGGTTCTTGACAGCTCGTTGGCGAACTGTCTCTTCCAATGCCTAAATTTTATTTTAGAGGCATCACACTAAAAAAAATCCTGAATCAAACTTCTCATCGGTGTTTTCCTAAACGACAAAGACTACCTTTTCGCCCTTAACAGTTGGATAATCCCATTGATTGTAAGTTCCGGCCGCGTCTCCATCATCATCAAGATCACTATCCGAAGAATTCCCGACCCTTAATCTAGAACCAAAAGGCATGAAATTATTAAAATTTAATGCCACCTATATTCCGCAGATCTCTCAATCACTTCAATTAGAATCGAATTTTTTCGTGCCTTTCGGATGAATGGGTGACGAAGTAGTTCTTTTGCTGTCGGTCGCTAAAGAAATATCGTTTAATCAAAACAAAAGCACTTACATTATCCGGATCCTTATTCAGACACACTTCCACAAAATCCCTGAAAGAACGAGACCATTGCGAGCCGCTCAATTGAGGTGGAGGGTTCTTTGGAATTAAAAACAGTACCTAAAAATAAAATATTCAAGCTAGGCTTTTAAAAGCAACCCGCATAGGATGTAGATCCGAATGTGGAGGCTCTCCATTAGCCAACTCAATAGCCGTGATGCCAAGTGACCAAATATCGGCCTAAAATTAACAATTCACTTACAAAGTTGAAAAATATTGCCATTGCCAACACATGGAAGTTTCAAAACATTTAACGTTAAAACATTGTCGTCGATTTTTCCCCAGAAAAACCTTTCGGTTTTCATAGCCGGAAGTTATAACAAACGATAACACTTTCCCAAATTCCCTTATAAGCAGGACAAAGTATAGACGTTACCTTAAAATCGTAGCTAGCCTGTTTGATGAGCTCGGGTGCCATCCAAAAGGGACTTCCCACAAAAGTGATCCTCTTCTTGATCGTTTCCGTCAATTGACCGGCTACTCCAAAGTCGGCCACTTTCACATCACCATGCTCGGAGACGAGGACATTGGCAGCTAAAAAAGGGAACAATAGGTGGAAGCGTACATGAAAACATGACATAAACACAATTAAACATCCCCCTTGAGCAATACATAGAAGGATTAATTTCCATCAAACATGAAAAGCTACAATGGTAATCAAGTAGCAAAGCCCCAAATACACCCTAACAAAATACTTTACAACCTTCTGATCGTATCTTGATTGTGAGATCACTTCAGGGGCCATAAAATATGGCGTGCCGACAAAAGTTTCCGCCTTTTTTCCACTAATTGTCCACAAATGGGTCGCTACACCAAAATCGGCCAATTTCACTATTCCATCATGTTCCCCACACAAAATATTTGCTGCTAGAAACGGTTTAAATAGATAGAGCTTTAAAAACGCTCTAATCTCGTTTCCACTATATAATTTCAAGCCAAGTTGATACCTTTTATGTCACGGTGAATCTTTCGTTCGGAATGAAGATAGTCGAGACCCTAAATATATTATAATTTGAATAAAATCTATCAAAACAAACCTTTAGAATCTCTCGTAAAATGACAGCGATTTGATTCTCGTCGAGTTTTCCACTTTTTGTCAAATCCAGAGCAGAGCCTCCGCCAAGATATTCCATTATGATCCAAAGTTTGGATCCCTAAAAGCATTGGTTGTATAAAACAATAAAAACAAAATACCTTTAAATAACTTCCGTAATATTTTGTAACATAGGCCGAATCGCATTGACTGAGAACCTAAAAGATCAGATTCATTAGAAAAGTAATATTAAACAAACTTGAATTTCTTGTTGAATGTCCTCAATTTCATCTTCAGCTTGTTCAAGGTCGATTATTTTAATCGCCACGACCTGAAAAGCAACAAATTAGTGACAAAGCTTGTAAGTTTAAGATATCAATCACTTGTTAGCATTTTGTGAAAACGATAAACGTTTTCTCCTCGCAACTTTATAAAAGAATTCATCTCTTTATCAATTTAATGTTTTTAAACTTATACACACTTATTGAACGCAACAAATAACATCACATTTTCAAACAAAAAAACGCGTTCACCTGTCCATTCCTCTTATCGATTCCCTTGTAGACCTCACCAAAAGAACCACGACCGATTCTTTCTTGTTTCGTGAAAATCGCCTCAGGGTCCATCTAAATAAAAAAAATTAACCAAAATAGTATAGTAGCACTGAAGAAAACGAAAAAAATTCCCACTACCTGCGCCAACGCGACGCTCGTAAATTTTAACATAGTAGAGACTTTTCGTGCAGTTGATTGGTCATGGAATGTTTTAGTGATAAAAGAATAGAATTCTTCTAATGAAGCAGATAGGAGGAACTACAAAATACGGGAAAAGGAAAGGGGAAAGGGGTGAGTCAAATATGCGAGTGGGGAGAAAGGGGAACAATTCCGCGTGCTTACCAAACAACGTACCAAAGACGTGTGCATCATCGGGTATGTGTTGGGAACACCCCTTCTCTTCTCGTGTTCTCTCCTTTTATGACGGGTTTCGAGGTTACTCTGGCTGTGCACTTTTCCGACAGGGAATTAACCGACGCTCACCCCTATAACGACACTGGAAATTTGGCTATGGATTGAGAGAACAACGAAAAATGGAAAAAGTTTAGTATCGAGAAAATGTTTGCGCGTGCAAGTGGGCAAAAGTGACTGGAATTTTTTGAAATAAATGTCAGAAACATTTGGACAAGTTTTGGAAAAACGAAAATCCACTAGAACCGGTACAAAAGCCAAAACCAGAAGTAAACATCATGGTTTCAAAAAAGTAGCTGTATGTACTGCAATTAACGTTCAATTTATGGGTTTTTTGAATCGGTGCAAAGATAGTTGAGGGCCAATCTGTAAACTCGTCTTGACATGTTGAAATTTTACATTGGGGGTTTTTTTGGTGATACTGAATCGATTGATGATATTTTCAAACTATGATTTCTTGTTATTTTGATGTTATTACACACCGGTTTTGATTTTTTTTAATGCTTTTTCCTCAGTTTTGTAACTTTTCTTAAGTTTTTCTTTTGTGTGTGGCGCAAGCAGGTTTAGCAGCGGCGGCTAGGCTCGAATTGAAGGCGTTTAACCTCTTCAGAGAATGGCCCAAACTCGCGATCAAGAGTGACAAGGATTTCGGTGATTGACTGGCCGATATGGGACTGCTTTGCAAAGATCGAGGTTGTCCGAATTGAGCATCAAAATAACAAGAAATCATGGTTTGAAAATATCACCAATCGATTCAACATCATCAAAAACCCTCAGTGCAAAATTTCAACATGTAAAGAGACGTTTACAGTTTGGCCCTCAACTACCTTTGCACCCCTTGATCCTTCGAATACTAAACAGCTACAAAATATCAAATTACACATTTTTAGAGAAGAGAAATAGAGCTATAGGACACTCAAAAAAAATGTGCAAGGGTTGAGAAATTCAAGGCCGAAAACCATCAATGTCGTTTTTAACACCGTAAAGAAGAAATGTGAATCAATTGATTCCTCATCTCATTTCTGCTTCATTCTTTTCGTCGACCCTTTTCTCTGGTAAAGGGGGGTGGAAAGTCGAAAGAGCAACAGCACACAAGAGAAGGGGGTAAAGGGACAGCTTCGTTGGGTGTTCGGATCGACGATTATAGCCCCCCTCAACCCCTCCCGCCCTTCTCCTTCCGATGTGTGTCGATCCGGGTAAACATGCCCCGTTGATCGGCCGACCTGAAGGGTGGAAAGATGAAAGAGAGAAAAACGATCGACGAAGAAGCCGGTGATACGTAAAAAAATGAAAAAATAATGATGGGCTGGCTGATAGCTTTCAAACGTAACAAGCAGCTAAAATTGTAGCCTTCATTCAAAACAAATAATTTTTACACTGGTAATTTCATAGGTATAGCTTCAATTTATATAATGAGTTTTAGATACATATAAGTAGCACCACAAAATATTTATTGAGCGAGCAAAGAAATCAATGGTTCAGAAAATTGGTTTAAAATTTACAATTTAAAGTTAAACTAGGGCGATACCACACCAATCTTATAGGCTAAATGAAAATAAGAACAAGATAAGAGATAAACCCACTCCAGTTACCGTTCATAATTGATGTCGATATTGTTTTCCATATTTGTGTCGATCGTGCTCCCATCATAGATGATCGTCTCAGTGATGCTCTTGCCAGTGGCCGTCTTTCTGCTCGTGATCTTGATTTTGTCCTTGCTTTTGCTCTTCTCGATACTGTTCTTCTTGTCCATCATTTGAAAAGTGAATAGGAAAGGAATAGTCGGGAATTAGAATGGTTTTTCTTTGAGTCAGTTTACTACTTATTTGGTCATTAAATGTAAATCTTGAAAACCAGACAAATCTAATTATTTATGCAAATCTATCCCAAATAAAAAGTTGTTTTTAATTTTATTAACCACTTTGACCTGATAGAAGGGGTTACAGCAATAACCAAATCGGGGACATCCAAATCCAGGTGGTGGTGGCTAAAGGGAAATGTTATTTAGGAAAACAAGAGTACTCGTACAATATTAGACGTAAGAAAATTTACCGGTGGAGGGAGAGGGGAAGGCAAGTAGCCAGGAGGAGGAGAATGTAGCCTGGAAGTGGCGGTGGAGAAGAGGAGACGGTGGTGGCGCTTGAATGTAGGTTATTTGAGGCCCGAGTGGTGGAGCTGCTTATTGGCAGACTTGCTAAAACACTACGCACAAATTTATAGTAAAGACTAAAAAGCAAACCTCATAATTGAATAAATCCGCTCGATCAACATTTGGTTTTATTGAATTCTTTCGTCGTCTATGCCGATTGACAAAGGCTCATCAGGACTAAAGCCAAAAATAAGTTTTAAATAAGTAAGAAATATTTCTACGGTAAAAACATCGAGTTTTTAGCAAGTGAATCTCGTTAATAAACGAAATTTTAACTTAAAACACACTTACTTAAGCTTAAATGCCTAGTTTGAGCAAGTTTGGGCAAGTTTATTCACTGATTTATAAGATTTATAAGAAGATTCACTGATTTATACCATCAACCGCCACTTGCTAGATCACTAAATAAAGAACTAAGCATACTAATCAAGAAATCCTCATTCACAAAGGTCTAAACATTACTTACTTTGATAAAATGGCGAATGGATTAGCACGGGGATAGTAGGAGACGATCAAATGAACCATGGTTAAACCGCAAAGCACCGCGAGAAGCACACAAGCTCGATGGTTCATCGCATTCCTGAAACGAAAAAAGAATTATCAATGAGCAGCTGAGAAAATTAAATCTTGAAATGAGAAAGAAAGCAAAAAAGCCAAAAAAAACAGACACTATTTACAGTCCTTGTTAAATTTTTAGTAGCAACTAGGAAATTCCTGGTGATATTAACGTCAATTCAACTCAAAACAATACATATTTTAGTTATACTAACAGAAAGACCTTAAAATATTAAAATTGTAAGTATTTCCCGAAAAAATGGCGTTGAAAAGTCAATAATCAAACATAGAGATAAAGGGTTTTATAGTTAAGAAAATTTGCGGGAGTGGGACAAATGCGACCTTTTTTTTTGCGCACCCGGACATTTGCGCACCTTTTTTTCCGCACTTAGCCCATTAGCGCGCCTTTTTTCGCGTTTTAAAAAAGCTCTAAAAGCTAATATTAACCAATTTCTATTCCAAAAGTTGTTTTTCTAGGTAATTTTAGGGCGTAGAATCAAAATTTTGGCATATCAGAGCTCGTGGAACCAATTTGAAAGACAAAACGGCTAGGTCAAATTACAGAAAATTGCTGATTTTTTTCTTTGTATAACTCCGTCCGTTCGCTTCCACAAGCTCTGATATGCCAAAATTTCGATTCTACGCCCTAAAATTACCTAGAAAAACAACTTTTGGAATAGAAATTGGTTAATATTAGCTTTTAGAGCTTTTTTAAAACGCGAAAAAAGGTGCGCTAATGGCTAAGTGCGGAAAAAAAAGGTGCGCAAATGTCCGGGTTCGTAAATGTTCGGGTGCGCAAAAAAAAGGTCGCATTTGTCCCACTCTCAAATTTGCAATTACCGTAAAAGCTAGAGTGTGTTCCTCGCGAGTAATGCGTTTTTTAAAACGCACACTTGGGAAAAAATTACCGTACTATTAGCAAAAATTATTGCAAAAAATTACCGTATTTTGTAAAAATTATTGAAAAAAATGACGCAAAAATCCCGAGCCCCATATTATATATGACACTTTTTAAAGATACTCAGCCGTTTAACTGATTTGGTGGGAAATTCCTTTCCAATGTAAAAAATTATTTTTTTGAAAAACCTGCGCAAAAAATTGCTTTTATATTTTTTTCGCGGAGGCGCACTTTTTAGAAAACGCATTACTCCACAATTACTCATGCAAATTTACTCGAGTAATTATTAGGTTGATGCAAAAGTCTTTTTCATTTTTTTCGTACTTCTTTTGAAAAATAACAAAGTCATCAATTAACCTATGGTTTGCTCTAAATGAAAAGTGTTTATTGTTGAATTTCCCATCTTTTTAAGTCAATTTGGGTTCACTTTCAAGCAAATTCGAGAGTGAAAACGGGTTTTTCATAAAAATCTATAAAAACCTCTATAAAGAAATTGGCTGAATCAATTTCTCTGAAAATCTGAAAAAATATCTAACTTTTTGTGCTCTATCTTTTATTTATTAACATCAAGATTGGTTTCCTTAGCTAAAGCGTCTAAAATGCATCATCGAGCCGTCGCCTTTTTTGACTACCCGACTTCAGGCTCTCAAAAAAATCTAGACATAAGACATTTTAAACTCGTTTTAATGTCATTTTGCAGAAAAATAATTGGCCTTTCGAATGCAATAAACCGTTGTTCAATTGGTGCATTTGTTACTTTTTAACGGAAGTACGAAAAAAATGAAAAAGACTTTTGCATCAACCTAATACTTACTCGCGAGGAACACACTCTAGTAAAAACGGGTTAGGCTAATTACCGCAATTTTTTTTGCGCAATTCGCCATAACTTCCTTCTAACTTCTAAACTTCTAAACTTTATGATGTTGGTTTTATTTTGTTGCACTTATTGAGATCTACAAAATAAAACCAAAATCATAAAGATTGACCGACTTAGAAGAAAGTTATAGCGAGTTGCGCAAAAAAAATTGGCGCAAAGTAGCCTACCCCGTAAAAACTCTAATAGAAGCCCCTTTTTTATTTTGAGCCTTTTATAACGTAATTCAAAAATTACCATAACCAAAAAATAGGTTTTTTATTAGTTTTAACATGCTCTTTTTCTTGCTTTTTTGTCTATTCAAGTTTTTATTTTTATTTTTAGGTGATGTTGGATCGATCAGAAGAGTTGGATGAACTTGATCACCCTTGAGTTGGATGAATTCCGAGATCGTCGCAAGAACATGATGCAGGGATTTTTCGTGGAGGAACGTGAGCACATGCGAGGCTTCTACGATTGGATCTCGCCAGAGAACGAGGTGATGTTAGTTTATTTTCATTTGTTGTCTTTGTTGTTATTAGGTAAAAGTTAGTATAAAAGTAGTGAAAGCATGTGAAAATCGATTGCTTAAACTATCTTTATTGGATTCAGCGTGCCCGATTGCTTATAGATGCAAATTTTCAGAGGCCTCCCACCCCCTGATTGCGATAGCACCTTTTATTGTTGTTCAATAAATTATATGGTTTTGAAATTTTATCCGGGGTTTTTACCAGGAATCGATCACAAAAATTTGTTCGATTTCTAATTTTTGCATTGAAAAATAAAAGCCTTCCTCGAAAATAGTTAAGTTTCTGTTTCGTTCGGATATTTACAATGTATTTCTTATTGCCACCCACATTTCTTATCTTGGAACACGTTCAATTTCAAGTTTCAGTATCACAATGCAACGATCAATCGGGTGATTTGTTCTAAGATGCTGGATCGAGCGCCTCGTTCATTCGAAGAGTTGAACACCGTGGACACGCCAGTTGTTGAAGCAATCTGAGAGAAGTAAGCTTCGTGATTATTACTTCTTTTGTCTGTTTACAGATATAAGGCTTAAAATCTCGTACCTAGTTTTGCATTTAGAAAATTTGCAATTAAGTGAGCAACTTCTCCGAAAAAACATTTCATTTTAAAATTTCTTCTCTTATTGAAAGGTCGGTTTTTGTTTCAATTTTTTATTTCGCATTGTTTTTAGCTTGAAAAGATCGATTTCATGAGTTCGAGTGGAGCCGCAAAAAATGCTGGGGAAAACCAGCCGAATCAAGCAAAAGGCACGCAAAGTAACGTTTTTTTACTTGTATTTTGGTTTGAGATTAAGTTTTTAACATAAATTGGGTCTAGATCATAATAAGTGTTGCAATGAATTAGTTGATTGGGTCATTTTGATAATATAGAAAGTGTTTTAACCTAATCTTGTTGAAATAGTCGAAAAATTTGGGTGCTTTTTACGTTACTTTCTTTTAAGATGCCGTCGAAGAAGACAACGAGTAAGAGAAGAAAACCGATACAAAAGATGAAACAATCGTTCCTTCGAGTGATTCCGCGCCAACTCCAATGCATGTGCTCACGCCAAAGTCAACTCCAATGAGGAAGGTTTATAGTTTTTTCAATAAAGAATCTTAATCATCAAAGAGTCAAGCTTTAGTCATACCTAAATTCTGTTTTCGATGTAAATAAATATTTATTTTTTCAGTCTCCAAGGCGTAAAATCTGTGACAATGGAATGATTAAAATAGAAGGATTAATGAATTAAGACGTAAATATTTAAAATTTAAATAATATATGTTTTTGAATTCAAAAATTATATTGATCAGACCAAAAAGTGATGTTTTAGAAAACACTGAAATTTCCTCTTTCCCCACTTTTCCATTTCAAGAGAATTTTTTTGTTGGACAAATTTTAAGCCATAAACTTTTTTTCTCGTTGCTGTGAGAAGCACATGTGTGGGTATTTTTTCCGTTTTTTTAGACAAAAACGAGTCGAACGGCCTAATCCGAGAGAGAAACAAAAAGAGAGGAAAAGTTCTCATTTTTTTTGAAATGTTTACAGTTTTCCCCGAGCGAACACCTCTCAATTCCACGTGTTTGCAAAGTTTTTACCCACTTTAACCATGTGATTTACTCATACTTTTCTCTAACGATTTTCCCTTCTCTCAAATTGTTTTTATCGAAATTTTCTATGGCTCTCAGTCAAATTTAAATCAATTTTCCAATTTTCAGCAGCTTTTTGGACTTTTTAACGTAATTTGAGCTCAAATTTGACTAAACACACCCTTTCTGGCGCACAGAATTCTTCATCTTTTTCACAATATCAAAGCATTGTCAGCAAAAAACGATTAATCTAATTAATCTTTGAGCTTTCAGTGTTCCAGAAGGCCAACGATTACGAATTAGGTGTACTTTGAGGTCAAGCTTGCAAACACAACCTTTCTAGTGCATTGAATTCACTTTTCCTCGTGAAACCAGATCAATGCTTTGAGAAAAATGAAGAATTCAGTGCGCTAGAAAGATTTTGTTTAGTTTCAGCTTTCAGTTTCAGCACAAAGTACATTTGCTGGAAGTTTATCCGCAACATTTTGTAACTTTTCACGTCTACACATCACTCTTCTAATCCTCTCCAGTAGTCTTTTCTCTTCAAATCAAAAAGAGGCAAAATATTTGTTTCTCCCAGAGAGACTTTTCCACTATCAAATCAATAAACGAGAATAGGAAAAAGGAGAAAAAAAAAGTTGCAACCGAAATGATCAAAATCTGAGAAAAGAGAACAAATTTTAGACAGAAAATAGAAAAATGAAAAGAAAACGATGAAAATCCTCTTTGAGGAGAGTCATTTGATAAGCAAAGAATGCTTTGTGCTAAATTTTTCTTTCTTTTTCTTTTTTTACTGGTTTTGTTTGTAAATTTTGAAATTTCTTTAAACTCTATCGATTTTTACTTGTTTTTCTGTACTTTTTGCTAAGTTTTTTTTCAATTTTATCTCGATTGATCGTTTTTTTTAAGGAAATTAAACGAATTAAGTCCATTAGAAAGTGTGTTTACAGATTTTTTTACAGATTTTAAGCACAAATTACCTCAAGATAATAAAATATGTTGTTCGGGGATGCTTTTGGGTCCCTTTTGGTTATTTTTTTGATTAAAAATCTCTTCATTCGGCTATTATCAAGTTTTTGTGGTCAATTGATGTTAACTGTAATGAATTGAGGGGATTTTAGAGAGGGATTGATTGATTGATTGATCATGGGTATGGCCTGGGTCATGGGTATGGCCTGGGTCATGGGTATGGCCTGGGTCATGGGTATGGCCTGGGTCATGGGTATGGCCTGGGTCATGGGTATGGCCTGGGTCATGGGTATGGCCTGGGTCATGGGTATGGCCTGGGTCATGGGTATGGCCTGGGTCATGGGTATGGCCTGGGTCATGGGTATGGCCTGGGTCATGGGTATGGCCTGGGTCATGGGTATGGCCTGGGTCATGGGTATGGCCTGGGTCATGGGTATGGCCTGGGTCATGGGTATGGCCTGGGTCATGGGTATGGCCTGGGTCATGGGTATGACCCAGTGCATCAATTCATACACATAAACACGAAAATGACCTATAAGGCAACACGATAGGGTAATTTTCAACGTGTCGAAATGTCGGTTTTTCGATTGAAAACCTATGCTTAAATTGTCAAATTCGTGCTCAGCGCCCTCGATTACCCCTAGAAAAGTGAAAAAGATCAAATATGCCCTTTTAGCATATAAACACTAATTTGGCCCCCAACCACCGAAGTACAAGTTTTGTGATTTAAACTTTTCAAATATTCAATTGTAAGTCTAATCTCTGTTAGCTTCAAAGCTTTGTTAGTTTCAAAGCTTTGTTAGCTTTACAGCTTTGTTAGCTTCAAGGCTTTGTTAGCTTCACAGCTTTGTTAGCTTCAAGGCTTTGTTAGCTCCAAAGCTCTGCTAGCTTCAAAGCTCTGCTAGCTCCAAAGCTCTGCTAGCTCTGCTGGCTCCAAAGCTCTGCTGGCTCCAAAGCTCTGCTGGCTCCAAAGCTCTGCTGGCTCCAAAGCTCTGCTGGCTCCAAAGCTCTGCTGGCTCCAAAGCTCTGCTGGCTCCAAAGCTCTGCTGGCTCCAAAGCTCTGCTAGCTCCAAAGCTCTGCTAGCTCCAAAGCTCTGCTAGCTCCAAAGCTCTGCTAGCTCCAAAGCTTTGTTAGCTTCCCCAGCAAATTCCCCTTAAAAAGCTCGATTAAAACCTGTCCGACTAGACCTCAACACGTTTTTTTGTGACAAAGAGGGCAAAAAAGGGAAAACGGCAATGACAATAGGTGAAAACTCGCAAAAAAAGACTCAAAAAATATTGAGCAGACAAAAAAAAAGCGCTCATTTGTGCGCTGATTGACAAATGGCAGAAGTTTTTTGGGCGTTTCCCATTTTTTCAACATTTTTGATTAACGGTATTGTAAAAAGCTAATCTATTGACTGAATATCTTTTTAGTTATTCAATTACAGAATTTAAGCTCAACAAATCCAGCTTAAATAGACTTTGCGTCAAATTTTTTCCGCAGCTAGGTCTTGCCGATCTTGGTCTAACGCCACTTGCCATAACTTTTTCTAAGTCGGCCAATCTTTATGATTTTTGTGTCATTTTGTAGATCTCAACAACTGCAACAAAGTGACACAAAAATCATAAAGATTGACCGACTTAGAAGAAAGTTATGGCGAGTTGCGGAAATAAAATGGCGTAAACTAATCACCCCCTATTTTTGAGCACAGAGTACACAAAATCTGGAATTGTCGGCTGTCTAGTCAAACGCTTGAAGCTTTAAAATCCATTTTGTGAACGATTTCTCACCAAATTTCTCTTATGTTCCTTAAAATTAAGTTCAAAAGAGCTGTAAAATGTCAAAAAAATGTAGTTTACCGTATTTTCTCTAATAGTAGTGCACTGCGAGCCTAAATTCCTCGAAATCTCGAGAACCGCTTATCAGAACCTATTGATATGGGGTCGGAAAATGTAGCTGACGATGAGATCTAGTGGGGGATTTGAGTGTTGAGCTTCTGGGAAAACTTTGGAAGCCGTAAAATAGTCATCAACTCGGCTCGCCGGGGTGCACTACTATTAGAGAAAAGCCGGTACATGAAAAGCACACTTTTAAATGGCGCACCCAACTCTCCAGGCGTCATGCATAAGGAGAAATCTTGGCCTAAGCCTTTTCCTAAACCTTTCTTTCTCATTTCCTATTGATAAAATACCGTATTTTCTCTAATAGTAGTGCACCCAAAGCGTCGCCTAAATTCCTCGAAATCTCGAGAACCGCTTATCAGAACCTATCGATGTGGGGTCGGAAAATGTAGCTGACGATGAGATCTTTTAGGGGATTTAAGTGTTGAGCTTCTGCGAAAGCTTTGGAAGCCGTAGATAGTCATCAACTCCGCTCGCTTGGGTGCACTACTATTAGAGACTACGGTATATTAAATTTTTACGGCTTTTAGCCTCAAAAATCGCTTCTTTTATTTGTTAAAAATAGGCTTTTTTTAGTAAAAGTAAAAAGATGTTTTGATTCAAACGGTAAAATCGAAATAAGCGGAACCCATTAAAAGTAAATCTCTTTCCGGTTTCTCTAATCAAAAAAAAAATGCTACAAAATCAAAGAAGAGTTCCGTTTTCAATTTTGGCCGTCTTCGAAATCGATCTCTGACATATGGGATAACAAACAAACAACACATGTCGTTATGGCCGGGTTCTGGCTAGTCCCTCTCAACTGGCTAGTCCTGGTTCGAGCCCGGGCCTGGCTTGTTCTTTGCAAAAACGATTTCCAAAGCTTTTGATGATTGTTTTAACTTTGTTTTATGGTTTTAAGCCAATCTAAACTTTGGTTTTAAGCATCTAAATATAATATTTCAAATAAATTCACGTTTTTTGGCAATCATTGATACCTCCAATCTTTGTTTAAATTGATATCTCCTGTTTGTTTAAATTGATATCTCCTGTTTGTTTAAATTCTTCAAAATAAACT